GTGGAGGGTTCCTGCTGCTACTAGCACTGCTGGTGCTCACCTGCCTGGCACTTGCCATCCTGGCTGTCTACCTGAGTGGTAGGGACAGGCAGGGGCAGAACCAAGGGCAAGGTGATAGGGACTGGGAGGTCCTTTGGAAGGAGCAGTTATAGATGCTGCAGTAATGAAGGGTGGGTGGAGGTTGGCAATGCCCAGATGCTGGTTTGGTGGAAGGAGGTCTGGTTGGCATGGAGTCTGACTAGGTCCCAGAAATGCCTGCTCATTCCCAGTGCTGCAGAGCGAATCCCTGCGGGTCCTGGCACACACGCTGCGAACACAGGAGGAGACCCTGCTCAAACTGCGCCTGGCCAGCCTCAGCCAGCTACGGAGGCTCAACTCCAGTGAAGCCCGAGCACCCAGCTTAGATGCCACTTGAACCTGAGGCCTGGAGTGTTTGTGTGTGTGTGTGTGTGTGAGCGTGTGCACGCGCACACGTGTGGTGGAGGTGGAAATTAAAGGGGCCGTTGGCAGATCTCTCCTCTCCCACTGCTGGATGTGTCTACACTACTTCTTTGAGATTGTTGTACAACAGCCTGAAGTAACTCCATAGTTGCCTGCCTCTCCTAATCTCTTCAGGCCAGACCTAGCCAACTCTTCTAATGCCAGGGCACTCCCAAGGTCAGAGGACCGGGCACCAGCCTTCTGGCTCCTCCTGTGGCCTGTCAGCAGGGGTCTCTGGCGACCCCTGGACTACTGTTTAGAAGTCTAGAAATAGCTGCCCCCCCCCGCCCACCAGGGCTCCCAGTTGGGGGTCCAACCTCAACTTTCAAAATCAAGGAGGCTGAGTTGGGGGAATAGCCGCCTTGGGGAAGAGACTGCCTTGGAGGGCAAAGGTGAGATTGGGTGGTGGTGGGGGAAGTCTCAGGTAGGCCCATGGTGGGAAGACAGGAGGTAGGCAGGTAGAAATACCCAGGAGTCAAGACTACAGAAGACTGAGCATTCGGTTTAATTATCTCCTGTAATCTTTAAAAATCAGCACACGATTCCATTACAGGTAGCTTTGCCTCCCACTTACTATGAAGGCATTTGTCCAGAGGCCAATCTCCCAAAGAAGTCACCCCAGGAAAGTAAGGCCTAACAAAGAAAAGGAAGGGACAGCCCCCTACCACCTGCCCCTCAGCCCTGGGACAGGCACACATTTGGGTACCCTGAGACAGGGCAGAAAGAGGCCACAGGGCTGAGTGCAGGGACAAACAGCCAGGTTCCTTAAGTGTTCTGACCTCCATCCTACTACCCTGTTTGTTTTTGGTTTTATCATTAAAAAAATAGAGTGACAATCACTGGCAGAGACCAGTTCTTGCACTGTCTTCTGTTAAAAATATACAAGGGTGTGGACAGTCTTCTCTCTGGCTGGTCTACTTCACACGACGTCTGCCCGCTTGTCCCGAGTACGGCTGCGGGCCTTGGTCCGGGCTTTGAAGGCAGCAGCATTGTACAGGTGCTGACAAAGGTGAGGGCAAAGATGGGGTTCTGGTGAGCTGGGAAGGGGTAAAGCCCAGGATTCTCCTGCAGCCTGTACAGAGCTCTAGGCCTCAGGAAACAGGAATGGAGGGAAGAGAAAGGTGCCCAAGGGTGCAAACCTTCTCAAAGCGTGAAATTTTGCAGGCCTTCAGAGTAGTGGCATCCAGCACCAGCACAGGGCCTAGGCCAAAGATGTCACGAAGAAGCTCGTTGTTCTGGGGACAAAGAAGGCAGTGAGCTCAGGCCAGTCCAAAGCAGCCAAGCCAGGTAGCCCCTTCTGCTCATCCAACCTGGAGGTGGTGGTGCATGCCCGAACCCAGCACGTCCTTGAAGGCAGCGTAGATTCTGTGCCGAGCCCAGCTGTCCACGTAGAGCACTTCAAGTCCAAAGCGGATTGTCTCTTCCTCACACTCACCACCCTGCAGGGTAGAGGGCCCACAGGACTGGGCTTGGCTGCTATGCCTGGGGATGCACTCTTGCTAGGACACACACGTTCTCATACACACACCTCAACAAAGTGCAGCACAGCACGAAAAGTAGAACGCTGGCGCCGGCGGTCGGCCTTGGCTCGGTACTTGTTGCTGTCAGTGGCCAGAGTGCGCAGAGCACTGCAGAGGGCCTCCATATCCTCGTAAACAAAGTCTTCCTGTATGAAGCATAGGGTAGCACTTGAGCTGTGCTGGTTCTCAACATGGGACTGCCCACAGCCTTCCTTTCACTCACAGCCCTCCTGCCTGCCTGGCCTCTCAATCCCTTTTTGGCCTCTGCCCAAGCAGAACACCTTTGGTTAGGGCTCCCATCACAGCACCTAGCATTTAAGTCAGTGTTGGAGCCACCTCCCCTGCATAATGACCCAAACCTGCTGTTTTCTGTGGCATGCTCTGCATCTAGCCTGGGATGGGCAGTGTTACCAGTACTCCTCAACTCCTCACTGTTCTTCGCACCTCAAGGTCCCTGGCAAGTTCAAACAGCAGTGCGATGGTTTCACCAGCAGCGATCCGTAGGTTCACACTTTCACTGGACAAAAGCTGGGGCAGCTGGGGCAGCTGCCTAGGGAAGGGATAGGCTAAGCTACATGTGTGGGTTGGGAGGCCCTTCATGATCCCCTCCCACTCCCAGTGGGCAGCCATCCCTACCTGTCAAGGATGTGGTTGATGTGGGTGCTGGGGCAGATAGTGAGCAACAATGCCCAGGCCTGCAGGGCAGCACAGAGCAGGCCATGCAGGCTGGCAGGGACCACAGCAGCTGTGGAGCCACTTGTGCCACAGGACCGGCTGAAAACACCTTCTAAGCAGGCAAGGCAAGAAACCAGGTCCTAGGAGCACAGGGAGGCAGGGGAATGGCTCAGGGACAGAGCTATGGGCCTAGGTACTCTACCACCTATGAGCAAAGGTCACTCACCTGGATGTCAGCAGCAGCCACATAGCAGCCCAAGCCAAGAGCAGAAGCACACTATCAGGAGAACAAAGCCAGGCTATAGTTAGTGGGTAAGCCTAGGCTCCAGGTATGGGTTTACCCACCTCAGAATAGGGGAGCATGAAGACAGGTGGAACTTACCCTCTGCTTAAGGATAAGGTGAAGGAGGGGCTTCATGAGGCATAGGGATACTTACATGGAGCCGGGCAGTAGGGCTAGCTGTGCTATCACTGAGCACTGAGACCAACAGGGGCTGCAGGCTGTGGAACAGCTCTTCTCCCTTGGGTCCAGGGCCCAGCTGCACACAGAGCAGGCCAAGCACGGCAGCAGCCAAGGCCTGTTCCTCGCTCTTCCCTGCAGGATGCTTTGCAGTTAGCCTAGGCAACAAGGATCAGCACCTGCCCAGGTGAGGGTCCCCACATGTATAAGACCTGACCTTTCTTGAGGCACTTTTCCAGCGCATCGGCTAGTGTGAGGCGACGCTCTAGCAAGAAGTCAGGGAGTAGGCGTGAGGCCAGGGAAAGGCGCAGGCTCTCCAGAGCTCCTTGCCGGATCTTGGCACTGAAGGATAGAGAAGAGGGTCATGTGGGTCAGCCTTCCCTTGGTCAGGCTTGGCATGGACTAAGCAGGATCCTGGATATAGGAACTGGCTGGCAAGTAGGGATACCTCTTGTCTGTAAGGCAGTCCACATATTCCTTCAGTTTTTCTTCAAGTTCTTCCTGCTGGCTCAGCTCATCCACAACATCTCCCCCTGCAAGGCCAGTGGGTCAGCTCTGCTTCTCACCCTTGCACAGTGTAGCCCTCATTGAGCCCCTGCCAAACTGCCACCTGTTCTCACCCAGGCTGTCCTCTGCGGTGGTGCTGAGAAGGCTGGGGCATTCACTGGTAGTGCTGCGGGCTTCGCTGGCTGCCTCATCCTCACTGGTTCCTGAGTCAGCTTGGGTACTGCTCCGGGCACCTGGAGAGCATAAAGTTGGTACTTGGCCAACTTCCACTGATGAGAAAGCCCAAAGCTGAAACAGGTAATACAGGGACTGATGCAGGGTATTTGAAACAGGAAGCAAGACAAATGAAGGTCTATCTGCTAGAGAACACTGACTATTAGGCTCAGCCTAGGGATAACCTAGCAGGCTTGGTGGGTGGTACTCCCCGAGACCAGAACCTTTAAGAAGACCAGAGCCAGGCACTGGTGGCTCATGCCTGTAATCCTAGCTTAGCAGGAGGCAGAGATCAGGAGGATCGCAGTTTGAAGTCAGCCCGGGCAAATAGTTCATGAGACCCTATCTCAAAAAACCCTATCATAAAAAATTGGCTGGTGGCATGACTCAAGGTGTAGACCCTGAGTTCAAGCCCCAGTACTGCAAAAAAAAAAAAAGGAAACCAGGAACCAGATAGAGATAGAAGGGACTTCATAGACAGTACCAGTGGTTCACACCTATAATCCCAGCTACTTGAGAGGCTGAGATCAGGAGGATTGTGGTTTGAGGTCAACCTGGGCAAATACTTTTGAGACGCCATCTCCAAAATAATCCAAGCAAAATGGACTGAACGTGTGGCTTAAGCAGGAGAGCACTTGCTTTTCAAGTGTGAAGGCTTGAGTTCATAACTTTGGTCCCACCCCAACCGCCAAAAAAGGGGAAGGACTGCATGCTGCATTAGTCCCAGCTAGATCTGTGGTCCAGCCTAAATTATACCTAGGTGCTCTACCACTTGAGCCACACCTCCAATCCATTTTGCTCTGGTTAGTTTTGGAGATGGGATCTCCCAAATTATTTGTCTGGGCTAGCCTGGACCCACAATCCTCCAATCTTACCCCCCCAAGTAACTAGGATTACAGGTGTGAACCACTGACACCAGCTCCAGCTGCACATCTTAACAGAAGTATAATCAGGACAGTTGCTCAGCCTTCAAAGCCAAAGTTTCTCTCTCTGCAAGGCAGAGACGCAAAAGCACCTCTTTCAGGTGGAATGGTTGAATACAAATGACTTGTTATGGCTCTGCTGAAGGCAGAGAGTGAAGACACATTCATAAAGCCACCTATGAGCCCTGGGGGCAGAAGTCCAGCTCACTGGGTGTCTGGGTGCCCCCAGGCTTCAAATATACTGTCTTCTGAACTTCCTTTGGTCCATCCAGGGCTACCAGTGCAGGGTATAGACACACAGATGAACATAGGGAAGTCTCAAGGTCAGTGGGACAGGAGCACTGTGTATGTGTTCTGTCAGGACTCGGCTTAGTTTGGCAAGGGTGGTTACTATGGCAGAACCCTAGACTGGTTCTGATCACCAGGCTGGCTCTACATCTCAGAATTACTTACACTCCTTGCCTGTAGGAAAAACTCCAGTCCACACACTGGCCTCGGGTTCATCTTTTCTCTTACTACCGTACCATATGTACCTAAACAGCCGTTTCCTCTAATTTGCTCCACTGCGTTGTGGCCTATTGAGCTGCCAGGCCTTTATTCTAGGAGCTCATTCTGCATGGGGCTCTCTTCTCCACCTTTTCAGCGTCCACCCAGAAGTCCTTCTCATACTCTCCCAGGTTCCTCAGTCTAGGGCAGGCACCACTCAGTAAATGGTTCCAGAACCAGTCCTTGGCCGAACTGTCATTACCATACTAAATGTTCCCTCGCCCAAGCCCAATTAGGGCGGTGGTCAGGGTAAAGCTGCGCCTGGCAGGCACCCTACCCCAGCAGAGTAAACATACGTGTTTATCACAACACGACAGGCTTCTGGTCTAAACTGATAAAGTGCCAAGACGGCCTCAGGCTCCAGAATATTTACCTAGTCCCAGGACGAATTGCCAAGGCCCCAATTCTGTACCTTCCCAATCGCACCTCAGTTCCCAGGAGCGGACTAGGCCTCTGCTAACTTCCCGGTCCAGTCAACGAAAAGACCAGCACTCGGCTAAAGGGCTGGCTTCCTGCTCTGTCCACTGGGTTTGCCCATCCCAGCAGGCAACAGGGGTGGAGGGGCTATAGGGAAACCGAGGCTGTTCAAGTCACCACTGGGGGCGCGGGAGATTCCGACAGGCGACTGGCAGCGCGCTCAAGTTGGGTGCACACGTGGCTGATGCCCGCTGGGGCACGTGCTGGTCTCGGCAGAATTCGGGGATGCTAAACTGGGCTGATCCTGCGGGGTTCCCCACCCTAGACCGTCGAGGACACCGACAGGGAGCCATATAAGGGCTCCTCCGCTTGCAGCTAAACAGCTGTCCCGAGCCCCCAACTCACCTCCTCCACGACGCTGGCCGCCCTTGCGGGGCGCGTTGCCCTTACGAGCGCGGGGCATACTGGGAGTCGGGAGTGGCGGCGGGGCGGGGGATGGGGCGCGGGGTCAGAGACCCGGCGGATGAGGGCTCCAGACCAGCGAAACGCTGGCCAGTGCGCTGCGTTGAGGCTTGGGGAGACGACCAGAGCCACACGCCGCGCGCGCCACCATCTTCATGAGGCGCCCCGCCCTATAGAACGGGTCGCTGGGAAGGTGAGTTCCCGGTCACCAGGTTCAGAACCGAATCCACGCGGCTAAAACTACTATTCCCAGGGGGCTGTGCGCACAGATTAGGCCCCATCGGCAGAACGCAGAGCACCACGGGAATCGTAGTCCATAGTGAAGACCCACAAGCCAACGTAGCTCTTGCTAAACTATGCACCCACAATGCCCTGCGTGCCCTCCTCCTATCCCTTCCCGCCGGTGCCTGCACAAGTGCACAGTCTTTAACTCTGAAGTTTCCCACCAGCCCAGCGGTGAAGCACCATGACATCTCAGGGACCTTGCAGAGGCCCTGGGCTGCTTGGGTCCAGGGACCATGGGTTTGATAGAACAGGGAATAGCCAAATCTCAGGAAGGTAAAGGAAAAGTACTTTATGATGAAAGCAGAGTACAGGTAACAGCTTAGCACTTACAGACCTTAGTCTAGCTCTTCTTGGGGTCCCTGGACCATTTCCTGTGACTTCTCTGTGGACCCAGTGAGGTGCAGGAATAAAACTCTGGGTTGGCAACCCTAACCAGATGGAACCCTGACTTCCTGGGGTTGCTTTCTTTTCACGAGAAGTCAGATGATCTCAGAAGGCCTCTAGTTTTATGTGGCTTTTTTTCTTTTTCTTTCTGTCCTTTTCCACTCCTCAGGAATCCCAAAGGAAGTGGGGGTGGAAGTAATGGGTACTTGGGAAGGTTAACTGTTAGCTGAGCAAGAGTGGAATTTCCCCCAGGACTGGGAAAGCAGCAGCAAGGAGAAGAGAAGGCAAAGGCAGAAACTCCTGGCTTTATGCTGCTTCCTTAGACCCAGGCCTGGGCTCCTGGCAGGTGGAGCCAGTCCAACCCAAGTAACAGTGGCAGCTGAAGGACTCCCAAGTTCCAAGACTCCCATCTGGCTCCAGGTGCAGAAAGGCTTCCATTTGTCCTGGGTCTTGCCGGGCACAGCGCCCATGGCCATGGCACCGATGGTGGCTGCAGGCTATGGCCGCTTTGGTTACATTGATCACATAGGGGCCTAGAGTGCCCACCAGATAGTCATGAAGACGCCAGCACTCTTCCTGAGGAAAGCGAAGAGTGTGTTAATGGTCCTGTTCCATGGTCTTGACATGGCCTCTCCTCCCACCTACAGCCCCAGCATGTGCTACATGGCAGGCTGAAGCGGGCAATAATCACCTCAGAGCTGGAGAAACTCAGGTCTCCCCAGAGCACCACGCCGGCTGCCCCCAGCGCTGCACTCACGCCAATGGTCTGCACTAGGTCATCCTGGAGGCAAAAAGCTGCTAACTCAGTGCTGGACTGGCCAGATCAATCTAGGTCCACCTCTACCATGAAGAAACTGGTTCACTGCCATGATCTCATTCTACCTCTAGAGCTGGGCCCCTTTGCACAGAGCCTCTGAGTGGCTTTTCAGGCCCTCTCCTTAAAGAATGAGTCCCCTCAGACCAGGGCTGAGATATCCCAGTACAGCCATCCCTTGCTGGTCAGATGCTCCAGGACAGGGCCTTCTCCTCAGGAGCTCCCCCTTAAATAACCCAGGGCAAGGTCTTCTCCTCACTCTCCTAGAATAGGGCCATGCCTCTGGACTCTGACCCCTAGACTCCAGCTTCCACTTACCTGAGACAGGAACCTCCCAGAGCTCCGGTGTGTGAGGCGGGTATAGGCCAGGACAGGCAGAGGATGTGTGTGCCCAGTGAGGGCCACACGGAAGGCCTCCTCCAGGCGATGTCGGACAAAGGCCTGGTGGTAGGCAGGCGGCAGCCTGGGTGGGAGGTAAATGCTGGGGAAGAGAGCACTGGAGGCAGCCCAAAGCCAATGCAGTTGGGTGTTGCGGGCAAGGGTGGCTGCATGGCAGCGGCCTGTGTAGTTGGAAGCCATATTGTGCCAACCATTACCACAGGCTGGGTAATGATAGAAGCCCCAGAGCCCATGGGGCCGCAGTGCCTGGCCCAGCTGCAGTGTGTTCTCCATCAGTGCACGGGCTGCCTGCTCAAAGCCAGTACGGGCTTTGCAGAACTGCTCCTGAGGGTCCAGGTCAGGGAACACCTGCTGTGCCCAAGCCCAAGATGCTGTCTTGTAGACTCGGCGGCGGTGGCCCCAGTTCCCAGCCCAGAGCGGATACCATTCCTCCCAGTCTAGCACTGCCAGGCCAGCAAAGCTGGATCCCAGGCTATGGTGGATCTGGTGGGCAGCCTGTGCCAGGTGGTGGTCTAAGGACACAGCCTGGGGGATGCCCCCATTGTAAGCTGTGCCCCTGGGGCCAAAGTAGGGATAGAGGCCAAGGCGGTTCTTATAAAAGATGGTGATGTTCTCGCCGTGGAAATGCTGGTCCCGGTTGGCTATGATGCCCAGGGCATTGAGTGGCAGATGTACACCAAAGAGGGCCCTACAGCGTGCTGAAGGTACATTCCACAGCACGGAAAAGGGGTGTTCAGGAACCTGCAGCAAAGGCTGGCCATGCATCAGGCACATGGCCACCCCCAGCACCAGGGCTGGGCCTAGTTGCATGGTCATGCCACAGAGATGGAAACCTGCAGGAGAGAGGGGGTGTAAGCTTACAGTCCGTGGCCAAGACCATTCCTTCCACATAGCAGGAAAAGCCAGTAAAGTTCCCCTAGCTTCTCCCCATAAGGATGGGGGACTGGAGAAAGCATGGCTCCCAACGGTGTCTCAAAGCAGCCAAACCCTCAGCCGGCCTGGGCAGCTCCCCTCCAGCATTCTCCATCTGTCAAGGGACCATGTCCTCTGAGACCCCCACCAACCACAGTGGTTACAAGTCCCCTCTTTCCTCTGCCCATCATGTTCCCTGCCCCCAAAACACTCAGTTCTCACCTCCTTGCTTGCCTGGATTAATTCCTACTTAGCGTTCAGGTCTTGGCTGTGACACCACCTTCCCTAGGAGGTCTCCTGGATCCCCAGTGGGAGTGAGGGCACTTAGCTCCTGAAGTTTCATTATTTCCTTGTCCCAGTATGAATTCTGACATTGTAGGCCTGTCTATCCTCTTAGGCGGAGACCCTGTCTGTGTAATTTACCATCGTTATCCACTTCAGGACCTAATATACAGTAGGTGCTTGGTGAATGGTAATAAGTGAAAAGGGAAGAGAACCATCACTGTCTCCCAGGCTTGGCAGGAAGGGCAAAGCACAGGTATCACCCCATTGGTGGCTTCAGGGCCAAGTTGGATCTAGGGACTTCTGTAGGGATAGGGGACCTAAGAAGTGAGGGTGGAGGTCAACAAATAAATTGTCACAGCCACACCCAATGGAAGCCTTTATTCAGCCACACTGAAGGCTCTGAGCCAGAGCTATGAAGCCACCTCTGGCCCCACTGGTACACAGGAAACATGCCCAGGCTAAGGCTGCTCCCAGGGGCTAGGGGTGAGGTATGGCCAGTAGGCTGAGGTTGGTACTGTCTTGGGCAGTCCAATAACCCAGAAGTACAATGTCTTGCCCTCAGTGGCCCTCAGATGTCTTTCTCCATCCAGAATATGGGGCATCCCCTCAGGTCCTGGAATTGTGTCTCTAGCAGGCTTTGTGGAAGGGGCCCCAGGGGAGGTGGGGGGGAGGTGGTCAGGAGCAGGGGTAGGGGAGGAGGTGGTGGCAATGGGGGTCCTTTGTGATCCTTTGTGGCAGGTTGGGCAGTGAAGCTAGGGGCCTTGCAGGGTGGCCGGGGACAGGGGGCCTTAGGGAAGGCACGGAGCAGGGTAGTGGGCAATCGTTGGCTGGTGAAGACCAAGCCCTGCACAGGCTCACCCAGCTGGTAGCCCAGGTGGGTGTAGAAGTGCAGCTGGTCATGAGTAGTGAGATGCAGCCGGCGGAAGCCCCGGGCCCGAGCAAAGACCTCCAGACCCTCCATGAGGCGGCGGCCAAAGCCACGGCCCCTCAGCGCCCGGGCTACCACTACTGTCTCTACTAAGAGGCTCTGAGGCCGGTCCAGTACCCGTGATAAGCGGGCATGGCCCACCACAATGGGGGCTGCTTCAGGTGTGGGGTGGGAACTCAGGAGCATCAAGCAGAGGGGGAAGGCATCTGAGGACTGGCCCAGAGAGTGTAGGCGGGAGGCACGGCTGCGGGGCCACTGGTCATTGATGAGGTCAGCACAAGCATCCAAGAGCTCAGGTCGGCAGTGCACAGGCTCCAGGGTCAACTCGGCCAGGTTGGGGGCTGGGATCTCCTTTGCCTGGCGTTCAGGATCCAGGGTAAGCTCAGCTGGGCCAGGACTGAGGTTCATCTCTCAATGGTATGTGGAATCCAGGGTCAACTCAGCTAGCCTGGGGCTCAGAGACAGCTCTGGTTGGTGTGCAGGATCCAGGGTTAGTTTAGCCGGGCTGGTACTCAGGATCTGCTCCATCCAGTGCGCAGGGTCTAGGGTAGGGGACAGCTTGGCTGGGCCAGGGCTCAGAGTCAGTTCTTGCCTACACATAGGATCCAGGCTCAGGCTGGGAGCCAAGGCCACCTCCTGTTAGGCTGCAGGTGGTTCAGTGCCAGGCTGGAGGTTAAGGCCACAGTCTCTAGACAGTGGCCTTTCCTTAGACCACAAGGGCTCCCCTCCTGTAGATAACAGCCATGCTGGGCTGTGTCAGGAGGATACGATTGGGACAAGGAAGGATAATGAGTGCAAAGGGGACAGTGTATCCTAGAACAGGAGAGTGGTGGGCAGTGCCTGTTTCACACTCACCTGTGGTACAGGTGGCCTGAAAGAGACCCATCTCCTGGGGGAGAGGACTCAGGTGGAAAGCAGGATGGATGGATCCAGGTATCCTGCCCCACACTGGAGGGAGGCTGAAGGTGATGAGTGCTGAAGGCTGGGACAAAACCCAGGAGTCCCAGACCCTGCCTGATCTGCTTATAAATTTATTCTCTCCAAGATCTCATTGTGCCAGAATAGCCAACCAAGTCTACTTGCTGGCTATCTTATCTCTAGCAGTCCACTACTATGGCTCACTGGCCTTGGACAGAGGTGCAAACCAGACATCATACCTCCTGCTCACACCCACTCAAGATTCTCCATGGAAGAACCACCACCCCCCAGAAGTTCCCGTCCCTCCCTTCTCTCTACATGTCATCAGTCCTCCAGCTCCCAGTCTTTTCAACTATCTGGGCCATGCCCACTGCTTAGCTGATTTTGGGGCCCCACACACCCACCCACCAAGCTCACCTTCCCTACCCTCTATTGCCTTCCCTGTTCAGGGCACAGAGCCCAGGCCTCCTCTTCAACTTTGTCCAGTACAGGAGACTTTGGGTATAGACCCAACTGATTCCACAGATGGGGCCCCAGCATCCTGGCCCATGGTTACACAGAATGTTGCTTCTGCAAGAAGTTCCCTCTGGCCTGGGTTTCATAACTACCCTAGATAAAGGACCACAGCTTCCTTCCTATACCCAGAGGTGGCCAACGGCTACCAGGTTGGAAACCCAGACCGCCTGTGCCCAAACCCCACTTTTTGCCCACCTAATTCCAGGTCCTGCTGGCAGGATGGTCTATGCTGGGGATTTCTTGGGTAAGCAGGTGTACTCCACCCCTCCACTCACCTGCTCCAGAGAGTGCCTCTTGGCTTTCTCCTTCCCCATCTCCCCCAGCTTGAGAACAATTCTACGCGAGTCAGTAATAGATACCTTCCTCCCTTCACGCCATATGCCACTTTCAGGGCTCTAAGCCCCTCACCTGCATCAGCCGCCTCAACTGCAGCAGCACCACGGGGGTCTGGCGGGAAGAAACCCCAGGATCCGCCTCTACACCTGGAGCCCTAGGTTTCCTCGCAAGCTTAACCAGTTCAGTGCCGGCCCCACCCACCGTGGGCGGGGCGAACCTTCGGGTCCTCAGAGGGAGGGGCCGCACTGTCCCAGGTGCTGCGAATTCCCCCCGCTCCTGGTGGATCACAGGCAGTGGATATTTTTAGTGATGGGGGCCTCGAAAGCTTCGATTCTATGAGTGGGTGTGGCTCGGCATGCTCTTAGACGGAACAGCCGACGCAGGGAGGGTGTGAGGGGCGGCATGGCCACTTGGGGACCGCAGGCGCAGGGAGGACAGGCAACGCGTGGGGGGGAGGGGAAGAGGGAGGTACTGACATGTTAATGCCGGGCTCCGGGATATTCCGCGTTCTCCCTCCGCACGGCTCGGTATCTCGCTCTCTGGCACAGACTCCTGGGTCCTCCCGCGCTGGCCCCCAGCGGTACAGCGGACACACTGCAGTTATAGCAGTCCACGGAGCAACTCCTAATCCTAAGGTCTCCCGCAGCAGCCAGGCCCTTCCCGAGCCCCCCGAGCGTCACCGTCTAGCCCCACCCCTGGTTCTGCGCGTCACAACACCGAGATGGCGCAGACTCAGTCTGTCCTAGCGCCGCCTCTGCCCATCCGCTCCCACCTGAGCCAGACCCGGTCTCCGGTTGGCTCCGTCTCCTTCCAGCCCCGCCCCATCCAGGCTCCGCCTTTGGCTTTGCGTCATCGCTTCGGGTTGGGTTCCGCTGAGGCCCAGCCCCTGCACTACGCGTCACGGGTTCAGACCTGTCCGGTCCCAGTGTTGTCTGGGCTCCCTCCCTCCTGCTGGCCTTCAGGTCAGGTGGCGCCTCTTTCTGGAATTTGGGCTCCATGCTAGGAAGTAACCGCCCACAGAGAGACGTTAGACTTAAATGAAAGAGAGGAGGCTTTCCTGTGCTCTGTAGATCCCGGGGCCTGCCCACTTTAGGCGCTCAATAAACAGCTCTCTAAGTAAGCCATGAGTGTTTTATTTGCTGCGTTGGGCGGTGCCGGTGCCTGTCAGAGAGTAGGCGCTCAAGTGCTATCTCTGGTACTAGACAACTTGTTTTTTTGTTGGTGGTGTTTTTGGGTTTTTTTTGTTTTTTTCTTTTGGTGGGAGTGGGGTTTGAACTCAGGGCTTTGCACCTGCAAAGCAGGCACTCTATCCCTGAGCCACACCCCCAGTACATTTTTGCTCTGATTATTTTAGAAATGGGGGCATGAACTGTTTGCCCAGGCTGGTCTCAAACAGTGATCCTCCCCATCTCAGCCTCCCAAGTAGCTAGTGGCATGAGCCACCCCACCCATCTTAGAGTTTGGGTTTGAATTTCAGCCCTCTTTTCCTGCTGTGTTATCTTGGATAGAAAGTTAAGCTCCTTCCGTATGAGTTCCTCAATTTTCTCATCGCCTCACTGTGAAGACTGAATGAGCCCACTGGACATGCTTAGCACAGGTTAGCACAGAGCAGGCACCCCATGAATATCAGCGTTTGTGACTGCTGGAAAGGCTGGCTTAGTGTCTCTGGAGGAATTGTCTATGACCTTGCCATATGAAAATGGAGTCTGTGAATCTGTGTGTGCTCAGATCATATGCCCATGACAATCACTGAGTGTACTGACTGTGACCATGATTTGCATGACTGCCTGTATTTGAGGAAGCTGTAGCCAGGCCCAAAGTGCACTAGGTGTTCAATATGTGCAATCTGGTGAGGCCAGTCATCACATGCCCTGCTGTTCACACCATGTTCCACGCCAGCCATGGTAGCAGCGACATTTGAACTTCACAGCCATCTGTGCCAGATCCTCAAGTGAGACGGCACCCTTCAGGGTCAAGGGTTTGCCACCAGGAGTGAGCTGGATGGAGAAACGGGCAGGGCTGAGGAAGAGCAGGGCTTTGGGGTGCCCTGGGCGGCGAGCACATCGGCCATGGCCAGAGCACAGGGCTTGACTGCAGAGAAGAGCCCCGCTGGTCACATTCAGGATGAAGGGCCCCAGTGTGGTATCCATATAGTCCTTAATGGCCTGGCATGATTCCTGGATGGGAGGGGGAGAGTCGGGGACATCATAGTCATGCACAGACCCATAGGCATGCAGGTACTCACCTACTAGCCAGGACTTCAAGAGAAGGAGGGGAGGGCCAGGGTCTCCCCATTCAGCTTGATGCCCCCCACCCCTTTCAAATCTGAGCTCACCTTAGTCTTGGTGTTTTCCCAGCTCACCCAGAGCACCACTCCTGCTGCCCCCTGGGCCGCACTCTCCCCCAGGCTGTGCTCCAGCTCGTCCTGGGAAAAAGATGGCATAGCTCTGTGTGGATCTCTGTCACTTGCTCCCTGTGCAGAAGGCTGTGACACCACTTGATAGGACAAATAATTTGTAAGCCCTACCCAAGGCTGCTTTTAGCCCTGGTGGCCAGAGGCAAGCCTGTCCCACTCTAGCCTGTAAGTGTCATGCAGACAAGGACTAAATCTTTCCAATACATGCTGAATTGCCTGAGTTTAGCACTGAATTTAGCACAAAATCAATGCTTAATGAACATGAGAATGAGTGGACATAAATGTGCCAAGCTGTGTGGCATCAGTGGTTGGATCTAATACCTGCCAAGGCAGGCTACCAAGGTGTGCAGGGTCACAGAAGACTCACCAGGGGCAGAAGATGGTTTGTCATGTCATAGAAGATCTGGACATAGGGCAGCACAGGCAGATTGGGGTCCCTGGCAGCAGCAGCTACACGGAACGCCTCACCCACACGGTGCTCCACAAACATCTGTGCCTTCCCTGTGCCCACCAGTTCTGCAGGCAGGTAGATACTGGGATAAAGGGCACGGCTCTGGTTCCACAGCCACCCCAGCTGGTCATTCTGGGCACGGATGTCTTGTGAGCACTGGCCTGTGTAGTTGGGACTTTGAAAGTCATAGTTGTAGCAATTGGGAAAGCCATAGAAACCCCAGAGGCCACGAGGACGTAGTGCCTGTCCCAGCTGGAGGGTACCTGCCATCCAAGCCTGTGCAGCCTCTTGGAACTGGTTCTGGGCTACTGCCTCCACCCAAATTTCTGGCCAGTCAGGGTGTTGTGCCCGTACTAGTGCCCGTGAGCGCTGTCGGTAAATGTCCTTGGTGTCCCAGTTGAAGGCCCAGCGTGGACGCCATGCTTCCCAGTCAATGACTGCCAGCCCTGAGAAGTCAGGTGCAGGCATGGCATCCTGGATGTCCTGGAATGTGTGAGCCAGATGGGTATCCAGGCTGGCATTCTGGGGCAGGCCACCAAATATGGGCTCCCCACTGGTTGTATAGTAGGGGTAGGTGCCCAGCTGCCAGCTGTAGAAAATAGTCATGTTAGGACCACGGAAGGTCTGCCCTTGGTTGGTTACCACATCAAAGACACTGACATCCACATCCACACCGTGCCTCTCTAGGCACCACTTGGTGTTTGCGTTCCAGACGGTGATGAAGGGTCGGTCGGTTAACATGGAGCCTTGGACCATGTCAATTAAGGTCAGGAAGAGAGTACAGATGCGAAGCAGATGGACTGTCGTGGTGTGGGGTGAGTCTGGGGAAACCTGGCCAGGGGAGGCAGAGCTGAGAGCAGGCCTCAAATTTTCTAACCCCAGTTCATGTCAGGTGGGCTGAGCCCCTTGATCATAAACCCATCCCTGCTCTAATTTTAGTTAAACATTGACTCAGAGGCTTCAGGGAGGTCAGAGGGCAGAAGAGAGTCAGGGAGGGGAGTACTGCCTTTGAAGGACACATCAGAGTCACCTCTGTAGCCAGGCCTCTGCCATTTGCCTCCCATAAGCTTTGCCCTGGCCTAAGCTTCCCCAAAGGGCCAGTGAGATTATAATATCTGTTCTGGGAAGAGGGGTTGAGGGCCCAGCTCTGATTTGTTGGATGAGAGAGGCCCTTTCTTGTCTCTCCCTCCACAGATCCTGGCAGCCACTAGAGAAAGGATGCACAGTGACCAAGAATCGTCCTGCCCTCTGGGACACCCGCCAGCTTCCCCGCTTGTCCCTGCTGACCTTAGGGCTGAAGGGCTTCATCCTCCAAACTTCCTGACTCTGGGGTGGGAGTCTAGGCAGGGCCTGACCAAATTCTGTCCCAGCTGTGCCAGAAGCTCCGGGAGGAAGAAGCTGCTACTGGAAATTCTGAGCTTTTGTAGGTGGTCACACCACCCAGTCCAGGGGTGGGACCTTGGTGGGGGTGGGACTGGGGCAGGGCCAGTAGTGGCCCCTCCCACTCTGACAGCCTGGGGCTAAACTTTGTGGCTGTACTAGGGCTGGAGGGAGTGGGTAGTGGCAGATGTAGCTTGGGCAGGCCTTCTGAGGTCCTGGACTCTGGGTCCCTGAGGATTATATGCTCAGAAAGTATAGTTGTAGCAGGGAAGAGGATCAAAAGAAAACAGACAGGCCTGAGTTCTGATAAAGTAGCAAGGGGGAAGGGGTGGCATAGCAGAGAGGTAAAACCTAAAGATTCAAAGGTGAAGAAGGTCACATAGAGCTAGGGCTAGAAGGGCACTTAGCACTAGGGTGAAGTAGCTTATAGAGTTGCATGTAACCATATATGGGTTAAACCTTGTTTTTTAATTTTATTTCCTCAGTAACCTGCTTGCAAGGGTGCATAAGGTGAGACCCCTTTGTTCTCGGGGCTCAGCCTTTGGACAGGAGTCTGCTGGGTCTGTGCTGGCACAATAAAATGTTACTTCCTGCTAAACTGCCTCAGTGTCCCGTATGTCAGCTAGAAACTCCCTGCAACATACTTTCTCCACACTGCTGCATGATGACATGGGCAGGCTCTAGGCGCCAAGGGTGGACTCCTTCCTCCGTAAAACTATATATATATATTTTTTGAAGTGTTAGGGATGGAGGCCAAAACCTCAGGCTTGCTAAGCAAGCACTCTATCACTGAGCTACATCCTCAGCCCCTTAAAACAATATTTTAAAATATATTTTATAGGGTAGGATGTGGCTCAGCAATAGAGCACTTACCCTTACTAGCATACACAAAGTCCTGGGTTTGATGACAGCACAGCAAAACAAAACCAAAATGTATTTTACAACTGTGTTGGTATAAAGATGAAAATAATCCAGACTGGACTCACTATTATATATTCATTATCAATACATTTATGCTTTTCTTTCAATTAAAAAAATTAAATCGAGGCAGAAGAATTGTCAGTTTGAGGCCACCCTGTGCTGCATAATGAGATCCTGTCTCAAAAAACCCAAAAAATAAAAAAAATAGAAAATTAAAATTAAAATTATTGTGGGTTCCTAGAAGTATTGTGGCCCTAAGCTCTGCCTATGTTTACTGTGTATGTTTACTATGCATAGTGAGTAAGTCATCCCTGCCTCTAGGTCCTAGTTCTGAAAGGCATTGTGTTCATGAACTTGGGGCTGTCATCACCCTTTGTGTATGTTCTGGGTCAGTCATTGTATCTTTGTGAAGCTCCAGATGGTGACTACCTGGGGTGCTGCACTAATTCCAGAAACTTGTGTATGTGAGTATGGGGCACAGTGCCTGGGACAGGATGTGTATGTGAGACCTTGCTGTCCTGTGATCATGAATCCCCATGTTTGTATGAGCACAGGGATGAGCGAGGTCTATCAGTGAGCACATATTTGCTCATATATTTATGGTTTCACTTGTGTGCTGATTCAGAAGGTGATTATAGATCTGCTAGGTGCTCAGGCCCAGGTTTACCTGCCTGGGATGTGTGTGGAGGGATCAAGCTCTGTCCAGGGTGAAAGTGTTGCCTGGGCCTGCAGCTGTGAGCCTAAGCCACTAAACCCCTAGCCTGGTGGCCACAGGTGCAATGACACTCACAGTAGGGCTACCATCTGGGCTTGATCCTTCAGGCTGACTGGGTTGGAGAAGCTGGAAGAGCTGAGAGAAAGAAGGGCTGAAGGTGCAGGGGGACTGTGCCAAAATATATACACAAGATCAAGCCACAGAAGTGGTAGCTGTTGATCCTGTTCAGTAAGAGGGTCTCAGTGATGACTGTGTAGGCCCAGAGAGCCTGACACAACTCTTAAGGTCTGAGAGGACAAGAAAAGATCAAGGCAGTCCCAGTCTCTCTCCTTGGAGCTCCCCATTACCTCTTGGTGCCTCCAGAAATGAAGTGCTGCAGTTGGCACAATCCAGGCAAGCAGCAGGCCAGCATTGCCTTAGTCCAAGTAAGAAGCTGTACCAGATCTAATGGTGGAATAGGAGGAAGAAGCTGAGGGTGCCTGAAGCTGATTCCTACCCCAGGTTCTACCCACAGGCCTGTTCCTGCTGGACTGATCCAGTTGGATTGGTACAAGGGGTGTGTATGTGTGCAAGCATGTCTGAGGTCCATCCAGCTTGATAGTCCAGCCCTGCTTGCTCTTTCTGGCTGTGCATACCTCAGGCCTTTAATCTACCTCACTGCCCTCCCTCCTCCCCACTATCACCCAGGACTGTTTGGCTGTCCTTGGATTACATTTTGCCCAGGTCCTTCTGGGGAAACGAAGTGAGGTGGACATGGGTTTATATGAGGGGTAACAGATGGATGGGTACAGGTCACAACTGTGTACAGGTGTGAGGAAGACACAAATGTGTGGGGAAGGTAAGTGTGGGATGTCATACGTGTGGGGCTCAACTCTGATCATAGGGGCTGACAAGTATGTGGGGTCGTAGCTAGCAGGGAAATACCACAGCTATGTAGGTCTGATGTGTATAGGTAAGAGTGGGTGGCTAACAGTTGTGGGGTCCTGTTTGTGAGAGGGAGGTCACAGGTAGGGGAAGTCACAGGTGTGAGGGAGACAGGTCACATTTCCTCCCTTGCCCTCTCTCTGCTGAGCTCCATCTCATGGTCTTATTGATGAACACCTGAATCTTTTTTCCAGCCTGGCCTCTCCCCACCACAGCCATGAGCATTTGGGACCTCTCTTCTGTGTTCACCTCCTCCTTCACTGTGTGAATTTTTATCACCCTCCTGGTGCAGACACCCATTCTATTCTCTGTCATCATTAGCCAGAGGGATGAGGGAGGAATCTCTTTGACAATCTGAGTTGACAACAATTTGGCCAGGCTTGTTCCTCCAACTTTACTAGTCACAACATCTCTCTCATCCACATACAGCCCTAACCACACCACCTCCCTAGTCCACTTGCTTTTGTTGATACTCACTGCCTGGCATCTCCTGTGGTCTTGGCATCTAGTGCACACCTCCCTCTACTCTGCCATCTTCACCAGCACAGGGCTTTTTGTTGGTGTGGCTCACAGATGCATCCCTAGCACACAGCTCAGCCCAGATGTGTGCTTCGTGTGCTTACTGATCAGGTGACAGTTATTGCCATCAGGGGAAGTCAGCTCTAGGCTGCCTCTTACCTCAGTCTGGAGTTGATCCAAAGCTACAACCCAGCCCTGAACTTCTCATTACAGCTGTGTTCCAACTTCCTTTAGCCTGTGTCCGTGCGTTGGTCCCTAGCATTGAACTGTCCATCCCCTTTCAAATTTCAATGTGGCTGGCAATGTAGTTCAGAAATAGAATGCTTGCCAAGCATGGGCAAGGCCTTAAGTTCAACCCACAGTACCACAAAAAACCAAAAAACCCCCCTCCCCAAATACCAATGTGGAAAGCAATCATGAAAGATACTTCAACCCCTGCTGAGTTGGTGGTACTGGGGTTTGAACTCAAGGGCTCACACTTGCTAGGAAGGCACTCTTACCACTTGAGCAACTCTACCAACTCCATTTTGCAGTGTTTTTTTTTTTTTTTTAAACTATTTGCCCGGGTTGGCTTCAAACCGCAATTCTCCTGATCTTTGCCACCCTAACTGCTAGAATTATAGGCATGTGCCACTAGCACCCAGCTACTTACTTAGTTCTTTTTCTTTTTTTGGTACTGAGGACTGAACCCAGGGCCTTGTGCAAACTAAACACACATTCTACCACTGAAAAGCACCATAGTCCTTCGGTTGTTTCTTGAGTCTGTCTCTCCAGAGCCATCACTGACACTGAGAGGGGTACCCCAGGGGTCTGATGGCTAATGGGAGGAATGGTGGTAACTCCCATCAGAGGGAGGGGTAGTGAAGCAGCTCAGAGTTGCTCTGATTATGCTGGCTGCTTCTTCTCTCCTCTGGGAGTCAAGACTAGTAATGTTGTCTCATGGCCAGGACAGAGCTTTGTGTGTGTGTGCATGTGGTGCTGGAGATAGAACCCAGGGCCTCACAAATGCTAGGCAAATATTCTACTTCTGAGCTATACCCCCAGCCCTAGAGCTGACCTTTGAGGATGTCCCTATTCTCAGCTCAGGATGCTCCCCTCAAGCCCTGTTATTCACCTCAATAGAGTGACAGGGACTGACATCCTAATCCTCTGCCCACCTTCCTCCCTACCAGACCCAAGGAATGGCTTTGACCCAGGTGGGGAGCAGAAGCCCACAGCTCTTGCCTGTGGGAACAGCAGGGAAGACCAAACATTTACTTCTCTTTTCTCTCTGGGTGGGCAAGGCAAAGAGGCTGGTACAGTCCCAGTACTGCAAGGGCAGTGCTGGAAGCTCAGTGAGCTCCATCTCTTACAATGTCAGGGCCTAACTCCATTTCAATCAATATGGAGACGAGGACTTTGGTGTTGGGGTAGCATATGGGTCCCTTCACTCCCAGTGACCCCTGCTCCAGCACAATAGCCAGAGTGGGCAGTTCTAGTCCTCCAAGTCCTTACAAATATGTTTTACCCAGCAGAGGTTTTCACAGAGAACTGAGCTCAACCTGTGGGTGACTCTGGAATCTCTCTCAATGCCCTGACCCAGAAAGAGAAAGACCAAGCACAGAAGCAATTGTTTTATATTTAGTTTACAAAAAAGACCTCAAAATAATAATAATAAACTATCCAGAGGCAAGGGAGCAGGCTGGGCCCTCCCCAGCCCAGTTGTAGCTTCAGAAGGAGCCTTTCCAGGGACTTACCCTCCCCCTTAGAACAGGGGGCTGATAGCTGGTATGGATGCCCTACTGGGCATCCTGGGGGCTCTGCCCCCTCCAGACTCATTTGTCTATCCCCTCAGGCTCCTACAGCCCAGGAGAGCCCTGTGGCAGAGGCCCGCTGGCTTAGTAGCCAGGTGGAAGACACTTACACGGTCCAGGTGAGGGCCACAGCTGCCAGAGCCAGCAGGCTGGTGAGGTGGGACCCAGTCCAGGCCCCACTGGTACCTCCAGCTGCCCGCCTACGGTCCCACTGGCACTGCTCGCCACCCCAGCCTAAGTAGCACTGGCAGCGAAAATGTGTCTGTAGGTAGTTGAGGTCGGCCCGGCTGAGCTCCCCCTCTGGCCGCAGGTGGGGTTCATCAGGTGTTTGGCCAGGCACCAGGCGGAAGCTGCTGGTACTGAGATGCAGAAAGGTACTGGAGCTGGGGATGCGGCGCACACAGCGCCCATGGCCTTGGCACTGGGTCCAACTGCAATACTGGGTGGCCCAGGACACGTTGACTACATAGGGGACCAGCTTCTGTGTCAGGTAATTCTTGAGGTACTGGCAGGTCTCCTGGGGGAAGGGGGGTAGAGGCCAGGAATAACAGGTGAGGCTCAGCTGCCTGAGTTCACAGGGACCCAGACAGAAACTTTGTTCACATTGTGGGGACAATACCCTTTTTTTCCTCCCCTGTGGTGCTGTGTTTTGAATCCAGAGCCTGTGTGTCCTATGCAAATGCTCTATACTGAGCCGTATTCCTAGTTCAACAGTACCTTTTTTTGGGTGGTACTGAAGTTTGAACTCAGGGCCTTGGGCTTGCTAGGCAGGTGCTCTACCACTTGAGCCACCCCCGCAGACCTGTTTGCTTTAGTTATTTTTCAAATAGAGTCTCACACCTATGCCCAAGCTGGGACCATGATCTTCCTATTTACATTTCCAGCCTATCTGGTATAACAGGCACATACCACCACACCCAGCTTTTTATTGGTTGAGATGGGATCTTTTGAACTTTTTGTCTGTGCTTACCTAGTACCACAATCCTCCTGATCTCTGCCTCCCAAGTAGCTTGAATTACAGGTATGAGCCGTCATGACTTCTTAGAACAGTACTTTTTTTTTTTTTTAAACAACACACATATTTGTGTACACACACACACACACACACACAGGTATTCCTAAGCCTCAGATTTCCTGTTGCTCCTGAGAAGGGGGTGGGGGACAGAGACTGGAGCCCAGCTGGGCAGGCAAGGAAGGGTGGAACTTTAGCTGTTAAAGACAGCACTTCCTCTTTCCTGGGAGCAGGGCAGGGGTGCGTTCTTTCTCTCCTAGGACCAGGGACAAACCCTGGGATGGGAGACAGAAAAGGGAACCAGACTAGGTTTGTACTCCTTAGTGAACTTGGGAGGAAAAGTCTTAATTCTCTACTATCCTTATAGACTCAATTTCAGTAGGCTGGCTGGGTCTCACTTACCATACTTGAGGTGTACACTGAATCACCCCAGAGGATGACACCAGCGGCACCCAGGGCTGCACTCTCACCAATGGTAGAGATGAGGTCCATCTGTGTGGGAAGGGAACAGTCACCGGGGAAGACTGACAGCAAAGGGTGAGAAAGGAGAGGGTAGTTGGACAGGCCTGTTCTGACCTGCTCACCTCCCAGTGCAGCCTTCCCCAATGTGCCTCCAGGCAGAGGCTGTTTGGCTTTTTCCTTTCTTTCTTTCTTTTTTTTCAGTATTAAGGTTTGAACTCGAGGACTCCTGCTTACTAGGCCCCCTCAGCAGGTAGTCTCATGTGTTTTGTCTGTGGACAGCCTCAGACCACAAACCTATCTATGGCCGCCCATGTAGCTGGGATTATGGGCACGCACCACATCTGGCTTATTTGTTGAGGTGGAGGTCTCACTAACTTTTTGCCTTGATCTGGCTTTGAATGTGATCCTCCCAATCTCTACTTCCTAAGTAGCTGGGATTATAGCCATGAGTCCCATGCCCAGCCCTCTCGTAAACATTTTACTTTGGGCCTCCATCTCTAAGCCAAGGGCACACCTGAGCCTACATGGAGCCTAGCATGGATTCCAAAATCAGGATTCCTGAGTCCAAGTAACTATGCTGTCCAGGGCTTGCTGGAGGCCTTGGATAAACTTCTTAGCATCTCTCTGCCTCAAATCTAGCCACAAAATGGGGGTAATGACGTTACCCTTTCACAAGATTAGCAAGAGAAAAATTTGCCTAGATGTGGAGCAGTCAGAAAACTACTGACTACTACGAGGGTTTCAGGCCCAAGTACCCAAACGCATGGTGGTTTCTGGAAGGAGAAAAACAAGGCCCAGGAGAAGGGCACATACCTCACTAAGCCCTGTGAGCTTGCGGGTGTAGGTGGGCCGTGTGAAGACATACACTGGGAGTGCATGGTTGGCATGATGGGTGTGAGCCACACGAAGGGCCTCCTGAACACGGAAGCTGACAAAGTTGCGGCCTTGGACAGAGGAAGCCAGTGTCTCATCCAGGTAGACAGAGGGAAAGAGGGCTGTACTCTCAGCCCACAGCCAGGCCAGCTGGTCGTTGCGGGCCACCTCGACATCAGGGCAGCGGCCTGTGTAGGTCTCCCAGTTCTGTACATAATCATGGTTGTAGCAGTCAGGAAAGAGGTAGAAGCCCCAGAGGTGCCGAGGTCTGACTGCCTTTACATAGCGTAGTGTCTCCAGCATGAACTGCCGCGCAGCGAACTCAAACTCATATTGAGCCTGTTTGACTATTCGGTCTGATGGCCAGTCAGGGTGACGACTGGCCACCAGCTGACGTGATGACTGGCGGTATACATCCTTGTCCTGCCAGTTACGCACCCACACAGGCCGCCAATCCTCCCAGTCAATGACTGCCAGCCCTGCAGGCTCCTGGGTGCGAATGTAGTGCTCCACAGGTTTCTTCAGCATCTGCAGGTGTGCCCAGAGGCTGCCGTTCTGTGGCACACCACCATGAACAGACACCCCAGCTGAATCAAAGTGTGGATACAGGCTCAGACGGTCATAGTAGAATATGGTGATATTCTGGTTCACAAAACCCTCATTAGGTGAGGCCTCCACATCGAAGGCCCTCAGGTCCAGTGGTACCTTGTGGCGTGGGGCGCAATCCTGCGTGGGCACATCCCATGCTACCACAAATGGCCGGCCTGTGAAGATGGGTGGTGCTGTGGGCTTGAGCTCCATGGCCCATGCCACCGCCAGCACCAGGGCCAATGTGATGGTGGGGCCCAAGCCTGCCCGCATGCTGGGTGCTGCAGGAAGTGTCACCTGCCAAGCACCAGCTCAGGAACTGAAGGAAGGGTAGGAGAGAACAAGTCAGTGTAGAGAATTATGAAGGTGTCTACCTTAAGCCCATCTATGTTCCAGAAGCCATGTTGTGTGGGTCAGTGTGTGCCCAGTTGTTCAGACCACTGTAATAGGTTTGGGAGACCACAGGCCACTGAAGAAGGGTAGGCAAGACACCCTACAGACTCACTACCAGAAACACAGGACTCCTTTCTGGAGCAGGTAGCAAGAATCTGTTAGGTCTGAGACTCTTCTGAGAATCAGATGAATTAGGCTATGGACCTGCTGCCAGAGCCACACAGGTGCGTGCTACCATCCAGTACACGGTTTCACAAATCTTGGAACCCCGAGCCCTACACTGTATCCCGTGAAGAACCCTTGATTCTAGAGAAACAACAGAAGTTGGGTAAGGCAGGGCACAAGTCATACAGAAGCCGCGAAGCTGGGAGGAAGATAGCTGCAGTGTTGGTGTCTGTGCAACACCCTCCAAAGGGAAGAGAAGCTGTCAGGACTTATCGTGCACAGACACTCTCCCAGGCCTGGAGGAGGCCTCGCAGGGACAAAGGGGCAGCGGACCTCCCACAGCGGCGCAGGCCGACCTGCCCTTCCCTCCACAGCCACTGAGAATGTGCGCGCGCGCGCCCGACCCCCCCACCTCCACCCCCCACCCCCCCGGCGGGTCTCGGGTGGAGAGCACAGTGCCTTGGCCTTTGTGCAGGACCCCGCCCCCGACCCGCACGTGGAGCCAGAGCCCCGCCGGGTGGAGAGTGGGGTTCCTGGGCCTCCTCTCTGGGGCGCTCCCAGAGTTTAGAGTCCAGCCTCGGGGAAGTGAGCCGCCACGCTTGCACTGCCTTCCCTCACCTCACACAGCACGCCAGAGGGACCCGCGCCAGGGCCGCCGCCATCCTTAGCCCCAGCCTAGCTCGCTCCAGCCCTTCGCCCAGGCACCGCCAGGGATAGGCACTTCTGCTGGCTCCGCCCCAGGCCCACGGGCCCTTTAAGAATCCAGCCGCAGAGGTGGGCAGGGAGCAGGATTTGCGGCCCAGGCGGGAGGGTATGTCCACCTTTCTCGCTGCCAGTACCGCGTTTCGGGTTTGAGATCCTCTGATTCCTCTGCAGAGGGACGTGTCACCTAACCGAGACCCAAGGCTCGTTCTAACGGGGATTTCTGCTGTCGTCTCAGCCTCAAGAGCCAATCAGCCTGAGATTTTACCCCCACAGTCTGTCGCCGGTGGTTAATCCTCCCCGTTTCTCGGTGCAGTCAGCCTCTTAAAGGGACAGGGCGGGGTTTGGAAAAAAGGAGGTGGCTTTCTTCTGGCCATAAGGAGGTGCTGTGGCACCCCGAGGCCTTGGCTGGGGGCAGCTGCGAATCTAAATCTGCATCCCTGAATGTAGCTTTTACCACTAGGCCCTTTATGTGGAAAAAAAGGGACTCTGATCTGAATGGGTCCAGGGCCTCTTGGGACAGTAATGCCTGGCTTCCTAAGAATCCAGTATCCCTTGGGTTCATCTGTGGTCTGAAGGGAAGCCCCGCCCCCTTGCCGGTCTACGGGAAGGGGCCAAGCACCGCCTAGAAGCCCTCCCCTGGCCAAGCCGAGGCAGTGGTTGGTCTGGCAACCTAGGCGGTGGGTCGCTGCGTGGCGGGCGGGGCTGGGGACAGGGAAGCTCAGTGAGGCGGGGAGCGGGGGGGGGGGGGGGGGGGAAAGAGGGGAGAAGGAGGTAGGGAGTCCCTTCGCCCCCACCCCCCGCCCCGCATGAGGGGCAGGCCAATCCCTCAGCTCCTCTCCTGCCCAGTTTCTGGGGGTGGGGGTGGGGGGAGTCTGGGGAATCGCTCCTAATTCCAAGGAGGATGCCAGTCTTGCAGAAGTTTCTGGCCAAACAGCGTGGCCAAACAGCGGCGAAGCGCGTGTGTGTGTGTAGATTTGCTCCCTAGTGTGGGACCCAGCTCCCCAAAGGGCCAACGACTAAGCCGCCAGCCTAAGCCGCCAGCCCCTTCCCGGACCGCTCGCCTGCTAGAGGGAGCGCCGAAGCGAGAGCATCTACGGTGGCGCAGACCAGTCTTTGGTCTGCGCTGTGCTCACCTGTGTGGAAGTCTGTATCGGCCCAGTATGTCCGCGGCTTCCCTTCTTCTTGAGGTGAGCCTCTCCAGCTAGGCTACTTGCACCAGCTGCTGCCCGCTGGGCAGTCCGCCGGGGACTTGATAAACCCCATTCCCTCCCACCGGCTCCCGCCTCCCATCCCAGCCTTTCTTCTCACTTCCTGCTGCCCCTCTGAGAGGAAAGGGCCAGGAACAGGCACGGGGGGAGGAGAGCGACTTGACCTGGTTTCCCTCCGACATGCCCTGCTGGCTAACAGCCGTTTCCACCCTTCCCGAGTAGATCGGGCCCCACCAGCTGTCCCAGGTGATAGGAAGGCTATGAGCGCAGGGTCAGGTGCTAAGTCTCTTCCATCCCTATAATTTCCTTAACACTGGGGAACCCCCCCCTTCCCTTGGGGGTGGGGATCATCAAATCCAGTATGGTGTGAGGGGGACCCAAGTAGGGGTCTTTGTGGGAGTCAAATTACTTGCAGGGGTGATCAGCTGATTGTCTTCCAAAACAGGTGTCAAAGAAGGGAACTAGCTCTGGTGAGGGGGTGTGGGTTGGAGGGACTTCCAGGAGCTGAGTCAGTTTTTTTTCTACTGAGTGGAAGAGTCCCAAGTGTGACCAAGAGGACAATGTGTTGATGTGTGTGACTGTGTAGGTTGGGGGTGGGGTATGGGCTGGAGGGTCTGTAGGGTACTCTCCTGCTGGAGGATGGTCCATGGTGAATTTCACTGAGTCTGCTGCACAGAGTAAGGGGCTCCATCAACATGGGTGTGTTCTGTGAGAGGAAAAGCTTTTAATGTGGCTTGCTCCACACAGGGCTATGACAAGGTTCCCACAGTCCTTTCCAGATGTGCGGACAAACCTGCTTACCCTCAAATCACCCTGAGCTTGCTCCTCACTCAGCACCCCACTGGCTCCCCTCCCCAATGCCCAGGGGCCCCTTTCCTAATAGAAGGCTTGTACGGGGGACTAGGGTTAGGTGGGTGCATGCCCTGGAGTGTGGCCCTCAGGATCCAGGAGTCCAGGACATGGTAGGGATGCAGTAGCCTAACACTGTGTTGTTCTCACAAAGGACTGAGGCCTAGGAAGCACCAAGGGTGGAGTCCCCTGGGAAAACAAAGGCTAGGCCAGATTATCCCAGAGTAGGGACACTTCCTCAGGCAGCCAGCAGGAAGGAAGTGAGCACAGCCCAGCGGGAGGGAGTGGGGGAAGTACTGCCCTGACTCCCATTGTTTCCAGCTTTGGGGTCAGCTGGGCAGGCTCAGCACAGGGAGTTCCCCCAGGCAGGACAGTGGTGGTAGGAGATAGGATGCTATCTGGTATGGGAAAGCCCTGGTCCCTGAACAGCCAGTTGGGAGTCAGTAGAAGATATTAAGGCCTTAGGCACATTATGGGGGATGGGAAGGCAGCCCAGAGAAGTGCAAGGCCAAGCTAAACAGGGTGATCTTGCTCCAGACTTGACAAGTCCAAGCCTCTGAAAGACTGGCAAGACATCTGTCCAGACCCACAAGCCTGGGTCTCTTTATTTCCATCCTCCCTACCTGGAAGTTGAGCTGATGGCCAAAGAAGCTAGGTCTAGCAGACAATGTGCCATCTAGCAGACAATGTGCCTCATAGCAGGCCATGAGAAGTGCAGGCAGAATGTCCACAGGTGGCAGAGAACAAAGGGTCTTGCCTGCTCGAGCTCACTCTCCTAAATAGCAGCCTGGGAAAAGTCAGGTGAGTTTAGGCTGCAAAGCCTGGTATTAGGCAAAGAGTGTGGTGGCACCTGTCTGGTTGTTACTCATCGAAGGCTGAGCTTTTGAGGTCCATGGAGCTCAGGACCTTGACCAGAAGTATTCCAGAACTATTTGGGGGGTCACACTCTCACCTTAGGTCAGGCAGTTGGGGCAAGTCCCTAGTGAAGTATCCCAAGGCCTTCTGATTCCAGGGTTCTCCACCACACTGATCACAACAGAAAAGTAAGTCCCCCTTCCCCTGCACCCCCCAATCCTGAGAGGGCCTGTGGTGAGGTCTGTGTGAACACACAGCCACCTACTGGCCATGGCTGGTATTGCGACAGGCAGGGCTCAGCCTTACTACCCTTGGTGGGTGCTGAAGATAAGGGGGCTGCCAGTCTGCCTAGGCCTACCTATTGAACCCAGGAGGTAGTCTAGACACTGAGTTTCACAAATCCCGAAGATGCCACTCTTATGTGCAGGATCTACAAATAATTTTATTGAAACTGAACAAATAACAATTGTCTTCCTATGCTGGGGGCCAACCTCCCCAAGCCATTTACCACACTCTAGAAGCACAAAGCTTGCACAATAAAGAATTAAAAAAAAAAAAAAAGTAATCTCTATATAGAAATCAGATTCTGTCCCAACATCATCATAGACTAGACTATTTACAAACCTTCACATTTTAAGTATTCCTTTTATGGTTTTTCCCTCCTTTCTGTCCCTACCAAGGGGGTCCAGTACTTTCCCTTGACTGATCCTGAAGGGGTGAGGATACTTTTGGGGGAAGGGGGTTGGGTTGCTCATAGCTACTGGTACCAGCCCTAGTATGTTGTTTCTTACCACAGGATAATGGATAGTACCCCCTCCCCACACACAAAAAAAAGCTAGGGGAGAGGGGGCTGGTGCGAAGGCAAAGGGGATTAGACAGAATAGGTGGCTTGAGGCAACTCACTATAGGCACAGGCATCCACAGCCTGTCTTGACCCTGGCCTGCACCATCTCATCTGGGGAGAGGGCAACAACTAATTGCAGTGAGGAGGGAATCAGCCCAGCCCTGGATGAAGTCCCACACCAGTCTCCATTCCTGTTAACAGCCTGCAAACTGTCCATTCCAGAGTGGGAACAAATGGCAAGTTGGCAGGAAGAATCAGGCTGGTGCTGTCCCTAGCCTCTGTCCAATACAGGAGGAATCGAGGTAGCAAACAGCTGAAATGCTCCAACTAGGGGGTAAGGGAAGTCAGGGAAAGGAAGTTCCCACTTGTGTTCAGCCCCCACAGCCCAGGGGCTGGAAGAAGGCAGACTTTGCTTGTAAAGTGCTGTAGCTTCTAGCAGGGCTGGGCCCTAGGCAAGCTTGGAAGAAATCAGGCTAGGCAAAGAACCAGGAACCAGGCATTCCTGACTGGCATATACCCTGCTATGCTTCTTGCAGGGGTGGCTAGGGAGGTTGGGCCAGTAACTCTTGTCATTAGCCTTCACCAGCCACCTCTTGTCCACAAACAAACCATTGCCCAACTAACACCGAGGGACCGCCCTGCTTACAGCTGAAGGTTCAGGGCCAGCGGAATTTATTCAGGGCTGTGGCCCCAGCCTGGACTCCTCAATAGAAGCCACACCTTGAGCCTGGGAGTTTCTTGCTGGGGCAGAAGGTGCTTGTGTCTGCCACCCCACAGGCTCACATCTCATAGAGGATCACAGGGAAATCCACGTGGATGCGGGGGGGATCCAGCTTCACGATGCCCTGCCATGAAAACAGAGGCTAGTAAGGGTCAGCTCAGTACCTCTACTCCAGGAAGCCTTCCTGTTCTTCCCAGCTCCTCCCCTAGTAGACCTCATCTGGGTCTACCTCCACATACTTGACAGGCTCTAAGACCACTGCCCAGCCCCTCACCTGAGGAATTAGATTCTTATGCACCCGTCTCAGCTTGGCGCGCTTCTGTCCATTCTTGGTGATGATTGTCTCCTCATAGAACTCATGAGCCAGATCCCCATCTTCATCATAGAACATGGAGCTGTGTAGAAAGGGAACAAGCTGGTCATGGCAAATGCCACAGACCATAGGGAAGTGTGCCTAACTTCTAGTAAGAAGGAACAATCTTGGTGGGAAGAAGAGAGGATAAATATGCCTGGGGAATCTTTTGCTTGAGGCTTGGGATCTACTAGAAGGAAATGGGGAGTGCAGTAATGGACAGTATCATATGCCCAAGAAGAAAGGCCATACCAGAGTACACTGTCCAAGAAACCAAAACCAGTTCTCATCACTGGTTTGTCTCATAAGACCAGCCATTCCAGTATAAGGCCCTTCATCCAGGCTTACAGAATGGGGAAGGGTGGTGGCCTGGGCATGTTAGTCTCACTCTAGAAGACACTGTTGGCCAAGTGCCAAAGACTGGAGATGTGAATGTCTGAGCTAGCAAGGAGCTTAAAGAGAGAAAAGCTTTGTTCTCTCGCCCTTTCCAAGTGGCTGGTGCAGCCAAATTGCTCTCTTGGGTCCCTCTGGTATTTACAGTTAAATCTCCACAATAGGGAGTGCTTGTCCAGAAGCTCCCTAGGGACAGGTCATTCTGATGCTCTTGTGAAAAGAGGGGTTAGGTCAGCACTCCAGATCTGGAGAACATAAACAAGTGAGGGTCTTTTTTTCCTGGTCTCACTCTCAACACTGGGGTCCAGCCTTGCTTACTCAGCCCCTACTCTCAGAGGTCCAACCCCACTACTGTGGGGAAGGAAAGGAGCCTAAACAGAAAGTCATTCACTTAAGAATAAGGGGGAGGGTAAACAGCCTTTGACTTGCACGCTGAATTAGAAGGGATGAAAGGAAATCCTAGGGTCTTATACAGACCCAGTCTCACCTTTACCTTGGGGAATGCATGCCTCTGGCCCACTCTTCCCTGGGGAGGCCTTCAGTACAGCCACAGCCAGGTCTTCAAGAGCCTACTGCTTTGCTTTCCCCACCCCTTGCTCTAATGGAGGCTCCAAAGGGAGTCCTCCTGACTCAGGTGTAAGGGGGGGTTCGGTGGCAAGCATTCCCCATGGCACCGCCTGGCTGTCTTCCCTCAGGGAGAACCCATGTCCTTACCCGCGGCGTGTGAATACGAAGGGGGGCACGGCTCGGGATCGAGGCCGCACCAAAGCTTGCTCGGCGCCCGCCGCCTCCGGGCCACCGCCCCCCGCCGCCGAGGCGAAGGGCCAAAGGCCCCGTGCTTTGGAGCCGCTGGCGCCCATGTCAGGGCCGCCGGCGCATGGCGGACCCCGCGGCCGCTCAGCTCTCACAGTGCAGTGGGCGCCACCATGACCTGCCCCAGCCTCGGCTCGCAGGTGCAGCCGCAGCCACCTTTGGCAGGCTCGGCTGTCTCCACGGAAACCTCACTTCCGCTTCCGCATGCCCCGAACGCTGCCCCCTCCGATTGGCTGCTGCAGTCGTCGGTCTGTGGACAGAGCCAATGGTCACCCTCACTGGCTGAGCATCTCCCAGCATGCGCTGCAGGAACTCAGATCCCAGCAGGCCATGCTCTTGTCAGCTGGGGAAGCAACCTCCCAGGGTAACGGTGTAGTGTGTTCTGGCTCCGTTAGGCTGACTGGCACGTAGGGCTTTCCAAGTCTCTGACCCTAGAGCTTAGGCCCAGCTGACCTACTAAACTACGTCATCTCAAACCAGCATTTTAGGCCAGACGCAGGCCAGGCTGTAGGTTGCCTGTCTGGCTTCTATTTCCACGACCGTGTTTCTGCGACCATCACTGTCACATGTAGGGAAATAAAAGCCTAAGGAAAACTAAGGAACTAGACAATTTTTTTCTTAAACCAAATGTCTTATAGCTACACTGACAACTGAAAAACTTCAAATTCAGTATTCTTTATAAACTCACCATAAGGCATACTTGCTTTGAAAACAGTAACAGCTATAGCCTGCAGTACTGTGTCTAGTTCACAGCAGATGGGTATTTGGTGATAGAAGTTATGCCAGATTCTTTCAGAGGTGTGTTGAGAAATGATTTCCCAAGTTCTAGCTGCAGCTTATTCTTGTCCCAGCCATGACCTGAGCCCCAGTGATGAGTGATAGAGTACATCTGCATATTTGGTAACAAATTGGTTCCATGGCAACCTCGAAAAGGATGCCCTATGAATCTACCCATCACTTTTTTGGTGGTACTGAGGTTTGAACTCAGGGCCTCATGCTTGCTAGGCAGGTGCACTACTGCTTGAGACACTCCACCAGTCCTGTTTTTTTTTTTTTTTTTTCTCCAATAAGATTAAATTCTTTACTATATATGCACATTGTGTACACCCTCCTGTTGGGTATTATCTTAGCTGAAAGTGCTAACAACATACCCTAGACTGGGTAAGAAATAGCTATTTTTCATAATTCTGGAGGCTGGGAAGTCTAATATCAGGGTACCATCTTGGTCAAGTTCTTGAGGGCTCTCTGTCTGGCTTGTAGGTGGCTGTTTTCTTAATGTCTGTCAGACACTGATATTTGCAGATGATCTTCCATTTCCTTTTATGGTTTCTGGAAAAAACTTTTTCCAGGTTCTCATTTAGGCTTTATTGTGTCCTTTGGTTCTCCACTTTCTCTTGCCCTTTAAGTATTGATATTACTTGAATTTCTGTTCTTGCTATCTTCTTGCTTAGTTTTATGCATTTTCCCTGGGTGATTTCTACTTGTGTTGTTTCAACTATCTTCTGTGTTGGGTATTTTTGAGATAGGGTCTCGCTATTTGTCTGGGGCTGGCTTTGAACCACAATTCTCCTGATTTCTGCCTCTTGAGTAGCTAGGATTACAGGCATGAACCAGACACCCAGCTACCCATCACTAGGGGCTACTGTGGCTGTGGTCCCACAATAGAGAGTCCAAAAGCAGGAAGATTCTTAAATCTTTATTCAGCCAATTCTTTCAGGCCTCAGGCCTTCGTGATGACTGTTATCCCCATCCCTTTCCCCATAGGAGGCATTCAGTTGAGGTCACAAGACATTACATGCATTCACACACTTCTTCAACAATATATGAGGGAGAGTCCCTGGCTTTGGCAAACAAAGAATGGGCCTGGCCCATTGCCCTCATTCACAAAGACCCTAGCCTGGCCCAAGGATATCCTCCTTGAAGGCAATGAGGCACTACTTCTGTACTATGAACCAGCTCTCCCTGACCTTAGGAAGGTGTGAGTCAGAAGGCACAATAGAGGGATACCTAGACTTTACCTTACTGCCTCTTTACTCTAGAGTACCCACCCTTGGTTCTGAGAGGGCTATCCTGAGATTCCATCCAATACCCAAAACAACCTTTTTCCCATAGATGAGGGACCTCACCCCTGCAAACACAACCCTGTTCTGTTTGTAGGGTCTCCAAGATTCTCACGTCTGAGATATGAATTAAGGAGACTTTGCCCCATTCCTGCTTCAAGCCTGGAGTAGCTACCCAGGGAAGCCCTGGCCCACCATGACCCATTACATGAGGGACAGATGGTTGGAAAGCCATGCACTGCTACACCCATTGGTGGACACAGGGGACCAGCTCCTTCACTATTCTCTGGGCTCATTCCCACAACAGGAGAAGGCCTCCATGCACACTCATTCCTCAGGTCCCATGGGCCCTGTCACACTCACACAGCACTCTCTTGGCACTGCCTACTCTCCTCCTTCTATCCAGGGGTATAAGAGGTCACCCCAAGGGGCAGGCGTGCAGGGCCTCTTGGATCTTCTGACGGCAACGGGAATACTTCTGCAGGATCTGACGAAGGTGTTCCTCTTCCTCTCGCTGCAGGATGCGCAGGAAGTTATGTAGTTCAGGCATGCTGAAGGCATCCCACTGCAAGGGGGAAGAGGGGAGGTTCACAGGCTGCACCAGGCATATCAAACCAGCAAATTCTTCCCAGAGAAGATCACCACATCATGGCCTTTCTGTGGATAGGCTTTTGTCCAAACAATCTGTGCTAGGAACCCCAACAATTTGTATAGAAGATGGATCCCACAAATAAGTCACCTCATTGAGAAGCAGCAAAACAGGACATTCCCCAATTACCTGCTGTCAGGTTGTGTCCACACTCTGAATCTAATCCAACACCATAAGCCCAATACCTGGGAACCAGATAGCTTTGAGGTAAAAACTGTTTTAAAAAAATGGGGCTATGGAGGGCTGGTGGAGTGGCTCTACCACTTGAGCCACTCCACTTCCCTAGCAACCATGAGGCCCTGAATTTAAACCCCAGTACCACAAAAACAAAACAAAAACCCAAAAACAACTATCTGTAAAAATTAGGGCTATGGATCAAATCAATTGAAGACCTGTGCATGTGAAGAAAGCACTTCATCACTAAGCTACATCCCTTCTACTTTCCCAACCCGCCCCCTTCACTGCAGGGGACAGAACTTCAGGCTTTGCTCATGCTGAACACTTGCTCTACCAATGAACTATACCCAAGCATAGGCAAAGTCTTAATGCTTTAAGGGGAGCCTCTATCATGTTTTGGTCTTGGGCTCACACCTTTGATTTGATCTGCAGTCAGATGTACTCCGCAATCTTCAGAGGATTTTCCATACCAGGAAAGAGCAAAGCAACAAGACAGTTCTTCTGACTTCTGGGATAGGCCATAAGCTCTGACATGAGTGGCCTAGAAGCCTTCACTCTAGACACAAGGCCCACACACTCCTGGAGAGGCTTTGCCAGACTTGTCCTCCAGTTCAATTCCTCCTTCCAGCCTTACTGTAGCTGCAGCCCATCAGACTTAATTCAGTGACAAGCAAGACAATAATGAAGACTGTATACTCACATTCACCTCCCCAGAGTCATTCTCCTTCAGGACAAAGCTCAGGGCTTTCTCACTGGGCCCTGCGAGAAGTCGTAACCTCAAGGGCTGCTCATCATCTGACAGCTTCCGGAAATACACTGAAGGGCAGATAGGGGAAAAGGATGTGTGTGATCAGAGACAGGCCCAAATGCTTCAGCCTCTGCATGCACAGGTACAAGTATATACGTGCTCACACACAGGAAGCCCACCTTGGCCATGACGCTCAGCTCGTTCAAAGAGTGCAAATTTGCGGGGATCATCAACCACCAAGAATTTTCGAAGCAGGGCCTCAATGACCTCACGTGCCCTTGTGCGTGACAAAACATGCAGGTGCTTGATAGTGTCTTTGGGCAGATAAAAGGAGGTGCGGCGCCTCACAGCTGTGCTCCGTCCTGAGCCCCGCCGGGCATCTTGTAAGGAAGGTGGTTTCTTGCTGGAGGGCACTGAGACAGGGCGCACCAGCTTTAGCTGAACTTTGATGAAGCCTGTGTAGGAGCCATCCTTGTTCTAAAATGAGAGAAAGAAACCAATAATGACAGTGAGATGAAACAGTCTAGGGGTCAGTCCACATAGCTAGGTAGGCATAAATCACTTGGGTCTATCCAACAATATCTTGGCTATGAGTTTTGGGGCATCAGGCACACAGTTGGGTTCTTGTCCCTCCCCATACTACCTTTCTGAATAGTTAACTCACCAGGCTCATGAAGAGGTTGCTGTTGATTTGTCCATTGTACTCCTTGATTTTCTGCTCAATCTCAGCCTGAGAAAGGTCAGGTGTCTCCCACTCCACAGGCTCATCCTAAACAAAAGGTCAGCATGAATATAGGGCTTTTGAGAAACACAGGGCTTCTCTAAAAAACAGTGTCTGGGGCAGCTCTTTTTTTTTTTTCTTTTTTGGGCGGTACTGGCCTTGAACACTCTCTGGTCCCGCGCTTGCTGGGCAGGGACTCTTACCACTTGAGCCACTCTTGCCAGCCCTGGGGCAGCTCTTGGAAATTGGCTGATTTTGGCCCTGTCACTGAACCCATCCCCCCGAACCTGTCACTGCTCCTAGCTCTACATGCTACAGGTACAGATGACAAAGGCAGAATCATTTAGCTTCTTTTTGCTGCCTGCCAGGGGCCACCTCAAGACTGGATGTGACCCGAAGGACATCATAAAACCAAGTTTAATTGAGGGCACATGGCCAGGGGCCAGAAAAACATGAGGGACTCTGAGAAGGAACTTTTGTTCAAAGTAAAACCACTACTCAGGGCTGCGGGTATAGCTCCGTGGTAAAGCACTTGCCTACTATGTGGTAGGACCTGTGTTTAGCCCTAGTACCAAAAAATAAGTAAACAAAACAAAACCATGTCTCAAATGCACAGCTAATCCCAGCACCCTAGCTGGGTTGGAGTCAGGGTTTGTTCTTGGAGAAGGCAACCCATTTTTCCACTCCATACTGCAGCATAGGTGATGTAGGAGCTGGTGCGTATCAGCAGTCCAGTCATCAGCAGGCAGGAGGGGAAGGGTAATCTCTACAATGTCAACATCCTTTGGTGGGGTTCTTGGGACCAGCTTCCAGCTCTGACTTCTCAGATGTAGTGAGGAAATCACTGTAACATGCCATTTAATCTTGACCCAAACTGCAGAAAAGGCAACTTTAGGCCAGGATCTGATAGGCCAGAGGTGAATAGCAACTTCCTGGTATAGGCTGGCCCATGAATGCCAAGTAGCAGAGGGGTTTCTGTGCTTCCCCCTGCTGTTTGGAGATTTAGGGCAAAGATTTTAGTTCCACCACTCAGTCCCCTTTTCTTTCAGGGACTTGATTTTTGCAGAGGGCAGAGTGTGAGTCAGAACAGCTAGGACTATGAACTGACTTTCTTCAACCAAACTTACTTGACCCTACTGCCTCAGCCTTATTTCCTGTTGATGTAAGATGGAGTCTGGTTGGAATAGGAGTGTCAGAAACACAGCTGAAATCACCACTGACCAAAGTCTTTTCCCAGAGAAATTCTCACCGGGTCTCCTATAGAATGAAATTGTGCCCAGCTTTGATCCCAGCACAGCTAGGGTTCTCCCTAACTACTGGTTTGGAGCCTCTAAGTTGCTTAAACAGATGATGGGGACAAATGAGGAGGACAGATGAGGGAGCAAGGTGGAGCCCATGGACTTTCAGCAGCATGCTCTTCACCCAGAACTTCCTGGTCTTCAGCAGCCAGCAAATCTATGTTTCTGAGAACTAAGGCTTCATAGAAAGATTGTGAGGGAAGGATGAAAATCAATGCCCACCTCTGCCCTCTGCCCCCCAGGTTCCCAAAGATCTTCTGGATGGAGGAGAGCACTGAGGAATGAAAACTCCAGCAGAAACTATGTTAGGGACAGTGGGCAATCCTGTCAGGCTAGTAAGAACAAATGGTTTAGGCCCTGGAAAATGAGGACTAGAAACTGGGAATAAGAGGTAGATGTGTTTTTTCAGGCCCAAGGACAGAGGCTGAGACATACAGAATGCCCCAATGGGAAGGAGTACCAGGATGGGAAGGGTGCTGGGAGGAATGCTGAACAGACAGACTCTAGTGCTGGGGCAAGAAGCATATTCTGTTTACAGAACACAGAAGGCACAAAGAGTGTGCTAATTCTCCATCCTTGTGACAGTTCTAAGCTCCAGTCAAGACAATGAGAAAATTTACTCCTTTGTCTTTCCATCCTGTTTTATCCTGGACTGGGACCCACTGACCTCAGTTCCAGCTCCTTCCTTTCTCCAGTGCACACTTCTCTCAGTATCTAAATTTACTCTTTCTAGCCTTAGTCTAGAGGCTACCCTATCCTGTCAAGACTCTTCTTCCTCAAGAAGAGGAAGTTACTTTTTCTGTTCCCAAAGTTGCCTGCTGGAAGAGGATTCCAATGATGTCCCAGAGGGATGCACAGGAGGGTTATGGAATTTCTCTTTTCCTGCCCATAGCAACTTACTCTCCACTCTTTACTTCCCCACCCTCTGGTGCCGGGGATTAAACCCAGAACCTCATGCATGCTGGGCAAGTGCTCCACCACTGAACCACACCCCCAGCTCTGAAGGTTTTATTTTACAAAGGACTTGGGTCTTCTCAGCCTCCTTTTCCTTGTTTTTGGGTGGAGATTGAACCCAGAGCATGCATGCTAGGCAAGTGTCTACAACTGAGCTATACCCCGAGCCCTCCACCTCATTTTCAACTGTCTAGTGCCTGTGGTTTTCCCATCTTTCCATAGTGGAAGATGGCTCAGGCTGAGTGGTATGGAAACAACCCCTGGGCTGAGATTTTGGGATGTTGAGCAGCACCCCTTCTGTAAGAAATTTTGTCAAATTTCACCAAAAGCATCATCCAACTTCAGTTTCTTGGTTCAAGTAAGGAATTTTACCCCATTGCTTCCTGGTATATTAAACTTCATGGTCCCCTTTATGTCCTGATCTGTTTGCTTCCCTGAGGCTACACTTCTCAAGGCCAGAAAAAGTTATCTGAGCCTTGTGGTCACATCCATGACATCCCCACAGAGGTCTCTGATAATGGGGACAACCCAGGAGATTCTGAGAGGTTCAGACGATTCACAAGCTTCAATTATTAACGGGGATCTCTTTCCACCCCTCTCAGGCACTTTATAACTTTGCCTTCTCATCCCCTATGGGCACAGTGCTCCTGAATGCTTACCCAGTCTACAGCCATACCACCCCAAACGCGCCTGACCTCCTCTGAATGCTTACCGTTCAGAACAAGGAAACAAAGGCTCCCTTCCTATCCATTCCCAAACATGCTTTCCAAGAGTCCATGCCAGATGGAGGACTGAATCTTCTATATTCCAGCAAGAGCCTGGGAACTCAGCTGGTTCCACCCAGGTGTACATGTAGGGGCTGGATTCCCTCCGTCTCTCCTCTCCTAAACATACTTCACTTTCCCAGCGAGGGCTCCTCCTCCTCCATTTCCTCCTTCAGTTCCCCAAGGAAGGAGTGGGAGTGCCAAACGCGAAATCAGGATGCTAACCCGAGCTGCGCAGTTGCTTTAGTCATAGGTGAATAACGCCCGTCTCTAGTCTAACCCAAGCTAAAAAGCTGCTTCCCCTGGTTCAACCGGTCTGTGATAAGAGCAAGGACGCCTCGGGACTCAGTATCGACGCGCTGGAACGGGGGCTTTACCCTGAGCTGAGAGCCCTATCCGCGGTTCCGAGGGCCAGTCCCCCGCCCGGAGGATAGGGCTGCCCACCAACTCTCCATGCGGCAACTTACCGGGGAGGGGCGGGGTTCCAGCGACCGCCCCTCGCCCGCCGCCGGCCACCCCTGGCTCCCACCTGGTCCCGGCGCGGCCTGCGGACCAACGAGGTACGCGCCGTGAAGTATTGTTCGAGCTCGGAGTCCGAGTCTTCTTGGCTGCAATAACCACTGCTTGTCGTGCTGCTCCAGGTCATCTCGAAAGAAGGCGTCTCCACTTCACCCATCGCTGCGCCCGCCCGGTCCCCTGACCTACTGCTTCTGTAAACTCCAACCACCGCCCCAGGCTCGTGCGTGCGTTTGCGTGTACCAGTGTGAGCTTGCGCCGGAGCCAGAGCCGCGCCGCAACCGTTAAGACTAAAACGTAGTTAGCCAGGCTCTAGCTCTTGTCTCATTGGGAGAGGAAGTCGAGGGGCGGGGACACACATGCTACTTCTCTAGGGATGACCTCATCGCCCAGGCAGCTCAACTCAGCTCCGCCTCGCAGGCCCCGCCTCCCAGACGAAACCTATTCGGTAGGTGTGCGCATGTGCACCAACTTCGCCGCCGGATGGAAGCGGCTGCAGGAAGTGCGCGTGCGCCGAGCCTATGCGCGCCTTGGCAGCAGTTTGTCCGTGGCTTGTAAGGTCTGCTTGGAGTCAGCACCCCCGGGCACACCGCCAAGCCTTCGCGCAGAACTAGTCACTCTAATGTCGGGAAATCGGCATTTGAACGCTACTGTGCGCAGAGCCCGAACTGCCAGCAAGCGCCTGCGTTGTGGCCTGCCGGTCTGTGCGTCCCCGCCCTACCCGGGCTCCCCTAGCTCCCGCGCTCACCACGTTCGTGTCCCGCTCCAGCGCGGGGTCCCAGCCCAGGTCCCGGGGCCCGCAGCAATCCAGGCAGACGAGCGCGCGGCAACGGTAGTGGCAGGTGAACTTGCAGTCTGCAGAAAGGGCTAGCCGTGAGGCGGAGGAGCCCCAGCTTCAGCTCGGGAAAGTGTCCCGGGGACTGAAGGGAAGCCCCAGGGTGAGAGTTACCCACCAGGTTCTGCATGACCCTGCACGACCGGCCTTATCTCAGTCTGTTACTACCCACTGCTGCATAGACTGTCGTGTTCCAGCGGTTATCGATCCAGAGATCCATGCCTGCTCAACAGTTGGCCTAGTAACCCTCTTCTCTACCCATTTAGTTGAAGCAGAAAACAAAAACCTTTAATCTGTGGCCTTCTCTAGTTGTCATGTCTCTTCAGACACGCCTAAGTTTTTGTCTTCATTCCTCTACCTATTCTAGTCAGGGCTGTCCCTCCCCTCCAGGTAACTACCCTGGTCAGGGTCCTCAGTGTCCACTCTTCCTTGGTCCTCAACATCATTTGATAACTCTCCCCTTGACTCCTAGGGTCAGAACTCACTCTCCAGGTTTTCCTACTTCCTGGCAACTCCCACTCAACATCCTTGCTGGTTCTGCCTCAACATGTGGATCTAATGGTTGATATCTAGGGCTCACCTGATGACTTGCTGCTGCCCTGTCTACACTCACCTGCCCCAGATCCAGGGCTCTAGCACCGACATGCCCCCTCAGATTAAATCCTATGTATAGTACCTTGACTTTGGATGTCTAATAGAGATTTCAAGTGCACATGGACAAAATTTCACTCACTTTTCTTCCTCCTCACCCCTGCCCTTTCCAGAGTTCCTGGTCTCAGCAAAAAAAAAAAAATTGCCACTGATTACTCCAGTTGTTTGAGGCAAAAACCAAAACCATTTTTTTGGCAGTATGGGGTTTGAACTCAGGACCTTGTGCGCAAGTGCTCTACCACTTGAGCCATATCCCCAACGCCCCTTCCCACAACTCTTTTTTTTTTTGTGGTACTGGGGCTTGAACTCAGGGCCTACACCTTAAGTCACTCCACCAGCCCCTTTTTTTCGAGATAGGGTCTCAAGAACTATTTGCCTGGCTGGTTTTGAACTGTGATCCACCTGATCTCTGCCTCCTAGTAGTTAGGATTACAGGCAGAAGCCACAGTGCCCGGCTTCCAACTCATTCTTGATTCCTCCCTTGTCTTTTTTTGGTGGTACTGGAGTTTTTGAAATCTGGGCCTTGCTCTTGCTAGGCAGGCACTCCCTTATCTTTACATTTTTTTCAAACACCCTAATTTTGTTTCTAATCTCCATGGCTGCTTTATTTTTCCTTGAGAACATTGCAGTGTCTTCTTGCTCCTGCTTTGTATTGTGTCACAAACTCCTGTGATTCACCAGCTGAATGTGTGACATATGCCTGTACCGGATGAAGTCTCCATGCATAGGAGCACCACACAGTCTTTAAGTTCCTATAGGGGCCAAAGCACTAATTCTCAGCCCAGGCTGTACTTTAGAATGAGCTGGAGAGTTTTTAAAAATTCCTGATGCCTAGAGCCCACTTCCAACAATTGTCTCAACAAGTCTGAGATATGATCCAGGCATAAGGGGAGTGGAACACTATAAAACTGCCCAGGTGATTCTAGCTGTACAGCCAGCAACTTTTGCTTGCTGGTGATTCCCAGGAGGGCAGAAGGATCACTGTGTGTGACTGTGTTCCATGTTTTAGACCCGGGTTCACTGAGTCCAAAACAACATTTACTAAAGACTCAACAAAATTGCTGCTTGCAGGCAGACCTCCCAATGTTCTGACTTTTTCTACGACCATGTCCATAGGTAGGTAACTTCCCTTCTTCACCCCAGCAATCCTGGGAGACATAGTGGGTTAACCGTTGGGAAGAGGCAGGCCTGAGAATGAGCACAGTAGGCACAAAGCCTTTCTCAAGAATTGCCAAGGCACTTAAAGACAAACTTGAAACCAGCACCTTGTTCACAGGCAGTGCCCCTGCCTAACTGTACCCCAGCCACGGATGGAGTGCGACAAGGGATAAACTTTATCAGCCTCCCAAGCTCTCTTCCGTGATGGGGCAAGGTAACAGTCCCGGTCCGCAGGACCGCTCTCGCCGACCCCCTCTCCGCCGCGACTTGACTCGCAGCAACGGCGCTGCCCTTTTGACCGCCCGTTCCGCTCTCACTGGTGTGCGGGGCAGCTACTCACGCGCGCACTGTAGGCCCTTGCGCACGACGCCCCAGATGAAGTCTCCGCAGAGGTCGCACCACGTGTGCGTGGCGGGCCCTGCAGGCTGGAAGCGGTGGCCACGACCCGGGACCTGCTGCCGTGCGGGGTTGCGAGAAGTGCAGGGCGCGATGCGCAGCGCGTTGGCACGTTCTAGTCGGGTGCGGCCCGGGCCGGTGCGCCCAACAGGTGCCAGCTCCCGCAGCTCAATGAGCTCTGGCTCCGCAGACATGGCCCGCTCAACCCAGAGCTTCAGCTGACTCTGGGCGTTGGGAGTGCAGGGCGGGCGGGGCCACAGGGCGGGCCGAGACTTCGGCGCCGCCCCCAGCATCCAAACTGGGCGGCTGGTTAAGAGCCGAGGAGAACCGCGCAATGGAAACATCTGCAAGCTGACTGTAGGCTCTCTGGGATCGCTCTCAAAGAGCCCCTTCCCTCCCTTTCCTTCTCGCCTTCATCCCCCCCGCCCCCAGTCCCAACGACGACAGCAATGCGCCACACTGAGACAGGGGTATTTCAGGGGGTCAGCTTTACTGTGCTAGAGGAAGAGGGTCCCCACATCCGGCCCTCGCCCACGCCCCCATCCAAACCTCCCGCCCCAACTTACTAAGCCTGCGGCCTCATCGGGTGGGGCAGGAAGTGGGGAGCCCTCGCTTAGTGGGAGGGGGGATGGGATGGGTCAGCAGCTCTACTTGGCCCAGCTGTACTAACCACCAGGGAAACTGGAATCTGGCAGGGACCAGACGGAGATTCTGAGGTTCAGCGACACATTCTGAGTAGGTTGCCTTGGTTGGCTCTCAGCAGCTGCAGCCTTCACTTGGCTCTGTCACCCTGGGCTGCCAGGACACAAGCCTTTTTATGCTTCTCCCAGTGCTTGACTTGGCACTCCCTGCAGGCAAGTGGGCCCGGTGAGGGTGAGGATAGCTGTGTTTGTGGAGGACCTGGGAGTAGGGCTTAGAGGTACTCTCACCTGCAGCAATACCATTCACTCTGACATCTTGAACAGCGCTTTGAGGCCTCTGCACTGCAGTAGGCACAGCGTGGCCTCTCTGGAGCCACTGCCTGCAGCACATCCAGCCTGTAGGTCTCAGCCCACCTGGGGGAGGAGTCAAGAGAGCCTGACTGGGCCTGGCACAGAAGCACCCTTGCCTCTGCATCCCATTCATCCCTTCTATCAGCTTAATTTATCAGCTTAACTGGCCTTACCGTCGTGCTTGCAGCCGAAGATCCTGCTCAGAGGGGTTGAACACATGGCTAAGCTGGTGTTTGGCAATAGCCTGCCATTTGCCCTTGTTCTCTCGCTCCAGCCGCTCCCAGATTTCTGGGATCTAGGGAAGAGAAATGGAGAGGGGCAGGAAGGAGCTGGCAGAATGAATAGTGGTCCTGAGTAACTAACTTTCCAAGTGTCTACCTGTTCCAACACCAGGTCCTTCTTAGGGAACTGCGTCTCAACCAGGGCCAAGTGAGCCAGGAAACCCTGCAGGTCTGCCAGGTTTGGCAACTGGTCAAGTAGTGTGTCAGTTAGGAAGGCCCGAAGCTGCAAGGATGTCCAGGGAAGGCCAGTGTAAAACAGGTGCTGGCCAGAGGGCCAAGGAATAGGGAGAGCTTGGGTTAGGCTGAGGGTACCAGTAGGTTTATATCTTACTCGCTTCTGTATCACCTGAAGCCTAAGATGTAGAAAAAGGACTCGGGTGGAGGTGGGTGGCAAAGATAACCAGCAGGGATGCAATGGAGGCTGGATAGGGTGAGGGCAGGGCTGGGGCAGTGGGGACTAGTGGAGAGGGCTTCCCACCTTGAGCAGCTGTCCCTTAGCAAAGTTTGTGAGGCAGTAGCGGGCCCGGGCCTCAGGGCTTAGCAGCAGGTTATACAAAGCGATCCACACTTGCCCATCCAACTTGCTCAGCTTTTGCTGCTCTGAGGGGGCCACTGTCTGCCAACGACCACCCTCGAATTGCTGTAGCTTGCCTGGAGAGAAGAACTAGCTCACAGGTTGCAGGGGTTTCATTCTCTTTGAATAGGTCAGCTGTGAGGGCTGGGAGTCTGTCTATTGCCTGGCAAGGTGTAAGAACTTGGGTCACAGCACTTGTCAAGGCTGTAGTATTGTTTGCCCCAGAGCAGGGTGAGTCCTCCATAGTAGACTCATGGGCCTTGCCTGCCACAGAGCCAAGATCTAGGCCCATCTTGGGTTAGGCATCCTCATATCCTTTGTGGACTGGGGAGCAGGGTTTGCTTGCCTGTGTGCAAGCTGCTGACTTCCAGCAATTCTGAAGGATGTCTTGGAAGCAATGGGTTTAGGTTTAGGCAGGTGGGAGAGGACCTTACCTCCTTCCCGCCGGCTCCAGGGACTGTGCTCCAGCAGTTCCACCAGGAGGCAGGGCAGGTTGTGAGTGCTAAGCATTCGGCTCAAGGTATTTAGGGAAAGGCTAGGAGCAGGTATGGGGAGAGGGAGGTGAGCAGAGGCTATAGGCCAAGTCTTCCGGCCCTTGACTGTGGACCCCTCGCCCTGGAGGGTTGCCTACCTGTCTACACAGTCTGTGATGTAGCGCAGCACTGAGAGGGCCTTTAGTGAAATCTCAAATTCCATCATCTCTGCCTGCCTCTGCAGCTCCTGGGGGAAGGAGAAGGGGAGCACAGTGTTCAAAGCTGGGCCGACTCCAGGCTACACATGCCTGGGGAAACCCACATCTATGCTTTGCCAACCCCAGGAAATCTCAGCCCACCTGCATGGGGGTATTGTCCAGGGACCCATCTTTCTCAAGTGGGGCACCATGGCCATTCCGGGCCACCAGCAGTGTCAGTTTGCGGTGGCAGTAGTCTACCAGGTCCAAGATGGTGTCCTCTGCTGACTCACATACTTCCTGGGGGGCCAGGGAGGGGAAACTTTCTGTCTCTGATGCCCTCCCCACATGGACACAACCTGCCAGGCTCTAGTCTGAAGCAGTGACCCATGGGTAGGGCTAGCGCCTCACCTTGTGGAAGAACACTGTCTCTAGGAGGTTGACAATGGAGGCCTCATGGTGTACCTGTTAAAGGGGAGGGCAGGGCTTGGGAAGCAAGGGAGGGATACAGGCTGCCAGCCATCCTCCCTAGTCCAGGGCCCTCTGAAGGGGTGTGAGCCAGGGGCCCAGCTCACCACCATGTATATGGGGAAGGTGTTTTGGGGCTTGAAGTCCTCTAGCCTGCACAGTACAGGGAACACCTTCTGCTTCCACATCTCCACTGCAATCAGCTCTTCCACCAGCGCAGGAATCTTAGAAGAGTGTGGGGGGGAAAGGATAAGGATGATGTGGGTCTACTTTAGCAACCCTGCCATCTGTGCCTAGGCCCAGCTTAGCTCTCTAACTACCTTGGGCCCCTAGATTCTCCAGGTCTCATGAGTACCCTTCCCAAGTTCTCTCCTGCATCTTAGACCTTAACTTCTAGCGTCTTCCATCATCTCTGTGGAGACATTCTCCATGTTTCCTCTGCTCTGTGGCCAGACTGCCTTGGTGTCCCTCCACCTGTATGCTAGTCCTCTCCTCTCCCATCTAGGCATTCCTGTGAGGCCAGCCTTCCTGCTCATGTTCTCCCTCTTGTCCACTGGTCCTCCAAGGTGCTTAAGTGTTTTGGCCTCACTCTTACTCAGCCTCCCCCCCCCTTAATTTTGGTGGGACTGGGATTTGAACTCAAGGCTCATGCTTACAAAACAGACACTCTTATCACCTGAACCACACCTCAGTCCGCTTTGCTTTGGCTATTTTGGAGGTGGGGTTTTGTGAACTAATTGCCCAGACTGGCCTCAAATCATGATCCTCCTGATCTCAGCCTCTCAAGCAGATAGGATTATAGGCATAAGCCACTAGCGCCTGGCCTCAGGCCCTTTTCAGTGTCCTTTTCCCATCCTATCCTTTAACAGTGGGCTCCACCTTTTTCTTGCAAAGAAACCCTACTCTCAAGTACATCTCAGATCATGTACTGGTGCTATCCCCTGGCCCATCCTCCAGCCAGGAATCTTCCTGGTTTCTTACTCCCCTTCTCTCATGTTGGAAAGGCTGCCTTATTCCATGCCAAAGTTCCACTCCCACTTTGGTGGGAACCTCCTCTGGCCTTACAGTTAGTTCACAGTGACTTTAGCACTTGGGTGCTCTTCCTACAATGTAAGCTATTCTAAGATCCTTGATGGTCTCTCTAATCAATCCACACCCAACCACAGACCTGGCATATCTGGGTCCTGTCCAACAGGGATTAAAAAAAAGGACATGTATCCAGGCATGGTGACACATGCCTGTAGTCCCAGCACTTGGGAGACTGAAGTAGAAGGATCATGAGTTCAAGGTCAGCCTGAGCTACATAGACCTTATCACACACACACACACAAAACAGAAAAAAAACCCCTCAAACCAAAAAACCCCCACATTCCTTTTTCCCCTTCAGGGAAAGGGGAGGGGAGGGGAGGGAACGAAAAGGAAGGGGAGGAAAGGAAGGGGAGGAAAGGGAAGGGGAAGAAAGGGAAGAGGGGAGGGGAAGGCAGGAGAGGGGAGTGGAGGGAAGGAGAGGGAAAGGAGAAGGGAAGGGGAGGGAAGGAAAGGAGAAGGGGAGGGAGACCAGAGGGAAGAGCAGGCACCCAGTACTCCTGAGGGGTATCACGAGTGTGGGAGGGAGGAGGTAGGCATGAGCCCTGACTCTGACCTTGGCATACCTTCCCATGGGTGACCAGGAGCTCCTGGATGGGCTCCCCCTGACTGACAGTGGCATCGAGGATGGCTTGCATGTTCAGCTTCTCCAGGTTCTCATGCTGCTGGTTCCACCTGCCCAGAGTGGGTGCGCGTTGTGAATTTGGGTGCATAGTATGCATCAAGAGAATGGGGGTGGCAGAGTGGCTTAAGGGGTAAGAGCACCTGCCTAGCATGAGACCGTGAGTTCAAACCCCAGTATCACCACAAAACAAAAAACTAGACAGTGAGAATGGGAGCTGGATCCTACTGAAGCCTAACTTAATCTTGGGAGCCAGATAGGACTCAGGAACCTCATACTTCTATCTTTTAGAGCTTTTTCTCCCACCTGATGTCCCCTCCGCACTGGTCAACTTCTCCTTCTCCAATGTCAGGCCCAGGCTCCCCCACTCAAGGACCGGCTGCTGTGCCTGATCCAGCTGCCTCACCGTTCGGAGCCCATCTCCCGTAGCTGGAAGCTACGCAGACCTCGCACCAGCACCTCAGCCTCTCCCGGCAGCAGCAGTTCCAAGTCGCCCATGTTGGAGCCAAGATCCAGCTGATCTCGGATAGCAGTCGGGGTCGGGCAGTTGACACACTCTCGGACGACGGACTTCGGCGGGGCTGAAATCTGGGACGGGACAGTTGCCGGGCGGTTGTGGCGCGTGCATTCTCGCCGCCATGGAAACGGATTCGCTTGGCGCCTGTGCAGTGCGGCCTGGAACCCTCCCCCCGCCTCCCCCTCCCCCCGCCTCCCCCTCCCCCCGCCTCCCCTCCCCCCGCCCCCCCCCCCCCCCCCCCTCCCCCCCCCCCCCCGCCTCCCCCTCCCCCCCCGCCCCGGCTTCTGAAATCTGGGCCAGCCCACCACTGGCTACATGTTTGTCAATAGCAACTCAAGAGTTGCTCAACAGTCTTCCCGAAATCTAGATTCTTTATATATATATAGTTGTGCTGAGTGGGGGGTACACTGTAGCACTTACAAAATTTACAAAAGCTCTTTTTGTGGTACTGGAGTTTGAACTCAGAGCCTACACCTTGAGCAACTCCACTAGCCCTTTTTTTTGTGATGGGCTTTTTCGAGATAGGGTCTCGAGAACGATTTGCCTGGGCTGGATTCGAACTGTGACCCTCTTTGATTTCTGCTCACGGGCGTGAGCCACCAGCGCCTGGCTACAAAAGTTCTTACAATGTATCAAATATGTCACACTTGAATTCACCACCTCCCAAAGCTTGACTCTTGTGGTCTACCTTCTCTCCCCCGACGTCAAGTCTACGTGCACAGGGGTGGGATAACCGTGACTACCAACAGCATCTCTCTTGGCATGTGAGAATGATCCTTCTTCCGCTATTTCTCACACCCAGCTCTACTAGTTGGCTCTACTCCTTAGTGGAGTTACCCAGGGTTCACTTCTCTCCATGGTAGTTCAGACTGTCATCACTTCTCATGAGGTCACTGCAGCAGCATTTTCACTTCACCACCTTCCACTCTGGACCCTCCCATTACTCCTTTTCAGGAGGACAGCTCTGTGGTCATGTCTTGCCCTCAAAATACTAGGCCAGGCATGGTTTACCTGGAGCTCCGCAAGATCTACTTCTTGTCCTTTCTCCTACCTCAGGACTTAGATTTCTGGCCTTCTCCTTTGCCTCTAATGTTCCAGCCCCATGGGCCTCCCTTGGGTTCCTCTTATATTCCAAAGTAGTTTTTACCTCAAGGTTTTGTACTTTTTTCCTCTCCTTGAATATTCTTCCTCCTCAGGACTGAGATTAAGTCAGCTCAGGGAGCTCTTCCTTGCCCATCTAATCTAGAGCAGTCCCTGATTCCATTCCAACTCACTTTTTATCCCATCTGTTTCTTTCTTTCTTTTTTTTTTTTTTTTGGTGGAACTGGGGTTTGAAGTCAAGGCTTTGTGCTTGCAAAGCAGGCTCTCTACCACTTGAGCCACAACTGAAGTCCCTTTTGCTTTGGTTATTTTGAGATGGGGGCGGGTCTTGCAAACTATTTGCCTGGGTTGACCTTCAACCACCATCCTCTTGATCTCAGCCTCCCAGTCATCCATCAGTTTCTTTCTGGGTGTTTCAGTTTACAATTTACCTGCAGGTTTACTTGCCTGTTGTCAGCCATGACCGCCAGATGGCGCTCCAGTGCACCAGGGACCTTCCTTATTTCATTCATTGCTAGGCCTCTAGTGCCTGGCTGAGGGAGTACTCAATAAAGGTAGGTTGAAATTAATGACTTTATTTACAGAACTGAGGGTCAACTTCCAGGTTATTATGGACTAGTCTACTTGTCTAGCCCCATGTACCAGGCAGATCTTAGCAGGAGGGAGCAGACACAGCAATATGCCCTCTCCAGGTAGCCAGCCTCACTTCCAACAGATGATGATGTTGGGGTCGTTTTCCAGCCGTTCATCCAGTTCATGGTAGCTCATTCCTGGGTGGGGTGGAGAAGGTCAGGTCAGCAGCCTTGGCCTGGTCACCCTGCCCTGACCCCACCTGGCCTGCCATGATTGCCTCCACCTGTCTTGCAGCAGATCTCATCATAGCTGTGGCAGCCTGTGTAAAGCCGGGCAGGGTGGCTGCGCTCCTCCCGGGACACCCGCACTGGATATTTCTGTAGTCGTCGGATGAGATTCTTCATAAGCCCGAACTGGATCAGCTTCCTGGGGTGAGGGTCAGGAAAGAGGGATGATGCCCTGGTCAGATTTTCTTTCAGCCAGGCCAACCCTTTCCTGGAGTTTCCCCTTCAATTCTAAGTAACCAGACTGGCCTCCAAGACCATCACCTCCAGGAAATCTGCCTGGACTAGTAGTGCCACATGCTTCTGCTCACTGGGAAACCCCTGCTTTCTCTCTGACCCAAGGTTCCTCCACCTGCCCTCAGACAACCTTTCATGCCCTGGGGAATGCCCCTCTGACCGTTCATCAACGTGCTGCAGCTGTTGGGGGTGGCGGCCAATGAGATCTCGCACAGTGGTGCCAGGGCTCAGGCTGCAGTACAGCTGGAATACATCCCGGAGACTGGCCCTTTTGTGCCCTGTGGGTGCCAGCTGTCAGCTCACCAGGTAGCCCTGCCCTACCCAAGTTAGTTCCCCCAGAGTTTTCCACTACCTTGCTTAGTCACGTAGGATAGACATGCCTCCTGCAGGGACTTGTCATCTACCAGGTCCTGAACCTTGGGTGTCGGGCAGTACACATTGGAATACTAGAGAGTAGAAGGCACAGGGGCCTGAGTGAAGGGATTGGGAGGCTGGCCTGGTCTGGCCAGTCATATAGTCCACACTTCAGTCAACCGTATTCAACTCACCTACCTGGAGGATGGACACCAGTGTCACAACACCATAGTACCTAGGGGACAGAGCTGTACTTAGCTTCTGAAGGCCCACGCTCAGGATCCTTGGCTCATCTATGGCTGGTGACCCTTTACTGAGCATGGCTACAGCCCCCACTCACAGCAGGTTCTGGATGGCGATGCGCACCAGATTGAGCTCCACATCTGCCTCAGCAGAGATCTTTTGGACATGTCGGAAACCATCAATGTAGGGAAGGATCTGGGCAGAGAGGGGTGAGGTCACTGGGCTGGGATGAGGCTAAGGCTATAGACAACCCAATGTGATGATACTCAGGGAGAGCTGGCACACCTGTTGTGTGGTGAGGTCCCACTGTGAGTTGAAGAAATCCTCTTTGTCCTTGGTAAAGACAGGCACGTCATACTCCTGGGCCACAGGAGGGTCTGGCCGCTGCTCAATCACTTTCAAGTGGATGGTGTTGGATTCATCTGCAGGGACCCCACCCATATCCTCAGTGTCATCTCTCCCAAGAGGCCCTCAATTACCATCCAAACTTCCCAGCATCCTTTGAGGCAGAGAGGTGACTCTGGTGGGGGTCATTCTTCCCCTCTTATGGAGTGAGAAACTGAGATCCAGAGACGGGAAGAAATAAGCTCAAGAAGCTCCCTACCCCCACCCAACCCCATCATGCACTGGACCCCTGGACATGATCACCTCTTCTCATGGCTATTGCCTGGCCATCAATTTGTTCAAGGGTCTTGTTCTCCCCCAGTGGCAGCATTCACCCTCTCCTACCACTTTCCCATCACTCCCCTACCCATCTGCTGTCCTTGCAGAGGCTGGGCCATACCAATGGGCAGAGTACATCGGCCAGAGGCATTTAGCTCCTCCAGTAAGATGGTCATGATGGGCACCAACTTCTGCTTGCTCTCCTCCGTGGACACAAAGCTGCTCTCTAGCTGGATAGAGCATGAAGAGCACAGTGGGTACACCCCAGGGTTCCCGGCTGGCTGTCTGCTGTCTGGGTCTTGAGCTGGATGTCAGGGTATGTGTGTGTGGGGGGTGGCTTTGGAGACATAAGAACACCTTTCCCAACTCTACCTGCCCATACACCCAAGCCCATCTTGTTGCAGACCTCCAGTGTGGTCAGGTAGCCAGCCAGCTTTTTAACAATGGGTTCGAGGGCACAGGTCTTGGCCTGGGCATCACACACGAAGCCCAGGTTGAAGAGGAGGGCATTGCGGCTGTACTTCTTGTGTTCTATGCACACAGGGCAACCGATCAGCTTCTTTTCCATGGCCGTACTGGATGGGTGGAACAGAGTCAGCCTGACGCCAAGCCTGTCCCCTCCTCCTGGGACCCCTCTACCCCCACCCAACTAGGGCCTCACACAGTGATAAGCTTGTTCTGTAGTTCTGGCTTGGTGATGATGTACACTTGGACTGTATCAAACAGCTCCCGGGAGATGAAGTCCTCAGGGACCTGGGAAAGGGGAATGGCAAGAGGCCCCTCAGTGGACAACGGGATTGAGTAGAGTATACAAGGTGATTCCCCCACCCCTAGATTCAAATCCTCTTCTTTAGCTCATTATTACTCCTTTGTGTTTCCAAACACATGGTCTGTTTTCATTGGCTTCTTGGCTACCTGAAACATTCTTTCCTCCTTCACCTAACTTTCTATGCATCATTTAGGTCTCAATCCAGGGAATCTATTGGGCCACCCACCCCACGTTCCAAGAGACCTGGCACCTCTCCTGAATATTATAGACCCATAGCCCGATTTTCCATAGACAACGCTTGTTGCTCGCTACATCAGAAACCGGGACCTGGGTGGAGTATACTGTCCGATGACCATTATCCGCGAATGAGGAAGTGACATGCCCGCATGCAGAGCGGAGATCCACTACCTCAGGCAGCTAGCTGAGTTCCAGAGACCTTTCCTCTCCCCGCCCAGTCCCGAGAGTCAGGGAGGCACCTGATAAGTGATCTTGGGTCCCAGCGTGGGGTGGAACTCGCTGAAGAATATGCATTCGATGCGGCAGCTGCTGCCCATGGTGTTAGTCGGTACCTAGTCCGTAGCCCCTTGTCCCTCGCGCAGAAGCGTCCCAAACCCTGTGACCCTTGTCAGAGAGCACAGAGGCCTGGGCAAGTAGGTCAACCTAGGCTAGCGCGCACACACTCCACCCTCCAGGGAAGCGGTCTGCTCAACTGCGCTTGCGCATGCTACTCAGAGGCGTGGCCGGGGGCTGGGGGGCTCGTCCCAGGAAGTCCCGGGTGGATAGGCGTCGCACCCGGAAGTGAAGCGTCTCCGCGACTGAGTGACGGCACGCGCGGCAGGGACTCGATTATCCCTCTTAATTTGGAGGAAACCATTGCGTCGGGTTGGCGCTTCAGGTGAGGATAGCAAAGCCCTACCGTGGAGAGGCAGCCTGCTTGCGGCACTTGGGGAGACAATGTGCGAAGGGATTCACGCTTAACTAGAGACGCACTTGTGAAATACAATTCCCGTAGTGCTCTGCGCCTTCTCAGCCGGCGCTGTTGGCAGCGACGGCGTGATGCACTCTGGGATTTGTAGTTTTACATGGCTCTGCATGCTACCAGAAAGGTGGTGTAGCCATCCATCGATACCAGGGGACTGCCAGGCCTCTACTGACAAGTTGTAATTATTCTTGGTGCGGGTCTTGGCCTGTTACTACTTATCTAGCTTCTTGGAAGAGAGTGGCATTCCTGCCTTGCAACCCTTTCTCCAGTGAGAGGAGTGGACAATGGGCACCTGACTCTTGCCAATGCTACTATGTTTTCAGTCTACAGCTATTGGTCGGGCTGAACATGGCCCTTTCTGTGGAGACTGAGTCGCACATCTACCGAGTTCTGCGTACTGCCTCTGGGGCTGCAGCCCACCTTGTGGCCCTGGGCTATACCATTTTCGTGGCCGTGCTTGCCAGGCCTGGCTCCAGTAAGTAGAATTCATTTGGCTTCTGGGAAGGGAAAGGCCGCTTTCCCTGGGGAGCAGGGATATTAGGAAGCCTTGGACCTAACTCTTGTTAACAGTTCTGGCGGGTGAGGAATATTATGTGCTGGAAGAATGATGTTTTGGGTGAAGCGGAAGGGTGTGGGGGCTCTGCCAGCTTGACAGGCTCCACAGAGTACCTGGCTTCTCTTTCCTGTCTTAGTGCTTCACTTGGCTGCCTCTTGGGAGGTGCTGGAGGGAGGGAGCTTCCAGAGGAGAGTTGCAAAGCATTACCTCTGGTCCAGGAAGAAAGGATAGGGGCAGGGTCAGCTTGTTGTAGCAAGAGGGAGTTGACATTTTGGCAGTACCTCAGGCGATGGGCCCATATCCCTTAGTTAGGGATTAGTATGGCTGGTTTCTCCTGGCCTTAGCCCCATGAGCCTCTTCTTCTCATTTCAGGTCTGTTCTCCTGGCATCCTGTGCTTATGTCTCTGGCTGTAAGTAGTGGGTTTGGGCAGCTCTTAAGGGTAGGAACATGGGTATGGGTAGTGGCCCCAGTGATCCCTGTATCCTTGTGGACACTTAGTGTCTGCTTAGAGGAGTTGCATGCTTCAACTGATTCTAGTATATATCCCATGCTTGAACCAAAGTATTCAAGACCTAGGACAAATGGGTAAACTTTGTCTAAACACAAAATGTGGTTTCTGCTATATCTATCTGTCTATCTTTTTTTCTCTTGATGGTATTGGGGTTGAACTCAGGGCCTTGTATTAGACAAGTGCTCTACTACTTGAGTCACACCCCCCAGCCCCAAAATGTGGTTTCTGGAAGCTAAGAAATTGCATTCAGAGATTCCTGTGTCCCTTTTTACCTTAATTTATGGTGATGCATCCATCTAATTGTCCCTGAAACAGTACACCCATGTGACCAGCTGTTGCCAAGAAATTGTATCCAGCCCCATGGGAGAGAAACGAAACTGGTGAATCATTTATAACTGCGACTTCTCAAATCTTGTTTGCTGGGTTACATAGCAGAGATGACATTTCAGAATAGCACTTTGAACGTGGAGAGGCAATTCTCGCTAACCATTCAGGGCAGAAGTTCTGTGCAAGATAGGGTTCTCCACTCTTACCCCACCAAACGGATAGTCTTGTCACTGGGGAGGATGAAGAATGGGAATCAGCTAGGTGCACTGATGGCTTACAGTGTTACCTAAAGCACTCTTCCTCTCTGCTGGAGCAGCACCCTCATTTGAGTTTCCCACCCTCTGTTTCCTCAGTTCTCCTTCCTGATGACCGAGGCACTACTGGTGTTCTCTCCTGAGAGTTCGCTGCTGCGCTCCCTCTCACGGAAGGGCCGAGCTTGCTGCCATTGGGTACTGCAGCTGCTGGCGCTGTTGTGTGCACTGCTGGGCCTGGTCCTTGTCATCTTCCACAAAGAGCAGCTTGGCAAAGCCCACTTGGCCACACGGCATGGGCAGGCAGGGCTGCTAGCCGTGCTATGGGCAGGGTTGCAGTGCTCAGGTGGAGTGGGACTGCTGTACCCCAAGCTGCTGCCCCGATGGCCCCTGGCGAAGCTCAAGCTCTACCATGCTACTTCTGGGTTGGTGGGCTACCTGCTGGGTAGTACCAGCCTGTTGTTGGGCATGTGCTCACTCTGGTTCACTGCCACTGTCACTGGTGGAGCCTGGTACCTGGCTGTGCTTTGCCCTATTCTCACCAGCTTGGTCATCATGAACCAGGTGAGCAACGCCTACCTGTACCGCAAGAGGATCCAACCATGACCTCTTCTCAGCCAAGGGGAAGCCTAGATTTGCACTTCAGTATAGGAGCTGGGACTGAGGACCTCCTGGACTTTCTTAGCTGATTGGGTCAGGAGACACTTTAGGTACTGGGGCAGGCAGGGCTGAGATCTGTGTGACATTTTTGCTCCTTATGCTAGAGTGCCTCCCTTTTTTTTCTCTCATCATTCCAGAGGAGCACAGATCATGTGTCTGGATGAAGTTGGAGTTGCAACACTGCCTCTCAGCAATGCAGCTCATACTTGTACTGGTGTATCCAGAAATTATGGAGAAAAAAAGTAAAATAAAAAAAAAAATGACTGAAAAGACTGATGGGAGGAGCAGTCCAGAGTTGGGAATGGTTCTTGCTAAAGCCATCAGCATGAGAAAATGGGCAGCTGGGCAGGGTGGGGACCCCTTCTAAATGGTTGGAATTCTAGCACATAAATCCCCACAATCTGACTACTGAGCCTCCCAGGCCACCAAGGGCTCTAGCAGGCCCTGCAGCTATAGCTGTGTATCTTTTCCATCTAGCCACTGACTGTGCTGGAGTCTCCAGACTGTAGTTAGACATTTTTGCTGGGATTGGGGTCTGTCTCCACAGGTGTCAAGCATACAACACTCTATCTTATAGAGGTGAGTCATAAATAAGAACAACTCCTTATGATGGAGAGGCCCTCAACTGTCAGATCCTCTGTAAGGAGCAGAGGGCCTTTCTGGGTAGCAACTGGAGAGAAAGAAAAAGGAGTAAGGGTCTGAGATGATGGCTCTGGGAAGACTGTTTGGCATGTGGTGATGGAGGGAAGAAGAGCAGGGGCAATAGGCTTCCTATCCAGGTGGAGCTGTCGTGGAGACTGAGCCCTTGGACCCAGTCAGAAAAAACCATCTAGTTTTGTAGTTGAGTGTGATGAGGGGGCTGCACAAGGTGGCCTAATAGAGCCCAGAAGTCATACCTCAAAGAACTGCTTTATTGAGACGGAGAGGCTGGGCGTGGCTGCCCACTCAAGTGGTCCTGTAGAAAATACCTGGGAGCTGTGGTTCTGGCCTGGAGCAGTCACTGCCACAGCAGAGGGAAACAAGAAATCCTGATGTGAACAGTCTCAGGGGGTGAGCAGGGATGTGCAGCCATGTACTGACTCCTGCATTGGCTGTCCCCCAGAACGTTTTTGGCAAATGAAAATCCTTGCCTTGGTTCAGGGCTCTTGGCAATCAGCTTCAGATTGAGGACCAGCCCAAGAGCTTCGCCCAGTGTTCCTGCAGCCACTTGTCTGGGGCTGTCTGCTGAGGTATAAATCTTGCCTCAGATGGTGGCCTAGACTGGCTGATGCCTCAGAGAACCCATGCCTGGTAAGTGGTTGTCTGGAATAGGAACCAGGTTGCAAGGGTCCTGGGTAGTGTTGGCGAGAAACAGCAGGGGGCTGTGGAAGCCCCCAGCAGGCCATCTTCCCTCTCCTCAGAGCATTCAGTGCTCTGGAGTAGCTGAGAGGCATCAAGGGAGGTTGGGAGAAGAGGTGCTATACTCAAGGTAGTCTGGAGTTACAGCTTTGGGGGAGCTGCCTCAAAGGTGATGAGACTGGATTCTGGGACAGTCCCCTTCCCTTGGGGTGTGGAAACTTTTTCTGAGGGCAGGGGGCTGTCCACCTTGGCCCCTGCATCCTCTTCATCATCATCCATGCTAGGCCAGACAGACTGGTCCTCCACTCTCTTCAGCCGCTCATTGAGAGCCTTCAGGGCCAGTTGCCTAGGGCCAGAGGAGAGAGGACAGGTCATTCTGGGTTTGGGTTTGGCTCATACCCTGTACCCTTCCCTACCAAACAGATTCCTCCCCCAGAATCCCATGTTTCTTTTTCCCCATGTGGGACCCAGCCCCCTAGATTGGCCCACTGTGCCATCACATGGAGGAGCCAAAGACTGTACAGCTTTCTCTTCATAGCTGGGGGACCTCCAAGCTGACATCAAGTTGGATGTCTGCCAGACATCCAGGCTGGCCACAAGGAATGGTTCTGAGTTTGGTGCCTTATAAGAGTAGGCAGATATAGTGCTCTAGGGCAGATGGGTGGAATGGTAAATCCCTGGAGATGAGTTCCTGTCTGGGCACTGGTGTCACATTCAAGGAGCGGGTTATTAATGAAGTAGGGCCAACCTGGGTCAGTCTGCTCCTATCTCTTGATATCTTTATTCCCAGAAGAATCCCCCAAAGCCACCAAGTCCTATGTTAGAATAGGCATCTAGCAGAGACCTTGCAGGAGGAGAGGAAGAGAAAGCTCACATTGGAAGGGCATAGGCCAGAGCCAGCTGTTTCTGTGGAGCAGACCCTTAGAGTTGTCACTTTGGAGAGGTGGGAATGTACACTAGAAGAAGGTATTAACATGTGTTTGGCACCCTGACCCACCAGAGGTATTGCTGTTAGGCAGTATTTCCAACAATGATTACTGTGGTCTCCTGATGCCTCAGACTCTCTACACCAGTAAAATGGGGACAGTCTAGGTAGCCTTCCAGGTTCCAGCAGAGAACCAAAATCTCCATTATGCCAAGGAATAAGAAAGGAAAGGCAACAAGGAGATAAGCATAGAAAGCCCAGCATACTTCCTTTTGCCTTTCAACTTGGCATGTAGCAGTTTGGCACTGACAGAACAGTCCTTCCCTATTGCTGCCCAGGGTACCATCCTGGAGATGCCTTTGCCAGTTCTGTCTAAAGCTTACCAAGGCAGAGAGTTAGTTATCATGCTAGTCACTTCCTCACAAGGATCAAAGAGATGGATGGGAAACCCTGACTCCTCCTAGTAGTAGCCCTTTGGGTTTGAGAGTGGCATGCAATTAGATATCAAGTTGACTGGAAGAGTAACCCACACGTGCTCTATGTAAGCTAACAATTATCAGGCTATGCCAAGAACCTAACTCTTGCTCCAATCTCTCATCCTCTTTCCCATGTCTGTTTTCTTTCTTTCTTTTTTTTTTTTTGTGGTTCTGGGGTTTGAACTCAGGGCCTACACCTTGAGCTACTCCACCAGCCCTTTTTTTTGTGTGTTGGGGATTTTTGAGATAGGGTCTCCTGAACTATTTGCCTGGGCTGGCTTCAAACCATGATCCTCCTGATCTCTGTGTCCTGAGTAGCTAGGATTACAGGTGTGAGCCACTGGCACCTCGCTTTTTAAACTTTTTACTGGCACTGGGGTTTGAACCCAGGGCCTCATACTTGCTAGGGAGGCATCCTACCACTTGAGCCACAGTACCAGCCCCCTATGTCCATTTTCTTGATCCTGGACAGAAGTTTTGTTTGTTTTTTATTTGGTGGGGTGTATATGTGTGGGGAGGGTGTTTGAGTCTGAGTAGCCCAGGTGGCCTTGAACTCACAATCCTTTAGCCTTGGCCCAGCTAGAAATAATTTATTTTGGTGGTACTGGGGTTTGAACTCAGGGCTTTGTATTTGTTAGGTAGACATTCTACTGCTTGAGCTACAGCTCCAACCACAGGTTTTCTGAATGCCTGTCAAACCTGACAGCACTGAGGACAGCTCAGTTCCTCCCAGACCCAGCCCTCCTCTTGGTCCTCTTACCTCCAATGGGTAAGATCAAGACATACCTCCGTCTTTAGGGCTTACCATCCATAAAGACACAAGCTGTAGGACCCAGAATTAGGCCTGCAGCATGTCTTGGGTACTTTTTCACACCTACTAAGACCACCAGCTGAAAACTCCTTCAAGGAAAGGATGTGTTCCTCACTCAACTGCACAGTCCCAATGAAGAGATTAACTCTTCACTGAATTCAGTTTCCTGCCAAGAACCCATTTTGCAGTTTTGCAGGTGAGCAAAAAGCAGGAGCTTTTGACAAATGCAAAGGAACAATGCCTGCACCAGACTGCCTCAGAAAACTGAAGAATAATATGGGAAATGGAGCTTAGGATCTCCTGGAAGCTGGAAGCACTGTGGGGAGTTCATAAATCTGGGAGAGTAAGAGCTGAATTTAAAAAGATCTGTCCTGGCCAAGGTGCACCAGTGAATAATTCAGCTGGGACTCCTGATGCTGCAGATGACTTGGTTTACAGATAAAGTTAAGGTCTTCACTGTATGGTCAGCAGGCTCCTGTGGTAGGTCATGAAGCCTGCCCCCTAGGGTGACACATGCCTAATGAAGGAGGGATAAATTTGGTAATAACTCAAGCTTCCCTCATTAAAAGCAGTGATGCACACATCTGAATTAAGGTCCAGAAAGAGGATATAATTCAGCATTTGGAAATTGGGATGGCTGGTACTGGGGTTTGAAGTCAGGGCCTACACCTTGAGCCACTCCACCAGCCTTTTTTTGTGAAGGGTTTTTTTGAGATGGAGTCTCTAGAACTGTTTGCCCAGGTTGGCTTCGAATTGAGATCCTCCTGATCTCTGCCTCCTGAGTAGCTAGGATTACAGGCTTGAGTCACCAGCACCCAGCCAGATCACCTCTTAAGAACAGGAGGCTTCTCTCCCTGTTTCCTCCCACCACTCTCACAAGGAATAAAGGACCAACAGGTTGATTCTGGCTCCCACAGGACCAGTGTCTAGGATTTGGAGATTCTAAGACCAGGCCAAGGTTATGTATACCTCAGACCGTCACACAGCACCAAAGGAGACTAGACATTTCTTGAAACCTGGTTAAGTGGCTTGAGTAGGAGAAATACACATACCAGAGCTGAGATCCCTACACAGTTCCTCAAGACCAAAGTCTGGATTTTCTTTTTTTGAACCTTCCCCAACACCTGACACTAGGTCTCTAGCCTATGCACAGCAAGCACCTCAATAGATGGCATGTGTCTTGGCTAGTACTCTCCTAGCTTCTCAAGATTTTGGAAGATTTCACAGTACCTTCTCCGCTCAGCGTCTTGAGGGTCTGTGCCGGGGAGGCTGATAGTAATGGAGGATGGGGCTCCCACATCATAGCGCTTCACTGTCTTCTGGCATATCTTTACCTTCACCAGAAGGCCATGCACCAAGTTCGCCATCAGCCCCACCACGGGCTGCAGGATCTCGGGGAAGAACGTGGCAAAAGCAAAATGATCAGCCATGTCCCCTCGGCCCCTGCTATGGCGTTGGTAGAAGCGAAGGTACACCCAACTGGAGAGCAGCCCGAAGCCGTAGGAAGCCAGTGCTGGGCTCTGGAGCAGGGTGGCCAGCCGCAGCAGTAGCAGCAACGCCAGCAACAGCATGGGGACAACGCTGACGCGCACCTGGGGCACTCGCAGAACTACACAATCCCCCATAGTTTGCTTGAGTGCCACCAGGACACCACCTAGGAAGCCCAGTGCGCCATGGATACGGATGGTGAACAGGTAGACCAAGTTGAAGGAAGCCATGTAGGTGAGGAGGTAGGCGAAGGCCCCCAGCAGCCCCACAGACACATTCACCACTGAGAAGAAGACGAGCAGCTCTAAGGCTCCCCAGAGGGGCTCCAGCAAACGCCCCGCCACCACCACTGTGGCCAGGCTGATAGCCACGTCCCACACGTGCTGCTCCATCAGTCCATGGGTGGCTAGGGTCCAGATCCAGAAGTTAGGTGGAAAGAGGTAGCCTGGGGTGACCGCCAGGCAGCCCGTGTCCACGGCGAAGGAGAGCAGATAGAGAAACAGTACCGCCGCGCACAGCGCCTTCACTACCACACTGGCGCTGGCCAGGACGGCCCCCAGGTGCTGGCGGGCGCCAGGCAGGGCGCGTTGCATCTTTCCGGCGAGTGTCGGCCTGAGAGGTGAGGACGGTGGGCTGGGGCCTCCCCGGGGCCTCGTACCAGTCCGGCCCCGACGGGAGGCCCGGGCCTGGCCTAGTCACTGGTCTATGGCCCTGGCGAAGACTCCGGTTCCGATCGGGTAGAGCTGTGATCCTCAGGGGCGGAGCTGGGCCTTGTCGCCAGGCTGGAGCTTAGGCCCCTCGTTAGGGACCTGAGCAAAGGCCCTGGGCGGCTTCGGCACGCCTGCCTGATCACTCTGTAGGCCCTGAGTCAGGCTAGCCGGACTAGCGCTGACCTCAAGACGCGGCCTCCTCCATTCGCTCCGTGACCCTTGGGTCCTCTTGAGACTGGCGCCTCGTTCCGAGCCTGAGTCAAGCCCGGTCAGCTCCGCTTAGGACTCACTCTTGGCTTCCACCATACCTCCTCCCTTCTCAGGGGCCGACAAACAGAGGTGCTGCGCTTGCGCGCCCGCGGCGGCGGCGGCGGCGGCGGCGGCGGGATGCCCTCTGAGCTCCAGCCTTCCGGCTCCTTGGCATGCTGGGATACCGAGTCCTCGGCAAACGCCGGGGGCAAGCAGAATGGAGTTCTGGGTAGAACTACAAATCCCAGGAGGCCATGCTATGCTCTCAGACGGTTCCGGTCTATGGTGGAGGAGAGTGTGCTGGAAGTTGTAGTTCTCAGGGCCGTTTCTCTGGTTCTTGGAGTTGGTGGGATAGCAAACCTTGGAAAGCCAAGAAGTGGGCGGGTTCAGGAGGCAGCACAGCCTTAGTGCACACATTTGCTAAATTCTCAGAGGAGAGTGGCTCTACTTGTGATCTGTACATGTACATCAGAGCGTGTTCTTTGGGCAGGTGTTGGGTGAGAATGTTGGATGGTCCTGTGTGTGAACTCTTGGAACCTCTGCGACTGGTGAATGGGGCTCGAACCGGCATCCTTGCTGTTATTTGGCATCTGTGTGACATTGGCCAAGTTCTGGAGATGGTGACAGGACTTTCCTACCATAGGATTAAAGGAGACAGGGGTGTAAAATGCCAGTTTGTCTTGAGTGTGTACATTGCTGTGATACAACTGAGCTGGACCGGCCACGTGAACCCAGGATTTCCTCCCCCAAAAAGGTGAGGATGGGCAGCCTCAGTGACTCTTCTCTCCACGAGACTTTTGATCCCTACTGGAGTTAAGAGAGGTCTCTCCATAAACCTGGGCCAGGCTGGGCCAAGCCTCATTTCACATTATAGTGGCTTCCAGCCACTGTCATTTTTTGTTGTATATTGAATTACTTAAAAAATGTGCATATATTTAAATATATGACAAAGGACTTTTATTTTTATTTTTACCAGTCTCACTCCACCAGTCCCACCAGGGACTTTTATAAAGTGCAAAATCTCTTCCTTTCAGTTACTGATCTCAGTTCAACTGCTCATATGTGTGTAGCCTTCCAGGTTACAAAGGATGTTAACACCTGTAATCTTGTCAGGGGTCTAGGTTCCCACTGGATGCCACACACCAGGGTAAGGTTGCTAGACTTAGCAAATCAAAATACAGGGTGCTCAAATTTGAATGTCAGATAAACAATAAATTTTTAGTATATGCATGCCCCCAATTTTCTGGTTTCTTAGAAACACACTTCTCTACTAAAAATTGTTGTCTGAAAATCAAAATTGACTGGGCATTCTGTATTTTATCAACAACCCTACTCCAGAACCTCAGGTGCGGTTTCTGGGCATGAGAGCTGTCTTGAGGGTTGAAAGCTAGTCCTTATTCTGTGGTGAACCCCTTCAGAGGAGCCTGGAATGTCCTTTCTCATCTAAGACTCCCCTCCTGCTAGCCATCTCCTTTGTTGATTTTTTTAGACTTCTTACCTGGTGGGGAAAGATTTCCCTTTAGTTTGTTTATCTGCACTATGGGGATACACTGGTATCTACCTCTAAAATTATAGTGAGGACTCAGCCATATACCCTCTAGGTGAGCACAGAGTGATCAGATTCCCTGAGTCTGCCTGTTTTAGAGGAAGATGGTGAACATTCACAGAGCCCACAAGGAAATCTCTATGCTGATGATTACAGTTCTCCACCCATGAGAAGAACACAGAAGTCAGTCACATGAACTAGGGTTGGGGTTAGAAATGAACAGGGCCAGCTGGGTATGGTAGGTCATACCTGTAATCCTAGCACTTTGGAGGCTGAACTTTAGGAGGATTGTGAGTTCAAGGACAGCTTGGACTACATAGTGAGACCCTGTTTCCAAAAAAAAAACCAAAATGAATAGGGGGAAGGGCCGGCCAGAATTGCAAAAACTGACTTGCTTCCCCTGGTCAAGATGGAGCCCCCACTTGCCTGTGGGTGAGCCAGACCCTGGCATCCTCAGGACAGCAGGATTGGACCCTTGTGTACCAGCGAAAACTAGCTTCTGCTCATGTTACTATGGGGAGAGAGCATGTTAGGTCCTGGTGGTCTAGCCATATGCCTGGACCCCAGCCTGAACCAGCATCTAATTACTGTCTTCTTTCCTCTAGGGTCCTGACTTGCCTTCAGACCCTGGGAAGCATCTCCCCATTTTTGGTTCTGGGGTTTGAACTCAGTGCCACTCGACCAGCCCTTTTTTGTGATGGTTTTTTTCGAGATAGGGTCTCATGAACTATTTGAACTGTGATCCTCCTGATCTCTGCCTCCTGGGTAGCTAGGATTATAGGCACGAACCACTGATCCCTGGTTCCCCCACCCCCTTTTTTTTTTTTTTTTTCTGGAGGCTGTAACATGGTATGGGACAAAGTATGTCAAAGGCCTGGCTCTTAGGTACTGGAAGCATCATGACCTATGGCCACTGGGGACCTGTATTGCCATGGCCTTCACTCCCAACAGAGCAGGGTGGGACTATAATAATGACCACCTGTCTTCATAGCTACCCAGTCCTCACCCCAAGGCCAACATAGTGGATGGAAACTGTTTGAAGTGAAAATATGAACATTATTTAATAACTGATCTTCTGTAATAAACCATTTGAAAATATTTTACAAGGAATCACACACACGATATTTTACAAAGTTTCTTGACTTTTTTTTGTCGCTGTTGTTTTTCCGACTTGTCTGTACAAAATAGAACAACAAAAAAAGGGCAGAGAAAAGGAAATGGCCCCCCAATCCCTCAGCCCAAGGTGAGGGGGCAGCCAGGTCAGGTGGGTGATGAGAAGGATCAGACCCAGCTGGGGGATAGACAACTACCTGATGGGGATTATTTTGTCTGTTTTTCTGTTTTTTAAACTTAAAATATATATTCGTTTTTCTGTATATGCTTGTTTCTTTTCTTTTTTTTTTTTAATATTCTCCATTGAGCACCTGACTACACTACAGTTACACACGCGCCCCCACAGGACACAGCTGACATCCAGGCAGGGTACACATAATGGACACCCACCCTGGCACCAGCAGCGGGCATAGACCACACACACACACTGAGAAAGCAACAAGCAACATGACATTAATTAACGGAGTCATTAATTAATGCATCACCCTCCCCCCTCCTCCCAGTCCATCTGAGCCTCATGGCTACATCTCACTGCCCTCAGTCCCCTGCTGGCCCCCAGGCTGGGATGCCTTTGGGGGAAATGACTAGAATGAATGGTGTGAAGAGATGTGCCCAGGCCCAGCCTCTGTGTGTGCAGAGTGTGTATATATGTATGTGAATGCAAGTGTGTGTTCAGTAGGGGAGGAACAATTTGGCCTCCTGGGGGTAGGGAGAGAGTGTGTGTATGAATGCTAAGGATATAGGGAGTAGGCACAGGCCTGAGTGTGTAAGGGCCAGATTGGGGGTGGGATGGCCCAGCCAGGAAAGACCAAGTCACCCCTGCTAAGGCAAAGGGTGGGGTCTGGTGGGGGTTCCTCTGCCGAGGGGTTCAGGCAGTGGCATGTGGTCCTGCTGGGGACCTGACACTAGTGAGAAATGGTTACAATGAGCACCTGGCAGGGTGAGGGGCACTTGGGGGAGACTGGTGGCTAGGGGTGGGACAGAGGGGCCTTCCCCCCCCTGGTCCCAGCATTTGGCACTGTTGACATTCAGCTTCAGAGATGGGAGGACCAGCTGGGCTACAGCTCAGATTAGAGGCAGGCGGTGAGCAGGAGATGGAATATGCAGGTGCCAACCCTCCTACCGATCCCTCGCCCTGTGTAAGGCTTTGTGAGCCCCCCATGGTGTGTGTGTCTATGTGTATGTGTTTGCGTACCCTCTGCAGTATATCTTGTGTGAGTCAAGTTTCTGCCCTCAGGATCCAGGCATGTATGGGGTTGTGTCTAAATTGATGTTACTGTGAGACTGTCCTGATACCTGCAGGGTTGGGCTATGTGTAGCTGTAGGCCTGAAAGGACCAGGGGCCCATGGGGGACTGCCCCAGAATCTCTCCCTACCAGGATTTCAGTTGGGATGCACAGACCTCAAACTGCCATTTCTTCCTCCATTATTCCCAAGGAAAATAGGTTTGGGCTAAGGTAGGACAGAAGGGCAAGGTCAGAGGCATCCAGTGAGGCAAGGTCACCTACACAGAGGAAGCCTCTAGGCAGGGTGGGCAGCAGAGGCCTGGTTTGGCACCAGTACATGTGGCCTCCCTGTCTCAGTCTACTGGGATGAGTCCAAGATCTAGGGACACCTGGACAGTTCAGAGCTGAGACCTGCCTTGGGCATCATAGACTGTGATGCCCTCCTTTGGGACTCCCCCACCCCAAGGCTCAGGCTCCCCGGGCTCAGGTCCTTTAGTGAGGGAGGGGAATGTGGGGCAAGAGGGTGGAGGAGAGGCGAGGAGGCCGGGGTGAGGGCTGCTCAGAGGTGGCGAGAGGCGACGAGGGCACGGACTTGAGGCTGTGGCCGGGGTGGTAGGCCCAGGAGGAGCAGCAGCTGAAGGGAGACCAGGACACCCAAGGATGGTGGGAAGGAGGCTCCGCGGCCACAGTCTGAGGTATCTTCCTGCAGGGGAGAGACAAGGACTTTGGTCGACTCAGGTGGGCGCAGGGTCTCTGGATGTCAGGTTTGCCTCTGCCCCTCCCTCACCGTCGCGTTGTAGTCAAAGCAGATGTGCGGGCCTCTCCGGTATCGCGGTCTCTGCACCAGCTCACACTGCTCCGGGCCGTCCGCTGGGCATGGGTGGGGAGTCAAGGAGGCAGCGGCCGCTGCAAGAAGAGGACACGCGGGACAGGAGGGGGTGCGGGCGGCGGGGAGGGCGGGAGCAGGATACAGTGTGTCTCTTTCTGCAGCAGCCGGCCAGCCTCACACTGGCTGCACAGCGGCTTCTCAGCCACCACGAAGAGAAGGTTGGTGTTGGTCAGCCTCTGAGCGTGGAATAACCTAGAGGGAGCATCAAGAGGCGGGGCCTGGAGGTTCGCTCCACCCTCGAGTCCCCGCCCCTTCCCTTCTTCCCACCCCATCCCTTATTTTCAGTTCCTCCCCCTCTACCGCCCCCCCACCGCCGCCCGCCAGCACCTGGAGCAGTTTCCGCAGTCGATAATGGCGTTGTAGGAGGCGTTCACTGAGCCGAAGTAGTACTGGGTCTGTTTCATGACGCAGCTGCTCTCGCGCGTCTCGGGGCTCCCCTCGGCCTCCGCGGGGTCTGCAGGGCCCAGACGCCTCAGCCCCGCCCACAGACCCTGACACTGTGTCGGCCTCAGCCCCGCCCAGCCGTAAGCCCCGCCCTCCCGGTGGAGCCTGCCACTGCTTCCCTGGGGACCAGGATTTGAGGAGTCCCCACCAACCCCACCTACCCGCCTGGAACCAGCTGTGGTAGATGAGGCCGTAGAGAAGCTGCTGGAATAAGGACCTGCAGGGCACGGGGCACCGAGTGTGGGTGGTCAGCAGAAGCCAGAGCCTTACCCCAATTCTTTTTCGAACTCTCCTGGCCGGGAAGTACCTTCTCTATCCGCCTTCCCCCAGGACTCACCAGGCAGCAGCAGAGGTCCACCAGGCCAGGTTAAGGAAGTCTGCAATGGTGGGCTGCAGTGGAGAGAGAGGCATGGACTACCAATTCTGTCCCCCTAGCTCTCTCAAATGTCAGAGGTGTGAGTGTGTGCGAGTGATCCATGAGCAGGTCTCCCAGCCTGCCCCCCACCCCCATCTCCAGCATCTTTGAGGGCTCACCACAAAGACACCCCGGGGTGCAGCACCCAGGTTGCCAGGGGGCTGGGGGGCACAAGCTGCCTGATAGTCGTACGACTCCTTGCGGGTGTAGAAGGAGTTATTGTAGAGTGCCAGCATCAGGTTGGCATCCACCTCACTGAAGAATCTGCCAACCTGGGGATGCCGGGAGTTAGCCGTGGTCATAGACCTGGCAGTGCCACACCCCCAGAACGCTGAAATCTCTATGCCCTCCTTCCACTCTTCCTGGCCCTCACCTGGTCCCACTGATGGTTCTGGTTTGACAGCACCAGGAATCCTCCATCATCAATGAGGACACAGAGTAGGTCCTGAGAGGTAGGGAAAGGGTAGAAAAATGGAGAGGGGCTCTGCCAGAGACCCTCCACTTCAAGCCCTGGCAGTCCAGTGGTTCAGAGTGGGGAAGCACCACTTCCTCAGTTCTGGTAAGGCTGTGAAGTTAGGGTTGGGTGCTGACGCCCAAAGGCTAAGGGATGGGCTAGGACTTGTGGTTGGGACCAAGAAGTTTAGGAATGCGGCGGGGGAGGGGGGATACACACACCTCATTGTTTACCTCGCAGTCCATCTCACAGTGGCTGCTGGGGCCGCACTGCTGGGCAGAGAACAAGGATTGTAAGGCCCCCACCAGTTTTCCTCCTTCCTGTCACCCTTCATATATCTGGTTCCTGGGGCCATCTGTAGCAGTCCCTGCCTTCCCATAGTGCTGAAGCCACTCTGAATGGAAGGGTTGGCAGGGGTCCCTGGAGACTCCACAAAGTACTATTGGGGTTACTTTCCCTTGCCTTGCCCAAATACCTTTTGAGGCTGGTCCTGATGGGTTCGGTTGCTGGCAAGCACCTTGAACTTCTCAGCCCAAGCCTCCAGGTCCAGCTTGACACCCACCACTGAGGAGGAGAGTAAAGGGCCATCTGTGCCACTTACCTGAGCAGCACCCTGCCTACTGCCTCTTTCCCCACCTTGGTCCAGGGCATTCACCTGCTGGCCTCAGTGTGCGCCGGCCTAGGCTGAGCTCCACAGCTGTGCTGACAAGGATGCCCACTGTGTCGTTCTCCAGCTCCAGGGGCCTTAACAGGGCTGGGGTGGGTTGGGTAGAGCAGTCAGGAGTGAGGGCTGACCACACTGATTACTCCAAGCTGGGCCCTACCAACCCGGAGCTGACCCCAGCCTAAGCAGCCTGTCTTTCTTTTCATGAATGCCCTGGTCTCAGCCAGCACCATTTCAAGAGGGGCTTCAGAAAGCAGAACCTACCCCTAGATGAGGCTTGCCACCTGCTGCTGGGCCCTATGAGCTACTACTCACCATCCTGGTGTGGGGGCTTGAAGATATAACCATGGTTATCCAGGCTGCGGCGGTAGAAGCTGGCATTGAAGGGCTCAGGGTTCTCTGTCCAGTCCTCAGCTGCCCTAAAGCACACAAAAGAGGCAGAGCTTGGTGGGTAAGGGGTGGATTGTTGGAGACAGTAGTCTCAGTAGTGCAAGGAGGCCTCTGGGCAGTAGGACAGGGACAAGGTCCTGGATAGGGACAGGTGTTGGGTAGTGGGGTTGGTCACTTACTTGTTAGGGAAGACACGTGTGATGCCACCATCAGTGGCAGCGAACACGGCCAGCAGGCTGTACCTGGAGGTGGCAGGGAGGTGGGGTCACAGGCCTGCCTTCTGCTGGGCAGGGCCAGGGCCTCTGGGTCCATCCCAGCCTCCTGCCCCCACAGTCTAGGTGATGCATACGTGTTGAGATCCTGGTCCCGCCACACACGCTCCACCAATTGTTGTGTGATGCCCGTGTCCAAGATCAGGTTATGCAGAAGGAAGTTGTTGCCTGGAATAGTTGGGCAGGGGTAGAGGAGCATCTTCTTGCAGCTCCCAGCCCACCCCCACCACACCCCCAGAGCTCCACTGGGAGCCTTCCCTATGCCTGGGTGGGACTTAGACCTACATATGTCCACACCTGCCTATCTCTGGGCTCCTCTAATGGGCTTGCCCCCATGCTGCCCAGGTCTTGCCCAGATCCAGTTGCCCTGCCAAACACTCACACTGCTTAGAGTCTGGAGTCACTTTCTCCATGAGCTCAATGAAGTTTTTCAGGAACTCGGTGTTGTTGTCTGAGGCATTCAGGTCCTTGCAATACTCTCTGGGGTGGGGAGGGGGTAAGAAGAGTGGGCTTGGCGGGGCTGGACAGGACAGAGGGCTCAAGACTTCCCAACAGGCCTGCCTGGCTGTTGGCTAAGAGGCCTAGGCCACAGGGAGGGACACACGTATTCTTACAGGTTGAGGCTGCCATATGTCTGCAGGCTGCTGTTCTGAGTCAGGACTAACAGGAGAATGAGGGTCTGCTTCCTCCACCCTGGTGGGTTCTCTCTCCTGGGCTTGGCCCTGCAGAGCCTGCCATCTATCCTGTGTAGTGGGTCCCAGGTGGTATACCAGGAAGCCTCAGGAAATGGCTGGGGATGGCTCATCTACCTGTATGCCCTATAGCATTGCCATGGGTAGAAGGTAGGACCTAGCACTGTTTTTTGTTGGCTAGGTCTAAGAGCTTATCTTGCCTATTCCTGGCTGTATACCTTTGGACAACCCACTCAAGTTCCCCAAGATTCATTTTTTTCATCATACCACAGAGGGTGTTGAGGAGTCAGTAGAAACGTGTGGGCCCTCGATGTAGCTGTTCTTTCTGCTGTGAGCATTCTCTTTCCCCAGAGGTGGGTATGCCAAATCCCTCACCTCCTCAAGGCCCTCAGTGGGCTCAGGCACTGGGTCCAGAAAATACAGGGGCTGTGGTATGGCAGGGCCTGCTTGAGGCTCAGCTCTCCTGGAAATCTTGGCAAGCAGTTCCTCTCTTCTGATAGAGCCATCTCTCCTGCCCGGTCCCTCATTCATACCTCTGCCACCAGGAACCTCCCCACTGGTCTGTGTGATAGCAACTCTGTAGGAATTTTTAAAATGTGCCACTTCCCCAGGCGATATCCAAAGCTTAGTGAGGGAATTGAGACCCCACTCCTTCTCTGACCCAGGGCCTTTGTCCAGTGTGCACCCTGTGCTTCTGTGCTTAGAAGTGTCCACACCTGACACACCCAGAGTGACACCCATACAACTGTGTGCAAGATATACCATACACATAATATCTGTGTTCACATTTGTGGGGTACTTCATCCATCCTACACATACTTATTGAGCTCTTCTGAGTCAGATCAGAGGTGACAAAAACAAACAGTCTCTTCCCTCAGAGAGCTTCCTCAGGGTTAATGTGGGGCCCACCAGCCTTTTCACACATTTCCCAATCATTTGTGTACAGAAGCCACCCCAAATTTACATTCAGACTTTTATACACATGTACACAATGACTCATAAATACAAACAAACACATCTACAAAGAACCACAGAGAAACGTGTGAGTGCATGCACACACGTGCATACACACGTAGGTTAAGAGTGTCCAGAGCCCTGTGTGGTGCCTGAGAGTGCCCATGAGTCTCTGTCTGCTGCACCCACCTGCTCTCATTCAAAACTCAGGTCACGAGGAGGGCTCCAGCACCGAAGGCTCCTGGCCTTCTCGGATGTGGGCCAAAGGCAGAGGGTGTGCGCACAAAGATGTGTTTTCATTAAGCGTGCACTCCAGGGATGGTCTAGGCCTGGGTCTGCTGTGGGCCTTGACCCCTTACTTGCTAGAGAAGTTCCTCAAAGCCCTTGTCTTCCTCTCACCTTTACCCCCCTCCTCAGTGAGTCATTATACCTACACTTGGCACTGCTGGCACTATCCACCAGGGCTCTAGCTGGCTCAGCCCCCAGACCCACACAAACACTGACTGACACAGGACAACGATGAGGTGTGGGTGGGGGGATGGGTAGAACACCACAAACCAGAGCAGCAGCTGCCAGTGAGGGGCATGTTGTGGCCAGCCCAAGGCCCAGGAAGGGGCTCCTTCCTGGTTGCCTGGGAGGGCAGGGAAGGTCAGTGGAGTCCAGAATCTTTCTGCTCCAGGCCCAATGGGAGGTGGGGCCACTGGCCACTGCTGCCTGGTGTGGCTACATGGCCTGGGTATGCACACAGTTGCACATACCGGGCTATGTATGGGATTTGAGAGGTGACACTGCACAGGACACAGACACACAGAGCTCTAGGCAGCAGTGCAGGAGGCAGGGCCGGGCGCAGGGCGATGGGTGGGGGAGGATGCCTCAGCAAGGCCACACGCAAGCTACCTGGGAGCAATGAAAACATGTCCTTCAGACTCAAAGCTGCTGGGGAGCAGGAACTCAAAATCTGCAACAGAAATGGGGGGTTATCCGGCGGGGGCTGGGGAGGTGGGAGGCCAGGGGGCTCAGAGCTGATGGGGCTGGAGGGACAGGGAAGAGGGGGTCTTGAGGGAGGGGAGACACCAGCAAAGAGGGAACCCGCCACTTTCAAGTTCAGGTTTGAGCCAGAAAAAAGGGACAGGCGGGGAGGGTGGAGGGCCTGTGGAGACTATAGCATCGCAGGAGGAGGGCAGTTATAGCCAATATGTTGCCCGGGCCTGGTCCTCTGTTGGCAGTGAGTCCCTTGGCGTGGCTGTATATGCTTCCATACGGCTGTATAGCACATATACACGGACACACACACACACATATATATACACACACTGCTATATATATGCATGGTCGGGGGGAGGCGCCAGTCTTGCTCTTATCACATTCATAATGGAAAAAACCGCATGCTGAGCTTCCTTCGCCTCCAAAGAGACTTTGAGGAAGGGAATTGGCTTTTGGCTGCGGATTTTTATCTCTCTTTCTTTGCCGCAGCTGTTTGCATTTTGGTAGGTCTTACTTTTGTTCTGTGTCAGGCATCAACATGGCCAAACCGAGGGGGTTTCTCACGGGCACAGACAGTCCAACCAGAGACGGGTATGGGCAGCTGGGGAGGACTGCAGTGCATTGTGGGGGCCTGGAGGTTCTCCCTGGGACAAGATGGTAGGTGAAGGAAGACTGACCTCAGCGGGAAGGGACTGGTGCACACTGTGTAAGGGGACAGGGATGCAGTTGGAACCTATATACCTGCTTTCCTAGGCTAGGGCACAAGGGACAGGTGGGGAAGAATGGCTAGGTCTCTTCCTACTGACTGGGCTTACAGCAGCCAGGGAAGACTGCTGGAGGTGCCTGTGAATGAGTCCATCACTTGGGCCTGTGCCCTGTGTTTATGAGTTGTGTATGTGTGCAAGCATGGATGCATGTTTGTGAGTGTGTGTGTGTGTGTGTGTGAATGTATCTATCTTTGGGTTTGTGAGTGAATCTGAGGACATAGCTTCAAGGCTCTGCTGTGGCCTCACCCTGCTCAGCTGACTGGCTACCCTGCTGGTCTGCATCTGGTATTTATTTATTTATTCATTCATTTATTTGGCAGTACTGGGGCTTGAACTCAGAGCCTCATGCTTGCTAGGTGGTGCTCTACCACTTGAGCCACTATACTAGCCCAACTGGTCTGCATCTAGGAGGGTCACCCTGCCCTTGGCCTGTCTCACCTGGCAGTCTACTTTCTTATCCTATCTTCACCCGCATTCCCAACTCTCTTTTGCCCCCAGGGATTTATTTGTGCAGAAGAGGAATTTTCTCTATTCCTAAATACTCCCACGATGCACTGCAAGGTTCTGGCCAGGAGAAACTTGGGATGCTTAGAGGAGCTGGGCAGTCACTGGTTGGACTGTTCCTTTCTGATAGGACTGTGACGCAGGGTTTGGATACAAGCCAAAGGGGAAAGGGTGGGACAGGGAGAGGAGGAGGAGGAGAAAGAAAAAGGAGGGAAGACTATGCTATGGTTATCATGTTTACCAGGGCCCTGCAGTTCTGGGGTCAATAAGTGGGATATGGGAGATGGGGAGAAAGACAACTCAAGCCAGTGGGAGCAGGCCATGTTTCCCACCCCACCCAGGCCACTGGGGGCGGCTGTATTCCCTTTCCTGGACTAGGTGGGATAAGACCCCTAGGGCATCTTGGGGAGCTCCTGCTTCCAGGTCAGGAAACATCACCTTGTGTTCTCTATGTCCCATAGGCCCAAGTGTTCTCTCTGTGCACCAGTGGCAGAGATCTTCATGTGCTGCCCCCTTTCACTCCTGTTGTTCTCTATCATGGCCTGGGGGTTTGAACATCCATCTTTCTGGAAGTCTCTGGCTTTGACACCTTGGATTACCAGAATCTTTTTCTTCATACCTAGCCTGTTTCCTCCAAGCTCCTTTGCTGGCCCTTGGGGTCCAGACAGATCCCACTCCATGTCTGGTCAAGTCCTTAGTCCCTGAATCTGCCTTTATTTCCCCAGGAGAATACCTCCCATACCTGCAGACCCTTCCCAGATCAGTGAGTACTCTAAGGGAAGGGCTGGGCCAAGGGACCTTAGTAAACCCTTTGAGCACTGGGGCAGCATAAGTACAGGGGCTTTAGCAACTAAGCCAGTCCCCAGTATGGTTGGTGCCCAGTATGGTTCTTCCTGTGGTCTGACTGCCTACCCTGTGTGCCCCTCTGCCTTGGGTCAGGGTGTGAGGCTTCTGAACCTTTTCCTCTCCCTTCTTGGAGGGCTGCCAGCATCTGCAGTCACCAGGAATCAGAGGAGTGAGAGCTATTCTATAGGGAGCCTTGTGGGGCTGGACCTTTCCCACAGCCTCACAAAAGCCCTCTGAAGGCTGATAGACCCACGCATCTCAGGCCCACTGCCCTGCTGGTGGGAGGTGGTGGAGAAGCATCCAGCCTGTCCCCACTGTTGAGTTGTCTTGGAGGGACAGAGAAGGTGGGGGAGGCAGAGGCCTTTCCACAGGGAATGAGGAGTAGGAAGAAGGGGCCTAAGCCCTCAGAACACGCTGGAGAACAACACCCTGCAGGAGGCCCAGGGAAAGGGCCGCTGGCTCTAACAGGAAAGGCAAGAACTGAGGAGCCAAGGGATTCTGGAGGGGAGCCCTGGAGGGCAGGGGTGTGACTGGTCCTGGGCAGGGAGGGGGGCAAGCAGGGGTGTGAGGGCGGGTGGGGTGGGGAGAGGAGGGTGCACTGGTTCTGAATATACTTGCCCTTCAGTTTGCTGATTGGCACTGGGACAGTCCACCAAGAGAGAAAGCGAGGAAAACAAAAACACAAACACAAAAACAAACGAAAAGGGGGAGGGGAAGGGGAGGGGCACAAACAATATTTTATTCAATGGCTGTTTGAATGAAAATATTGTGTCTCATCATCATACCGAAAGGAAACTTCTTGCAAAAAAACGACATGAGAGAGAAAGAGAGAGCAAGAAACTCAAAGGAGATGAGCCCCAGTCAGCCAGGCAGGTGGGGGGCGCCCGGTGGGGCCGGAGCCCCAGCCTCCCTCCCAGTGACCTCGGGTGGGCAGTGGGCAGGCGGGACCAGGCCTGAGACTCAGGCCTTTCCAGAGAGGCCCAGGGTGAGCAGGGCATGCAGGATGAGCCACAGGCAGAGGAATGGGAGAGGGGAAGGAAGGAGGGAGGGCAGGAGAGGGAGAAGGAGAGGATGCAGGGATAAAGGAGAGAGGAACAGAGGGGAGGGAGGAGAAGGGAGCAGACCAGAACTGAGGGAGGGAGACTAAAAGAGAGTGGGGTGGAGAGAGATGAAGGGATGGAGGAAAAGTGGGAGAGAGAAAGAGAGAGAGACAGAAAAAGAGAGAGAGAGAGAGAGAGAGTACAGGGATGTCAGAGAGGGGGAGGAGGGAGTAGAGGAGGTGAGAGGGAGAGAGACCCTGGGAGGTGGCACCACAAAGGGAGAGAAATGAGTAGGAAGCAGGGGAAGAAGGGAGAGGGTGTCTTTCAAGAATGCAGCCCCCAGGAGTGTTCAGGGCAGGCAGGCTAAAGAGGGAAGACACGGAGTAGGAGAAACCAAAAACAGAAACCTCAACAGAAATGAGAGAATGGTCTGGAACCAAATCTGAGAAAAGGCGAGCATGCAGATTTCCACAGACTTTTGAAGGCCGGTGCTCCAGCCTGCGGGTGCCTGGGGCTGGGCAGACTGGGCAGGAGGGGCTGCCTTGCCAGCAAGCATGGCTGGCTATGCTGCCTGGGGCCGGCCAGGGTGCAGGGGCAGAGGCAGGGGTGCAGGGCGCAGGCAGGGGCCGGGCCACTTACACTTGACTTGTAGTATCTGGTCACTGAGGTTGGCTTGGAGGTAGAAGGTGCTGTAGGGTGGGAGCACCAGTCCCAGACTAGGGAGGAAAGAGAAATCACAGGCCACCACTGTAAGAGGTGGACCACACTGGCACTATCATCCCATGGCCTCCGAGTTGGACATAGAGGCCCAAGACATGGGTGGTGCCCCTCCCCTGTACGGCTGTAGGAGATTTATGGCCTAGGGGTCAGCACCTTGGAGAAACCAGGGGCCTGGGCTCTCTACTTCTCCAATTCTCTTGGAGGCCTCTGAACCACCAGCCCCAAAGCAACTCTGAACCCTTCTACCCACCCCAGCACCCACCTGCTCTTCCAGCTTCCTGACCAGCAGCAAACTCTCAAGGGGCAGAATGCTGTCTGTGAGCTAGCTGCAGGGTGGGTGCTGCTGAGGAAGCAGAGGCCACTGGTCCAGGTACCCAGGCCCTGTGAGAGCCAGCTAAGAGCAGGGCTCCATGACTGTGGTGAAAGGAGTCAGGGCCAGTCCTGAAGTGTGAAGATGTCCCTGACATTTCAAAATGGCCCATGGACCAGCTGTGTTGGGGTCACACAGAGAACAACTTATGCTGACCATGCCTGACCCACAGGGAACCTGTTCTGAGGCTGTGATGCTGGTTGAGAGCAGGCACTGAGTGTGCTAGGATGATAACCTGGGTGTGGATACTCAAGAGACCCTCCAGGTAGGGGGATGGCAGGGTAGTGGATGTGAGAAGACATTGTATGCACTGTCCTGTCCTCTGTCTTGCACTCCCAGAATCTGCTACTCATTCCTCAAAGGCCAGAAGAGGCCCTGGGAAGAGCACCCCAGGGTGAGTTTTGAGGAGCCCTGACAACTGGTACCCCACTGGGATGGTAATCAAAGCATACTGAGGTGAGAGGGATGGGATAGCTGGATTGGGCTTAGACTATGAGGTCACCCCTGCCTGTCTGCCCGCCCAGCCATGGTCCACTCACCTGTAGTTGGTGCTCCTTATAGGCACCCAGGTGTAGTTCCGAATCACCTCATCTATGTACCTCTGGGAGAAAGGGTTGCATAAAGTACTTGGGTGAGCAGGTAAGTTGGTGGAGGGGAAAGAGGGTGCCCACCTGACTCCCTGTTCACCTTCCCCTGCCTTCTCACCTCATCCAGGGACTTGACCAATGTTTTGATCTGTTTGTGACCTTTGTTGCCATCAATCATGCTCCGACGGATCTGAAAGGGTCAGAAGTGTGACCTTCCTCTGCTCTGTGTCTGCATCCCTATCCCTCCTCTCTGCCTTGGCGTTAGTTACCTCCTCCTTATTCTCGTCCTCCAGCTCTGCATCCAGGAAATCCAGAGTCACGGGCTCCCGAAAGTTGATGGTCTGTGGGAGGCCAGGTGGGAAGTCAGGAGTCCCCATACTGGAGGATTTGCCCACCCTCCAGGCCACCCACCTGGCTCACCTGGGGCTTGAGATTGGGGTGCAGCAACACGTAACCATTCAGGTCAATGGCGAACACATAGCCGTTGGCTCCAAGCTAGGGGTGCAGATTGGGGCTCAGGGTTGGAGCTCTTCTCCATTCTGCTTTCTACCCTGCTAAGGGTACTATCTGCCTGCCTTGTGCCAAGGGCCCCCTCCTGGTACATGCCCTAAGCCTGCCTCTCACCCCTCATGCACCAGCCCTCATCAGGGATGACCACCCCATGGGTTAACACTCTGCAGTCCCCAGGGAACTATCAGCCAGTTGGACCTCTCCACCTCCATGGGTCCCACATGGCCACTGGTTTTGATTTTTCCAGTGGTTTTAAAAATATACAGGACTGGAGGTGTGGCTCAAATGGTAGAGTGCCTGCTTTGCAAGCACACACAAAGCCCGAGTTCAAACTGCAGTTCGACAAAAAAAAAAAATCCAAAAACATAAATACCACTCTTAGCTCACAGCCATGTTATAGCAACAGGTGGCAGGCCTGAATGGGCTGTGAGAATAGGCAGGAATGTTCTGGACAGAGAGGAGGGGAAGATGTGCACTGCAGGCAGAGGGAACTCTGAGAGAAGGCCTACAGGTGAAAAGCAGAACTGTAAGGCAGGGAAATTGCAGAGTGGCAGTGTGGCTGGCCAGGACCTGTGATTGGGTAGCTTGCATCTCGGCTATGAAAATGGCAGGGGGTAGGGGGGGGAAGGTGGGGCATATGTGACAACAACTTTGAGCCTGAGCTGTATGAAGCCCCTGCTTGACCCTGGCTTGAGTCCTTGTGGACACTTACTGTGTAGTTGGGAGTCAGTCTCTTGATATCATTCAGAGCCACGTCGATGCCCATCACGCCCAGGATTAGCTGGTTCTGGGAGCAGAGGCACGGGAGGGAGCTTTAATGAGCTCAAGTCCATGGGGAAGCCCCCCTGCGGAGACCCCACACCCTCAAGTTGTGCTCACAGGCAGCTACCCCTTCTGGTTTGCAGGTCTGCCCTATCCCTTCATCCCCACACTTTCTATGGGCATACACAACCCTCCCCCAGTGGGGATCTCACCTTCTTCTCCCCGGGACCATCCTGAGTCAGATTGAAAACAGGGAGTGTCCCTGTTACCACCAACCCCAGCCCCTAAAGGGAGAGAAGGAGGATGGGGGTCTCCTGTGGCCAGCGCTGCTCCCACCCAGACTGTTCAGGGCAGGGGCTTGGGCACAGGCCACCTTTTTCCTCTGTTTGGGTAATCCCATAAGGGAGCCCTCAAGGGTCTTGGCCCTGTGGGCAGATCTGTGGGGGAAGGTTCCATCCCCCCTTCCTTGTCCAGAGGCCTTACCAGTGCATCCTCATACACATTGGTCCATTGCACCTGCTTGGCCTCCTTGCCTGCCAGCACCATGGGCCTGCCCAACACATCTAGATATTCCTGGGGAGAGGGCAGCAAGAGTCTTGAGTATTCCCCCCAACTCTCTCCCTCTTCTACCTCCCAGTGCTTCAGGATTGTGCCCTACTTGTCACTAGGTGGCACTGATGGCCCACAGTAGCCAAAGTCTGGAACCGCCAAGAGGGAAGCCAGGAGATAGGAGGAGGCCCCCCCCCACCACCACAGCCTCACCTGTGTGTTGATGCGGATGGCTCCAATGGAAGGGATCTCAAAATAGTAACCTGTGAAGGGAATCGAGACAGAAGTGGGCCTGGCTGGCACTGCAGGACCCACAGCACAGGGGGTCCTGCTCTGTGGGGTATGTCTGCAGCTCTGATTTGCCAGTCAGTCTTCTTCTCTTTTTGGTGTCACCCTCCATCCCCAACTCATATCTCTTTGTGCTCCTTGCCATTGCCCTGTCACTGGGTCCAATGTTATGGAAGGGGAGTGAGCAAAAGGAAGCAGAGCAGAGGTAGTGGGCAGAGATGGGGTGGAGTAAGGATCCTAAAGTCCTTCGTTGTAGGATGGCAGTGACATTCAGAGCCCACCCAGAAGCCAGGCGTAGTGCACAGAAAGATGGATTGATCATTAAACAGACATAGGAGCAGACAAGCTTGGAGACTGATGGACAATGGACAGACAGCCAGATGGGCAGAAAGATGCTCTGTCAGATGGACAAGTAAGAGCCTAGCTGATAGCTTAATGGTCGGCCACATGTATGGCAAGTTAGTGGATGAACAAACAACTGAACATATGGACAGACAGCTGGCGGCAAGACGTGGTAGGCAGGCCCCCTGGTGGCAATATCAGGTGAGGTAGGTACCTTTGTTGGTGCAGGCCATCCACTGCAGGGGTGTGACATCATAGTTGTGCTGCCCCACTGAGAATGTGAATACGCGCACCTGTTAGAGGATTGAGATTACTATTGTGGCCACTCATAGATAGCCCTCCCCTGTCCTGGGCCCAGATCAGGACAGCCCCCACCTGGGTGGAGCCTCACCGTCCGGTTGGGCCAATTGTACTTCTCAAAGACGTCCTGTACACGGTCCTCACCACCATCCGTAAACATCATGATCATCTTATTGCAGTTGGCCCGGGTGATGTTGGACTAGGCAGGGGTGAGTGTGGAGTCAGGTGCCTCCTGCCCCGCCCCCAACCTCGTCCAGTGACAGGGCCTCCCTCCCCATGGTGAGCCTAGCCCTCCTCCCCAACAGCAGATGGTGCTATATGTCCAAGCTGCCTGTTTGGTGCTAACAAGGCCATTCATCTTAATTTCTTTGTGTCACCAAGCCTGGGCCCTTGCCCGCCCCCGGCTGCCCATTGATCTACCCATGGAACTCACGTTCTGCAGCTGGTCAAAGGCATATTCAAAGCCAGCCTTATAACCTGTGGTGCCCTTGGCCACCATGCCCTGTACAGCTTCCTTGAACACCTTCTTGTTACGCACATTGGCCTGTACCAGGTGTGTGAAGCAAGACACAGGCTGCGCCTTCTCGTTGAACTGCAGGGACAGTGGGTGGTAAGTATCCTCAGGCTGGCCAAGGCAGGTAGCTGTTGTACAGGCTGGTGGTGGTCACTGGATCAAGGCAGTGGGGGTGACCAGTTCCCTGCCTGCCTGCCGCCTTGGCACTCACCGAGGCCACATTCACATAGTCATCGTCAGAGAGCGTGTCCAGCATCTCACAGACAGACGTCTTCATCAGCTTCAGAGTCAGGCCACTCACACTGCCGCTCCTGGAGAGGTCAGGCAGCATCCATGTGGGGAAATTCAGGTGTTCTCCCACCCTTTCCCCATGACATTCCCAGGCAGCAGTGTCTAGCTCCAGTCCTGCCCCAGCCCTGCTGGAGCATTGCGGTCACTCACACATCCACGATGATGACCATGTCCTTGGGTGATGAGGCCCCCTGGATATACCTGTCCAGGAAAAGCCTTAGTTAGGGCCAGATACCCCTGGGATCTTGCCAGTCTTTCCTTCCTTCACCCACACATTGATTCATGTGTTTCTACTGACCATCCACTCTACGGGCCAGACAGGGTCTGGACAGTGGAGAGACCACGCTTAATAAAACAGTCCCTGCCCATAATATGAATGATCTGGTCCCTCAGCAAGTCAACAATCACAAGGCGTGGGGGAGTATGTGATCCAGACAAGGGGCAGGAGGCATTCCCCAACTTCACTGGCTTCTCATGTCCTCTACTACAGATGGAGGCCTTAAGGACAGTCTAGCTGTGTGTGGGATAGAGTAGGAAGGTAAGGTCATGGGGTACTGCAGGAGGGGCATAGCAGAGGGCTCACATGGGCAGGGGCTGGCCAACCCTACAGAAGGAACTCCTGCACTGGTCTGATCTCTTAGTCCTGAGAGGGTGGGGATACTGGGTGGTACATGGGGGGCAGAGGCAGCTGGGAGGCCTGTCTGGGTGATGGGATCCATTTTCCAGTGGCAACGATGTGTGAAATGAAAATTGGATAGAGATGGCTGCACCCTGCTTGGAGGCCTGGATATCGGGAGGGAGGGGAGCAGGCAAGAGAAGTGGGGAGCTGAAGGGGTATCCCTGCCCAGCTCCTCCCTGCTTGCTTACCAGGGTCTTCTTCGGACATCGTACAGGTCAATCTTCTTGGGAGCTCGCCAAGGGGTGGCTGTGGGAGGAGAGAAGGTGAGGGGAAATGGCAGGGAATGGCCCAACCCGGGCAGACAGGCCTTGCAGGAATGGCTGGGTCATCTCAGCCTACAGGGTGGCCATCCCACCCCATGCACCCCAGGATGGGTTGACTGGGAGATGGACAAGATGGGGTGCTGGGTAGACAGAGAAGATGAGCTGGAACCTACCTGGATAGTAGCGAGTGACTCCTGTGGCACTGCCAAAGACCTGCCACAGCAGTGTGGGATCTTGCCTGCGATTCTCAATGAATACATTCTCCAGAGCCTCTGTCCAGTTAAGCTCATTGAGGATAATGGTGGCTGGGGGGAGAGGGGATCGAGAGGCTTGGGTGGGGAGTCCTGGCCTGTCCCCTGCTAAACACACTTCTACAACACTCCTGCCCAGGCCCTCCACTTAGAAGGCCTCCCCTGATCTCTGCCTGTCCAGACCCCCTCATGTCCCCATGTCCAGCTGGGGCTATACCAGATTTCTTGGTCCTCATCCCTCTAAGCTGTCAAAGAAAGTACTTAGCCTACCCTCCACCCAGATTCCTCATGAGGAAGCAGGGCAGCTGTGGTCTGTGTCCCTTGGAGAGGAGCTGCCCAGGTGGCAGGGAGCTTTGCGCTGGGCCCCCCATTCAGCATGCTGTCTAGAGCTTGCGGCTGGTCCCCAGGGAACTCACCCACTCAGCATGCACTCCAGGCCGCAGCCACAAGAAAGCAATTAAGGGCCCGCTGATGGGGCTGGAATTATTCAGCTATTAAGGTACCTGATAAGCTGGAAGCCACTCAGCTCCATGATTAATCAACTGGGGCCAGGAGCAGGCAGGGGCAGAGGTGGGGGCTGTTGGAGGGGAGGGGCAGTGCCAGGATCCCACTCCAACACAGGCACATGCACTTGCACACACATGTGCACACATATACAGCCTGCACCCTCAGCAGGTATCCCTGCATCTAACTTCTATGCTTCCAACCAGATGTGTGACCCCTTCCTTTCATACTCACCTGCCCAGCAACCCAGCTGATGCCATAGGTAAGGAGGGGTACATATGTCCATACTTTCATGCCCCTCTGCACCTATAGGAGGTCACTAGTGGGCCCTGCTTTCATATCTTCCTACCATCAATTACCCCACCTTCTAACCCCCAATCCCCATAGTTGTGCCTTTGTAACCCCCTGGGCAGACCCGCCCCTCCATACCTTCATGGGGCAAGGTTCCTCTCAGATGACTGGCCTTCATTCTGCTGACCATTAAACCTGAGCAGGACCCCTGCCCCCTGATTCAGGGCAGCCCCATGTATGTGTGGGGCACAGGGTCATGTGTGCAGTGTACCTGTCCCTGAACACTCAGAAAAATCAGGAGCAGGACTCCTGATTCTGTCAGGAACCATTATTTCTTCCCTTGTTTCCTCTACCTCCGGAGGCTTGGGTGGGGAGCCTCTTCCCAGGTGGAGCCCTGCCACTGTCTGCTCCCCATCTCCATCAAAGACCATTCTAAGTAAGAACCAGAGAAGGCCTTCCAAAGGCTCTGCTCTTTTCAGAGTTGTGATTTATATTGCTGTGGTTGTGCCTGCAACCCAGGGGCCCCACACACTCAGCCAGACCCTCTGTTCCCCCTGCACTGTGGGGCTTTGCCAGTCTGCTGCTCAATTCCCCCACCCTCTGCTCTCGCCCTCTTCTCTGTCTCTGTCTCCCCCTTAACTGACCATCATGTGAAAATAACACACATTTCTAGCATTGGCTCTGCCTATTGAACACTATGCTATGGTCCTGTTTCTGATTTAGAAACTTAGTGAGTTGAACAATTTCTATTTTTCTTTTTGAGGAAAAATAGTCAGGCCTTCCAGCGTTTCACAATACCACCTGCTTTAGAAGTCTGACTGACACATCTGCCCTTCACTGAGCCTCAGTCTTTCCTTGAGAGGCTGGGAGCAAATCATCTTGGAAGCCCCTCTGGCTGCCAGCAGAGGGGTATTCCCAGCTCAGGTCAAGAGCCAAGAGAAGAACTGGGGTGGGGGACAGGGAGGGGTGGAAAGCAGAGTGCTTGCAGCCCAGGGTTTAAACCCCACTATTGCAAAACAAACGAAGAGGATGGCTGTCCTGTGCCTGCTGGTATCTTTTGGCCACATGCTGCCACACATATGCCTGTATTCACTGCAGGACACTCTAATGTAAACATCCCACCCCCAGAAAAGGGCCTGCAACTTGGCCCCATGCACACCCCTGCACCCACATGCACATACTCTCAGATCATGCTGAGTTGGGAAACGGGGACCATGCCCCCTCAGGCAGGCGATTACAGATTTAATTAAAAGTGACACAGTAAATAAAAAACATATAAAATGTAATTTGTGTGGGTAGCGAGGGGTGACTGGGGAGGGTGGTGTGGCTCCTGTTTTAATTAGTGTGCCTGCCTGTGATAGTGCCCCTTGACTGGCTCAAGCAGGTGGCCTGCAGGCAGCCTGTGGGGGGTAAGAGAGAACATCCTCTTCTACCCCCCTGAGGCTTCCCAGAAGGTCTGGCTAACATTGAGGGTGTAGGGGGCTTCCCTGAGGACCCTGGGAGATTCCCTGCATTCTGGAACCTATGTAGTAGCTCTGGAACCTTTGTCCCAAGAACCCCAGCCCAGGAATCCTTGGATTCTGAGGTTGCCCTGCAGGTGCCCATGGATTGTGTCAGAACCTACAGGCCCCAGTGCCTTAAATCCTGCTGCTGAAGCTCCCCACCCAGTGTTTGACATTTAGCCTCCTCTCACTATGACTCCCAAGATCTTCAAGAAGTTCCTTCTCATGTCTGGCAAATCCTTCCAGCTATAGCAAGCTGGTTTCCTCATTGTGTAAAGCTACCTCGTCCCTAAGGCTTGCAATCTTAACCACCCTCTTCCTGAGCCCTCTTAAAGCAATGCCCCACCCCCTTGGCTCTGTGCCAAAGATCATGGTGGTATAATCAGGTTGGTGCCCATGAGAGGGGTAAGTCCCTGTCCCCTAGCCCTTGTGTCCATCCACCTGATGTGTGGCAGCTTCTCAACCACTCCTAATGGGCTCAGGGAATGGGAGAAGGTGGTGAGGAGCTGCTTCAGGGGACTCAGCCCAGCAGCGTGCAGCAGTGTGTGTATATGTGTTCATATGTATGAGAGGCTCAGGGTTTCATAGCCTGCTGAGGGTCAGTGTGAGGCTCTGCCTGTGAGTGGCTGGAGGCCTGAATGTAGGTAAGAATGAGAGGTGAGCATGTGTGACCTTGGGTGGAGGGGACTGGAGGTAGATGGCACTAGCCTTCCATCCCTGGGGACCTGGGAGTGCAGAGGCAGCAGGCCTTGCCCCCATGTGGGTGGGGAAGGCCACCTCGATTGCTGTAACACTCACAGCCTTTGTAGATATCCGTGGGGATCTGCACCGCTGTGTATGAATAGTTGACTTTGTTCTTGAAGTTTGGGTCCTCCATGAAGTCCAGCCTTAGGGTGCTGGTCTTGGATCCCCTCTCCATATCCTCAGTCTCAGGGTCGTCCTGCAGAAAGCACCCCCACCCCCCGCAGTGTCAGGGCTGGAAAATGGTGGGTGGGTTGGACAGCCTAGGGAGGGCCAGAGTCCAGAAGATAGGGGCATCTCAAGGACAGAAGCTATAGCAGTCAGAGACAAAAAGAGATAGATGGAGAGATACAGGGACAGATAGACATAGGTATGGACCCCTCACCAGAAGTCTTGTGACTCCTACCTATCCTTGCCCATTCCACCCATTTGCCAAACCCAAATTCTAAAACCAAACCCAAACTGACCCCTTCCCCATATCTTTGAAAGCCAATTATTAGCAAGGGGGGAGGGGCAAAGAGTGGAGGCAGTTAAAAGGAGAAAGTTGCAGATTTCTGTTTCTAAGGATGTGCCCTGTGCAATCAGAGAGGCTTCAGCAGTCCCTCCTAGGAGCTTTGCACCTCCATGTTCCCCACTGGGTTCCATCCATCCCCCGCATGGAGCTTCTTTTGGCAGTGGGGAAAGGAGCAAGGATACCATCCCAGCTCTAGGCAGCTCTAGGGGCTAAGCTGGGGGGCATGACTGGGGAGAGCTAGGCTGGGGAAGCGGCTAGCACTGAGACCTGGTGACCTCCAGAGGGAGGGTCTGCAGTGCCTGCTAGCAGCAGGACTGTACAGGCCCCCGTTGATTTTCTAAAATGAACTGCAGCCTCCTGACAGGTGCCAATTACGGCATCTCTTGGCCAGGCAGGCTGGGCATGCGCTGTGCACCCCCACCTACCTCCACAGGCTAGTAGGAGTGGGAGTGTGACTACAGTATTGATGCTGCAGCCAAAGGGGGGGCAGGGTCGGGTGCAGGTGTACAAGCAGGGAGGGAAGATGGTGGAGAGAGTGAAGGGGAAGAAAGGGAAAAGCCAGACATAGAGGCAAGGGAGACTTGGCAACTGAGGCAGGGGAGGGAGCAGAGCTGGGGGCTTCAGCCTTGGTAGGAGGAAGCCTGAACAGTAGAACTCTCCACACACTCTCCACTAAACCCCCCAAGAGCCCTATGACCACCTCAGCTCAAGATCAGCTTGTCTCCTCCCCCCCACCCTTGGCCTCATGGGCTGCTGCCCCTCCTGCTCATTGTATTCTGGGCATACCCCACCCCTATGTTCCCACCTCAAGGCATCTGCTGAGGCTATGTCTTGTTTGGAGAAAGGGTGACTATGCCTCTCCACCAGACCAGATATGCTCTGCACATCTCGGGGACACAGCTCTGAAGTGCCTACCTCTTCAGGATGGATTTTAGACAGCAAAATCTAGGCTGTCAGTTGGCTTCCCATGCCCCTCACCCAGTGGACCACCCTCTGCTCTCTCCGGAGGGACCCTCAGAAGCCCTTGGGAGTTGAGTAAAGCCAGGGCAGGCAGATGCTGAGCATCCAGGCCTGAGCAGAGAGCAGAGGCCTGTGAGGTATGTGCCACACACGCTCCACTCCGAGGAGGGGGAGGTGTAGGAGAAGAAAGCCCCCGAAATGTCAGTGGCAGATGAAGGGCGCTGGAAAATTTAATCTCCCAACTTTCCCAACTAATGTGACATTTGGATTCCATTCTGATAAGCTATCAGCTAGTGAACTTTTTCCTTCTTTCTCTTTCCCCCACCCCCACCTTCTGGCTGGTAATTTAAAAGTAAATGGTCTAGAAAGATCTCTAACTGTACCTCTGGCAAAGACTGAAAAAACAAAACAACACAACAAGCAGGGATGAAGGCAAATGTGTGTGTGTTGTTATTTATACTGGGGACTTCTGGCCCAGCCCTGTCTAGAGTGACTCTACCTTACTGGGCAGTCCCAAAGCCCAGCAGATGTTCAAGGAGCTGGGAATAGAGAGTTAGTGATTTAGAGCCAGGGTTAGGGTCCTGGATAGAGTTGGGGGGCTGCTGGGAGTAGGGAGTAAAGAGGGATCTGGTAGGGGGCTGGGCACCAACCTGGCCAGGGAGTCCCTCAGTGCTACCCTGAGCCCAGGGGCTTTGTGCAGTGGGCAACCGCAGTCTCCTGGTTTATATTTAATGCACTGATTGCTAAAATTACAGCCCGCTGCAGAGGGGGGTAAGGAATTAGATTCAGGGTCTAATTAAAGGTTCGCTCTTCATTTGAATTTCAGATTCCAGCTTTAATTTTAGCAACTTCTCTGGGAGCCACGGAGCTCAGCCAAGGGGAAGCACACCTGCTTGAGCCCACCCCCTCTTTCTCAGCCCCCTGCCCTCCCTAAGGCTCTCCTAGTCGAGCCGGGCACTGTGGACCCTGTGCAGGGATCCTCTCCAGCCTTTCTACCTCTTGGTGTCATGGGACACCTCCTGATCACCCCAGGAAAACCCTTCAGGTCTGGAAGGGAAAGGACCTGATCTTGGGTCTTCTGCACCAGCAGGCACAGGTTGGTTCCAAAACACTGCAATATTGTGGCACTTCTGTTTATATAGAAAGCACAGTCTGGTCCTACTACTTTGCTATGAAGTCAGGCAGAGGGACTTGGGCCTTGACAAGTTCAGAAAAAATTATCTACTCCAAATGCCTACATCCTCAGATACTTGTCTTCTCTGTAGCCACCTCCCCCATGATGGCGATACATCTTTTACCAAGTTCTCTAGTGACAAGACCTCAATACCTTACAGGGCATCCTAAACCAATCTCTGCCAGTGACAGACATGGAAGCAGAAGAGAAGTTTGGCTCAGCCCAAGTGCCATTACTACTAGGGAGTGATCCCTAGCTGAACCTCATCTCATCTAGAATGGGTAGAGGAACTGGGCTGCCTCTGCAGCTGGGATGAAACTGAGTGACTCAGGGCCAACCACTCATGGTGGAGCCAGGTTGTGGGTGATCTGCACACCAATGCTGAGTTCCCTACAACCCAGGGAAGGGAGCCTGCCCTGACCTGGAGAAGCACCTGGACATCATGGTGTCTTGCTCCCACCTGCCTACTTCCAGGGAGCCCTCCTCACTGCTCCCTCTTTCCTCTACTCTCCTCATGTTCAGAGCCCCTCTCCATGATGGGACCTGAACTGCTTTGTTTTGTGGGGGAAGAAGTCTAAATGCTCCCTCGCACTGCCCGGGGAGGGTGCCCGGTCTGCCCATACTGTGCAGTGAAGCCCAGCCCATTAGTAGCCACAGAGACACAAACCTGAGGGGGTCAAGGACCTCTAGGGAGTTGTGGGTGGTGGGAGATTGGGGGCCTGCAAGGATGAGCTCAGAATGCTGAGTAACATCTAATTCACTACTGAAACCACTGAGGCCCAGAAGAGGGGGTGTGCCTCTGGCAGAGGTGGGTCACTCACCAGTTCAGCATCGGCTTTGGCGTCATAGTACATGATATCTTCCTCCTGGTGAGGGGAGAAAGGCCTCAGCACTTAACAGCTCAGGGGCTCCTCTGGGACAGAGACCATCCTATCCTCCACCCATAGCCCTAGATGGACTGTTTGAGTCAGTGCTGGGGGTGCCCTACTTCCATCCCCAGGCCTGTCCTCAGGGTCCCTCACAGGCTCCAAGATGATACAGTACCCTGGAATCCCCTGATTCAGGGACCAAGGTCCTGCACCAGAGCCTGGCTTAGAGGTAGGGTCAGGGCTGGCCTGGCTGCTGAGTCGCTGGCTGAGGCAGGATAGGGGAATGAGGAAGAAAGGAAACAGAGCTGAGCCTGGGCAAGAGCAAAATAATGACTTGATGCTGCATCTTCCAATTTCTTCTATTAAAAAGCCTGCTCATTACGGGCATGTACTTATTAATTATCTGTGATTTGTTGTGAAATGCAAAGGGGTTTACACAACAGGAGAGGAAGAAAACAAAGCCCAGCAAAGCCCGGCCCACAGCCTGCCTCCCGGCCCTCACCCGCTTGTGCCCGCCTGCCTGGCCTGGCCTATGCCTGCCCGCCTGCCGCCTGGGTTCTTGGCCATCTGCGCGTCATAATCACTGGCAACCCTGGGGACCCGTAAAACAAACGGGCTAATTTCATGTTTAATGATCTTTAATCAGAACTGAGCATGGCTGACAGAGGCTGCCAGAAGGTGAGCTTGGTGTCAGCGAGTGTCACCCGCTTAGGAGGGGCCACCCCATTCTGCCTCGGTAAGCTCTAGGGCCAGGGTCACTGTCCAAGTCACACCCCCCAGGTGCTCTTCAGCCCCATTTTGTACAGCAATATCCTACAACATGGCCTCAGCAGTCTCTCACTTACTTAGGGCCTGTTTCCTTGTGGCCTGCAAATGAAAGTGGTAACCAAATTTGCTCCCAAGGACCTGCCCACAAATCAGCATGCACAAAGCCAGCACTCACTCTACAAGGGACCGAAGCCACTCCAAGGCTTGGCTGAGGCCCATTTGCTATGTGACCCCATAGCTGTACCATTCTCTCTCTGAGTGAGCCTCAGGCTCCTCATGCACACAGGGGACATCCTGGCCTTAGGCTGCCCAGGTATTGGGTCCGTGGCCATGGTCTGAGGCAGTCAGTATTGGGGAATGTTCTTTTTTTTTGGCATACTGGGGTTTGAACTCAGGACCCTACACTTGCTAGGCAGGCGCTCTTACCACTTGAACCACTCTGCCAGCCTCTCCTGGGGAATGCTTTGGGGAACAGTTCTAGGCTGTCTCCCATCAGGGGTTTTAGGGGTGCACACCACTAGTTGAACATGTTAAGTCCAAGGATTCTAGAACAGTGACTGCATGCTGGGCATCATGCTTGGGCACCATCACAAATGTAAGGCCAAAGGCAACTCCAGTGTCTGAGATGCCTGCTGTGTGCAGCACTTCCTGTGACTCAAACATACAGATGACACCAGGGCAGGGACAAAGAAGGTCTCACACTCTGGCTCCGACCTGCTTTCCCAACTCATCTCCAACCTCATTCACACCCACTACTGCCCACCCATCCATCCAGGAAGACTGGAGCCTAGGTGGGCCAGGGTGGGGGGTGCGGCAGGGCCCAGGCTCTGGGGTGCTGGGCCTTTCCCTGTGCCTGGCTCTGAAAGAAGCACATAATGAAAGCTGACATTACATCAAACACAATAAGGAGTTTCGGTTGATGAAGATCATTCCTGAACACACAAACCCATTAAACTGAGGGGAAAAAATATCAATTCAACACACTTGCAGGCGAAAAGAAAATGTGATTTGTTATCTAAAAGGGGGCTATAAACACGGCTCTGATGCTCTTTCCCTCCATAATGAAAACAGGCAGGCGCTGTGGGAGGACTGCAGATTACAACCTAGGGCTTCACTTGCCAACTTTTTAGGCGAACCTTCTGCAAGGACAGGAAAGGGCACAGGTGGGGGCTGGTCACTCTCAGGCTTCCAGGAGCTCTAGGCTCCCCTCTCAGGCTGTCGCTGGGCCTGCCTGCACCTGGGTCATCTGTGGAATACCCTGGTACACACTTGGGCCACCTCTTCAGCTGCTCCAGTGGCTCTTTCTCTACTTGTTCATTGTGTCATCAGGGACAAAGGGGAGACAGCATACAGGTGACTACAGGTGAAGCTCAGGGTTCTGTAAACTTCCCTGTTCCCCAGGGTTTGGACACAAGTGGGCAGGATTCCTCCCACCACTCCTGCTTTGAGGAGGGTCAGGCTACATCCCTTCCTTGGTTTCCTTGGTAGAGAGAGCATGGGACAGTAGCAGGCAAGGTCACCCATGCAAATGAATTTTAAATACAGCTGTGATTGCTATGCATGTTGTGATGTGGAGTTGGGGGTGTGGCAGGCTAGGATCACCACGGTTGGGATGGGAGGGTCCCCAGGAAAGCCTCTGCATCTGCTTTGGCTTATACAATGCTGGAATGTTCACATTAATGACTTTTTCCTGGGTTAAGCGATAAGGAGGCAGGCTATCTAGTGAGTGACTGTAGGGCCCTTGGTACACTACAGGGTGTTGGGTTCAAATTCTGACCAGGACACAATGACTAAAGACTGAGGCTCAGCCTCAAAGGTCCCAGCCTACAGGCTTGTCCCAGTGGTGCTATAAGAAATCTCAGGAGCCACCCCATGTCGCTGATAAGGCAAAGGTGACAGGTTAAATCCTGCAGACTCAATGGGCTCTGGATCTCTACCTATGTTTTGTAAAATCAAGATATGCCTCTTCTGAGGGTACAAAGAGGACAGGGAGCTGCTCCAGGGGGTCAACTCCACAGCCCATAGGAGAGGCTGAATGTGGAAAAGGTACCCCCTCCCTCCAAGATGGGTGAAACAGGTGTCTTTTTTTTTTTTACATACTGGGGTTTAAACTCAGAGCCTCAGGCTTGGTAGGCAGGCACTCTACCACTAGCCACTCCACCAGTGAAACACCCCCTTCCTTTGTTCCCTGATATCTTAGGGGCCTTTTGCTCAAACTTGGCAAAGAGTGGAGAAATCCCTTCCCCCAGCTCATACACATGATCCTCAACATGAACCTGTGTAATTAGGTGATGGGTGAGGGGTAGGGCTGTGTGTGTGTGTGTGTGTTTGTGTGTATGTGTTTGTGTGAGTGTGTGTAAGCACATATGACATAGCTGCTTCCTTAGCAGGAGCCAAGCCCGAGAGAGGGCACAAGGGGTTGGCAGTTGGGTTACAGGGTGAGGAAGAGCCTGGATAAGCGGTGGCATAGCACTTGTTATCCAGGTTTGGTGTTCTGCAAAGTGGCTGCCAAGGGTGGCCAGATACAACTGCTGCCTGTCCCCCAGCCTCCTGATCAGGGACCAGGGCAGCCAACATCAGTGAGGACGCATGGCCTTCCTGCCCTGGCCCACTGCCAGTTGAGCTCAGCCAAGAAGACTGTTTTCTGAGAGAGCCATCTGTCACTGGCTTGGCAGAGAGGCTGGTAGCAGGCCCTATGGTTTGGTCAGACTCTTAGGCAGGGGAGGCCACCTGTCCTGTCCAGCCAGCTCTTTTGGTCTGGCCCTGCCTTCACAGCCCTTCTTCCAGATTCCCCAGGCAGAGCTACCTTCCCCAGCAGACTCCCCAGGGTAGAGATGCTTCTTCCATTAGACTCCCAGGGCATAGTTTCGTCTCCTACTATAGGTCTTGGTGTTGGCATTGAGGTCCTGGAGCCAATGGTCTGCTCTCCTTCCACCACCTATGCACTGGCCCAGCTACTCCCTGGGGGTGGTTTAGGTGGCACACAATGCTGGCAGCATGTGGTATTGGCATCAGCATCATCCGACAGGTGGCCCATTTTCATCTGCCCTAAGTGTTATGGGCACCAGAGCAACTGCTGCCTGTCTGCACAGCCATGGGGGGTGCTGCCTGCTAATCACAGCCTTGGTTTCCCTAGTGTCCAAGGGTTTGGACAAAGATGTAGCTATACTTTCCCTGCCCCTGCTATGGCCAAGTGTGTAGGGTCAGGGCCTAAGACTAGAGGAGGGAAGAGGGAATTTTTGTCCTCTCCACCCATTGCCCCCTTGATCTCATCCCAGCTCGGATCCTGCAGACTCTGGGATCCTGTAAGTCCCCAGAAGGTGTCAGTGGGGTTATGTATGGATGTGGAATACCATTGCTGTCTTCATCAGAGGTCTGCATGTCTGACCATCCCTGGGGAAGCCTGCGCTTGAGGCTGGGATTGTGACAAAGGCCAGATGTTTCTCCTGAATGCAGAGAATGAATGTGGTTCCTTGTCTGTCACCTTCTGGAGGTTGTTGGGAAGGACATAGTTTCAGGGTGGGTTGTGCTTGGAAGGCACAAAACACTATCCCTTCCCTAGCCTCAGTCCCTGAAGCCCCTGGCATGGATAGCCCCTCCTGCAGTTCTGCTGCCAGATCTGACAGCCTGGCAGCACTGGCCAAAGTGTGGGCTAATGGGTTACCATTCGCACTAATGCTTCGTGGCCTGGCAGTCTCAGCAGCAGCACAGATTGCCGGGAAGAAGGGAATGACTACAGCCCTCCCACCTGAGTATATCAGGCAGTGGAACTGACAACAGGCAGACATGCTAACTGACTAGGGAGGGAAGCATTGGGCAGACAAGGCAGGGCCCAGCTGTCCCTAGGATCAGTGCTGTCTGTGGTCACACCCATAGCTTCAGCATCACTAATCAAGCTGGGCAGAGGCATGCAGCCAGAGCCCACTCCTGCTTTAACTCAGGACAGAAGCAACCAGGTCATGTATGGCCAGTGATGCACCCATATCATCACTGACTTGGCACCTGTCCAGACTGGCATGTGGATTGACCCCTTGGTGCCATGTCTGAGTTGACAGACAATACCACTGCCAGCCAGTTCTTTGCCAAATGAGGAAAACAAGGACTCACCTGTGTCCCAAGGGGATTGTTTCCCAGTATGCAAGAGTGGGTCTTCAAATAACATCTCTTAACCTCCCCTGGGTATCCCTGAGTTCCAGCCTTCCTTCCTTAGGGTCCACCCTGCCTCAAATAAACTGCTCCTCCCTCAGAAAGTGGCTGAAATTCAGGGGCCAAGGGTTTGGCAGGAAAATTCTGGAAAATCCTAGGTTTTCTGCAGAATCAGGAAGAAAAACAGGTTTGGGACTATGGTAAACTCTTTGTGTCCTTATTTGGGCCTGGACTGGAGGCCAGAAAGAGAAAGAGAGCCTGGAGAAAGAGAGCCTGTCAGAGGGCAATTCTTCTAATTTCCTTATTTCCCTGACTCTTCCACATGCCTGTTTGTGGGGGAGGGGAGGAAGCCAATGTTCAGGAACAAATGAGGGGACCAAGCAGGATCTGAGAATCCTGGGTGCCCGGATGACAGAGGGGCTGATGAGCTGGGAAGAGAAAGTAGCTTCACATGAGCTGGGCCTCTGGAGGAATGAAGGGTGTTCCAGGTAGAAACTGAAACGAGCAAAGGCCCAGGGGTGGGAAGGGGCCCAGAGTGAAGTGTTCAGTGTAGTGGAGCCAGGAGGAGGGATCAGAAAGGGTAGAAGTGATCAGACCCTGGGCCGTGAGTGCAGGATCAGGGCTGGGCCTTGCCGTTGCAGCTGCCAGGCAGGGGCTATTTGTAGGTAGCAGCATGCTCTGAATGGTGAGTGAGAGCTAGTGGCTACGGTGATGTGTACCTCTGATGAAGGGGCTGAGGAGGCACAGGGCCAGGGATGGGTATAGCACTGGAGTGGGGAGGGGAAGAAAGATAAGTCCTCAGGTTCCTGGGGTTGGGCACTGATTTAGGGAATCACTAACTCATTTGTTTGTTCATTAAGAAAAAAAAAAATCTTCTCAGGCTCGGGGTGTGATCAGTGGTAGAACATTTGCCTAGCACATTTCAAGGCCCTGGGCTCCATCCCCAGCACTGAAAAGAAATTGTCTATTGTCTCCAATCACACATGAACTCCTTGAGGGCAGCACCCAGCAACTACCAGGTAGCAAAGGAAGAGAGGCCTAGTGTCAGCAAGGCAGGGCAGGCTCAGGGTGGCACAGGGAGAAGAGGGGCAGTCTGAGGAGCAGGCTTAGGGGACTATATCATAGCTGGCATCTAATAGCCAGTTAAGAATCTTGGCCACCAACAGATAAACTTCAGGTAGCTGTACTTACTGTGTGCTCATTTTTCCTCAGGTAAGTAGGAATAATAGCCCTACCAGGTTCATGGGGCAGATGGGCTTAGACATGCCTGGCCCAGAGTTGGAGGGAAGCACATCCCCACCGTCTGAATTGGTCCCTGGGTCCCAGGGCTGCTCTTAATACCACTTCCCACCCCTCCCCATATTTAGCAGGGAACCCACCAAAAGTCACGGTTCAGACACAAGTTGCTCTGCCAGCTGGTATGATCCTGAGGGTTCATCATCCCTTGTACCAGTGCTACTCCAAGCTTGGGAATCACCTTGCCTCAGTCTGACACTAAGCTGACATGAAGGGTTAGCTGCATTCAGTCCTAGCCAAGAACTGGCTAGTGGGGGATGCCCTCCCTCCCCCACACTCGGGGCTCTCTGCTCCCAGAACTTTGGACTCTACTTCAAGGTATTTGAGCCCTTCTGAGCTCTCATGGTGGAAGGAGAAGCATTTGCGACTGTAGCAGCGTGGTACTCTGGGCTCAGCCTGATGGCCTCCTGGGAGGACAGGCTGCTGTTCAGTGCAGGAAAGAGGATACAGACAAAACCTTTTCCCAGTGTCTCTTCCAGGTCACAGCATTAAAGTCTCAGACCAGTCCTGAGGTCAAGAGGCTATTTTGACCTAAGAGCTCTCTAAGAATTGGAGTTCCCGCTTTGGGGAGAGCTGCTTTAGAGAAGCCTGTCCACTCACTGGACACCCCATTACTCCTATGGAATGATGAGGTGCTCATATCTACATCACATAACCCCAGCACTGAGGAGGAATCTGGAATTTTTGCTACATGCTCTGCTCCCCCTTCCCTGCATGTTCCCCCAGCCCCCCAGCCTGGGAAAGGTGCTACGGTTCTTACCTTGATGTTGTCCTGCCAGTGGTGGGCTTTCTGGAAATTCTCTGCAGCATCAGCCAGTCTCTGAGGGACAGAGAAAGGAGGTCAGAGGCTAAGGCAGGCTGCCTCCCCATGTCTACCCCAAAGCCTTCTCCATTTCCAGCACTCCCTGGGGCCAGGCCAGCTCAGGGCTTCCCTTCCCCTCATCCCATCAGACCCTCAGAAATTTCTCAGCTCATACAGTGCCAAGCTTGCTGAGAGGGCACCTCCCTGACCATGACTGGGTCCCCACAGGAGAGGAGACGCCTACACAGATGGCCCAAGTGCCTTCTCATGGGACTCCCTGCATTTCTGCCCAAAGGATAACAGAGGTGTCCCAGGCCTGGCCAAACCCCAGTGCCACCCTCTACCCCCTACAGGTAGTGTCACCCTACCCATCTAAGGGTGAACCCCTACAAGTAACTGAATGCTTCAATGTGCTCCTTTGCCCTAGCCTGTCCAGTTGCAGCAAGAAATACCCATAGCCCACCTCTGCCTTCCCAGGCCCACTGCCCCTCTCCCAGGTTTTCTGAGTTCCTTCCCACAGGGCTTCTGAGTCCTCTAGCCATGTGAATCTGATACTGGTTCCAAGGCCTTTGCCAATGAAGTCCGTGCCTGTGGACAGAGTGCCTCTGAGATTATAGCTGTGTACACGTCTGTGCCACACCTGCCACTGGGCATCTCAATGCCAGACTATGCTATGTGTGGAGATGTGACAGACTCAGCTCTGCTTCTCACAGATTGTGGTCTGGGGTGAGAAAGTGCCACATAACTGGGCAGAATCACCAGGGCAGGAGTAGCTGAGGTGTGGGAGGCTCAGTGCTGTTGGTACTGGGCACATTAGAAAGGCATGTGGAGTAGGCACTGGGACTCAGCCACCCTCTGGGCCCAAACATGGGCCAGTAATGGATGCTGTCCCTCAGGAAGTTTTGTGGCTCCCAAAGATGAGTCTGGCCCCCTGGGGCTTCCTACAGAACTATGTGTAATGATGTCCTATGAATCCTAATGACAGCTGTCACCGTGATGTGGCCACACATTGCATGCCAAGCCCTCCTCTGGCCAGTGACACATATGTACCTGTTACCGTTCACAATGTGCCTGTCAGGGCACTATTATGTCCAATCCTTAGATGAGGATACCCAGACATGCAACAGTGAGCAGCCTCCCTAGGACACAAGGCAAATCTGGGTCAGGAGAGGGCCCAGACCCAGCCATCACCATTGCATTCGCCTTACTCAGCCAATGACCAGGTCCAAAGACCATCCCCAGTACAGCCCACTGTGTCTAGTATTTCCTCACTCTGGCCCCACCTATCCCATGGGTGGAGTTACCATTTTGCCTCCAGCCCTCCAACCTTATTCAGAAGGCCCCAGCCCCTTGGTATTCAGGTCACCTTGTCCCCATCCATCAGTCTGGGCCCCATGTGGCAGGTAGACCCCAGAGGAGAGGGTCTAATAAAGCCTGACAGCTGCCTGTTAAGGGAAAATGGGAGTCAGGACATGGATATCAGCTTTTCCTCCTTTGAAGCATAGGACAGGGTCAAGGAGGGCCCCCATGTAGAGCTGTGGCCATCACTCTCCTGGGGCACGATGTCACTCCCAGCAGCTAGAGGGGTTGTCAGAGCCATCCCTACTTCTGCTGGCCCACACTGTCCTTTGCCCCCCTAACTTATTCTCATACTCCTGGGACTTCAGTGATTACAGACTTTTCTGCTCCATGAAATTGAAATCTCACATGTCTTACCTCCAACCCTTTCCCCCTCCTAAGCCTCTGAAAACTTCCCTGGGATGACCTTAACCTCCCTGAGCTGCACCACCCCCTCTTGGAACAGGCCCATTCACATTAGAACCTCTGTCTCCTACTTTGAAAACTTGACATCACTCAAATCACCTATTGTTCACCCCCACTCCTCAGCTTAAGCTATCCTGCTCTAGAAATCTTGTCCTTCTGCATCTGCTCCCTACCAAACACCTGAAGCCTTATCTCAGAGAGTATATCTAGATGATCAAGTGGCTGTCCCCTGTCCCCAAAGACTTCAGTAGCTCCTATTGCTCCGCATGTAAAGGCAAAGATTTCTTGAGGCCCTGGTGGGCCCACCTGTGCCTGACTCCTGTTTTTCCTTTTCTATTCTGAGGCCTCGTCTTGGCCCAAACCACAAATATCCCCCAGCCTCCAGCTCTCCAGATGAGGCTCCCAATTCATAAGCCTACAGTGTCCTTCTGTGGAGGACAATATTGTGTGTCATGTACGGTTAACACTTGTCACTCATGTTACCTACTTTGTAAGTACCAAGCGCTGCACTTGGACTGGAAGATCTGTGAAGCCCAGGCAGCCCCCGAGGGTACACCTCAGGGGAGAGCCTTGGGCAATCACTGTGTCCTCCTTCCCTTACCTAGTGGCTCACTACCTTCCCAGGAACCCAGATCTAGCTCAGAGTAGGCCTGGAGCTCACATGGGGTTCTGCTGAGGCCATTGCCCTTCACAGTGGCAGAGTGTGGGAACCAAATTAGTATTCTTGCCATAGAAAGGTCACAGGGTATCTGGGGATGCACATACAAAGCGACAATACTGGAAGTCTCCAAACTGAACCATGGAAGGGGTCCCTTCCACTTCTACTTCCAGCCCTGGCCAGGGTGTGTCAGCTCTTTCACCCTGTCAGAGCTCAGCTCTGACCCAGGGATTCACAGACTCCAAGAAATGCCAACCCCCCCAGAACTTAGTAGACAAGGGGGGGGTGCCCAGCTCCCAGCTTCCTGCTCATGGGTCCTGTGGGCTCGAAGGACCCTGGTCAACCCGCTGACTCGTGAATAACGGCATCGCAAGAGCCACAGTGAAAGGATTACTTTTAATCCTCAGTAATGATCAAGCCATTATTATTTTTTTGGTGTTACAGATCAATCAGTCCATCCCTGGGTGCTGGACGTGTGGAAACTGCTAAACAGGCAGGCCTGGTGGTGCGGGAAGAAGGGCCAGGCAGGGGGATAGGAGTGGAGTGGGCAGGCTATGATGTTCAAGGTCCCATGAGATCTGAAGGTGAGAAGGTAGGCATGAGGGGCCCTGAGCGGAGATCCCAGCTTGGGACCTGGGTTCAAAGTGGCTTTCTCAAGCAGTGGTTTCCCTACTCAGGCTGTGAATTAGAGGTAGTAACTGTACCTACTTAGAGGGCAGCTAAGTTCTTGGCAGCCCTCTTCTGCCAACTCCAGTAGCTGCCCATAGGTGGTTTGCCTACTAGCACTTCTCCAGCAGGCTCTTGTCCACTCTGGGTCTTCCTCTCTTATCTATTCTTTCTGCCTGGTCAGCCCTATCAGACTGTGTCATCTTCTCTGGAAGCTTCTTTTTGCCATTGTCTAGCCTGTGGTTTTTCCCTTCCCTCTGCCCGGCAGGGCATGTCCCAGGCAGGGACCTCAAGCTTAGCCCCACCTTCCTGTCTCATGACAGGAAGGACCTCCTCCTGTCTCATGAGGACCTCCTGTCCTCATGTAGCCCGAAACAGTCAAGCCTGCTCAGGGATGGCTGGGAGGCTATCTCGCCCTGCCCCAAAGTTCATCCTCCTAGTATTTCCCTCCCATCTCTTCTGGGTCCTTCTGATGGACCAGGAACAGACAGGCCGAGTCAAGAGGAGAACCTACCAGGATGCCTGGCAGAGTAGAGGCCAAGCTGTAGTACCTGGTCCTGTCTTCCTGCTCTCAGACCCCTGCAAGTGCTGCTCCCTCCCTATTCCCTTCAGCCCAGGCCTCTCTAATCTGGTTTGCTCTCTCACCCTTGCCCACTCTCTGACCCCTGCTAGGCACCCCACCTGTCCCAATGATGCCACTCAGGGAACCCTCTGTATGCCTGCCTTCCCTTGAACTCTTGAGCTTGGTGGGGGCAGTGGTTGGTGGTTAACAGTAACCTGCCCCTGGTATATAGCAGATGCGTAATGAAAGTCTGCTAACTCAAGATCAGGGAGTCTGGATCTGTGTAGAGATCGGGGATTGAGCCTTGCCTGGCTAGGTGTATACGCTAGTTATCTGGTTTGACCTCTCTGAGACTCTTTTCCTCACCACTTCCTGGTGGGTGAGGGCTGCCTAGGAGGATGCTGCTGTTATGAAGTCACAGATGGTGCCTTGCTTGGCTTGTGATGTCCCCATCATGGTCATGGCATTGGAGGGAACCATGGTGGGATTGCTGAGCAGGGCTGCTCATAGCCACATCTGTCATGATAACAGCAGGCATTTCAGAGGCAATTATCAGAGAGTTTCACTTAATAATCAATTTCCCTCAGTAACAGGAGACTTTCCTACAAGAAAAAGCAAGAAAGAAGAGGACTGGCAGTGCCACTGGGCTGGGGACAATACTCCCCTGAGGAGTGGCCCCTTTACTATTACCTTCAAATTTCACTAAGTTAAACATCTTTAGCTTCTGGGAAGTGAGACAGACAATTGAGTGAGATATGGGACCGAGGGCCATGGTGGCCTCCCCTCACAGGCCAACACTTGGAGGGTAAGGGCCTCTGAGTGCTGGGAGGAGATGGGCTTGGTTGTTAAGGGACTGGAGACCTCAGGCGTGCCAACCTCTTAAAGAGCCTGCTTCTTTTCCCAGGCTGGGTGCTACTCACTTCTCTGCCTCCACTATTCCTCTTCACCTGGGAGTCTTTCACCTGATGGCTCTGGGCAACTGCCCATCAAATAGCACTTGTTCAACTGTATGCCCAGAATGAAAGATTTTAAGAGTTTTTGGTCTTTATCAGTTATAAGTATTCCTGCTGCCAAGTGGGTATGAGAGGCTTAGAATAAAAGGCTGAGAACTCATGGGGTGAGTTCCCAGGATGTTGATATCTGGGACACTGGGGGTTAAGCCAGGTGGAAACTGTGATGGAGGGGAGCTCTGAGGTGGAGGCCAAGGTCAGTAAGCCCAGAGCAGAGTGCCAGCACCACGTAGTTGTCCTGAGAACACTGCAGGAGGTCTGTGAGGAAGGTAATAATGACAGGCTAGCTAACACTAGACAGTCTAGCTAACACTAGACCCGCCCTGGCACCTACCCTCAGCCAACGCTGCGGATAATC